AAAGAAAGAAAGAAAAGAAAAGAAAAGAAAAGAAAAGAAAAGAAAAGAAAAGAAAAGAAAAGAAAAGAAAAGAAAAGAAAAGAAAAGAAAAGAAAAGAAAAGAAAAGAAAAGAAAAGAAAAGAAAAGAAAAGAAAAGAAAAGAAAAGAAAAGAAAAGAAAAGAAAAGAAAAGAAAAGAAAAGAAAAGAAGAATAATAATGTCCCGGTGGCCAATATCCTGCCTCCAGCATTGAGTCACCTGAAACTCTCGTCTTTATTAGTTGATGCACCTCCACGGCTGCAACAGGCTCTCCTGTTGGGTATAGACACCTTCGCCACCTGAAGTACACCTGAAGTGCCGCACCTCTGGAGTTCGAAAAGTCCGCCTATAGGCCTATAGCGGGCAATTCTTTCCCCGACTGGCGAGGGTATGTCTGCAGGGTCCTAAAGTCTTGCACACTCTCTTTGCATCAATTGGCACGTATAACTGATATTCAGTGGAGTGCCTTACGCTTTAAAGGCATACACGGGCAATACATGCGCCACAGTGGCTACAGGACAAGATGTGGCCCCGGCAACCGGCACCTTTGATGCCCAATATGGGACACTGGTGGCCCCATCGGGCACTAGTCTCCCACAGACGGACCTTGGTGTTGAAGACAGGACGTTCAACGTGTCAAGTCGGGCACTCTCCATCCCTGTATGGCCTTTCAAGCGGGGAGTTTTAGTAGTATAAATGAGTTTTGAAAACGAGAATGAGTTCTGACAATGAAAACCAGTTTTGGCATCAAGAACGAGTTGAATATGGAAATGATGGTTCGGTTTCTGTCAAAAGTGCGAGAACGTCCCGATTTGATTAAAAACCGGTCCGGAAACCACTGTTCTCATGCGAATAATTTTGTCCGGTGAGGACCTTCATAGATTTCCTCAACCTCGAGTCCTCTTCCTCCGCAATCTTTCACATCCCACCCATCTCCAGGCTTTCATGTTCGCACTCACTCAGCATACGACAGTCTTACCTTCTGCTCGAGGTATCAATTCTGCACACGAGAACGCTCGAATGGCGTCTCAAACACTACCGTGGACTTCCTATTGTTGTGGCGGCCTATGAGGTTTTTCGGTGGCGCAGACTTCCAGCTGCATATATATGCCCTGCTCTAATCTCACGGCGCCCCCTTCATCCTGACTCTCTCCTGTCATGTCTCATCCCTTGGTTGTCTTCAATGACCGCGCTTTCAAAGTCCTTGAGCGAGGTGATATTATAGAATGGTTGGAGACGGTTTCAGACTGGTGTGACACGGAGAAACGAAGCGACAGAGTCGAGATCGCTCTCAGCTACCTTGGACGCCCAATCTCCGTATTCATACACAGGTTTGAGGATATGTTGCCATCTCACTGGCGCTGGTCCTGGGCTGTCCTATTCAACGTGCTCAAAGCACTTCAAGGTGAGTACTCTGCTGACTGTCGGTCTTGCACCAGTCGACGTAAGCTTTGATCAACAGAACAACTCGCCATGATGACCCAAGCATCTCGCCCTACCCATGGCTCTGGACAGAGTGATAGTGGACTGTCAACAGGTAAGCATGGTTATTATTTCAGTCGTTCTGACTCGCTTTTACATCCTTATATAATACCGAATCCCTATCCATTCTCCCAGCCGTGAAGGTCGTTGGCGGTGCCGCGCTTGTTGCAGGCGTGGCTGCGTTAGCCGGTGTTGGACTGACGCGATCCTTAGGATTCGGAGCAGGAGGTATTGCAAGAGGTGCGTGATAAGCATCTGACTTCACAATCACCAGAGTGGCTCACCTTCGTTCATAACACCCTTGTATTACTACATCTAGGCTCCGCCGCAGCTCGTTGGCAGTCCTCAATCGGAAGTGCTGCCAAGGGCAGCTTATTCTCCAAAGCTCAGAGCTTGGGCGCCACTCGTGCTGTTACTACAGCTGTAGCAGCGGCTGGAATGGCGGGAGGTCAAGCAATGCAAAGACTACGACCCGCGCTACAAATTATGCAGAGCACAGGAGTGGCTCGAATTCTTGGTCCGTCGCATCAGATAGAGTTGGACTGGAACCATGCAGCTACAGTCGATATACCGGTTGAGTTCGTGCGCGAGGTTAGACTCATGGGTATCCGAGCAGATTGATCATTTATCTCTCTACATACGTTGTTGTCCGACGAACAATCTTCTCGGTGCGGCTCTGGAAGCAGGCTCAGATGGTTTGACCACCACTCCGAATCTGGACGCTCCTTTCCTCTGCATGTTTATATGAGTGGATACCCCGTTTATGTACTAAACACGGCGCTCGAGGAAGATGCTGTGAGGCCCGAGGCAGCCTAGTTTGGGTGTATCTATTCGGCACATCCTTGTGGGTGGGTTGAGGTTGGAAAGATGATTGGTGGCGCAAGTGAGGCTTAGGGCCCGTGTGAAAAGTGCCACGCAACACCGTGATATTTTCGAAAAAGCGTTTTAATTTCTCCTCCCCTCCATCACCAGCGACAACGACGCAAGTCGGCTGCGATCCAACTTGTCGCGCTTTTCATCGCTCGTTGACACTCGGATTGCAATAATCAGAATTCTAGTCTATATTATGCTACGCGTCGCTTCAGTCTCGTTTCTTGTTGTATCTAGAATAGGGATGCAATGCCTTTCGGCGACCAGGGCTGGGACCCTTGTGCGCATCATCTCATGCGAAATATTACTCTTGTTTCATGCTCTAGAACGTATCGCTTTCTCTTGACCCACAATGGTCAATGGACATCACATAGTAGGTCATACGCATGACGTCAAACGGGTAGCTGTGGGTCTCACCCACCTCAAAACCCCACACTCGTGTAGACAATCTGGAACTGTTCTCGTCTCTCTATCATCGACATTGGTAGCTACTCCGTCTCACGTCTACGATAGTATAAAACCTACCTTGCCTGGCTGCTGATTCTGACTTCAAAAGACTTATGAACATGACCATCCTCATCGCCCCGGCCACCTCTCGCACGAACTCCTATGTCATCGATGCTCTCCTCAGCCAAGATCCGAAAGTCTCTCTTCGCCTCCTCTGTCATTCTTCAAAGTCGGACTCGGCCGTCAAGGAAAAATACAAGGCGTACTCATCCGTCAGCACCGTCGTCGCCGATTTCTTGGACCCTCCGATCCTCGAGTCCGCCATGACCGACGTGAACGCCTTATTCTTGAACTTGCCCCTATCGAAGAACTCAGTGCAGGCGGGGAAGAATGCGATTGATGCAGCGAAGAAGAAAGGAGTGGAGAGGGTTGTGTTTTGCAGCGTTTTACATCCGTTTATACAAGGGATGAGACATCATAGGCAGAAACTGGAGTGCGTGCTCTTGTTTTACCTTTTTTGCACATCGCTAATTAAGATCGTGCGTCACAGTGTCGAGGAGTACTTGTTTGAGTCTGGGTTGAACTATACTATTCTCGAGGTACGTCTATTCCACCTCCATCGATTGCTCCCAGTGCAACACGTCTTGAACGATCCGTTATTCCCAGCCAACCCACCTCATGCAAAACATACCCCTCTCCCAAGCCATCCAGACCGGATCACTTCCCCTCCCTTACGCAACCACAGTCCTGCAGGGCTTCCTCGACATACCCGACCTCGCACAAATATCCGCCACCATCCTCCTCTCACCCACTCCTTCGGACCACTACTTCGCACGATACGAGCTCACGGGTTCCAACGCCACATATGAAGACGTAGCGAAGGTGATCTCGGAGGCGGCCGGGAAGGAGGTTAAGTGTGCGAGAGTAGGTAAGGACGAGTTGGCGAAGAGGATAGGTGCCGGGGATGAATGGACCAACGAGACGCTGAGGATCATGCTGGAGTATTACGAAACGAGGTGCGTCATTTCTTGTCTTTTGATGTGAAGGATGGTACATTGACTGGGATGCTGATGGGCGGGGAACTCTTAGGGGTATTCCGGGTAACACCAATACTACGAGGTGGCTACTTGGACGCGAGCCCGCGAAATGGAAAGATGTCGTCGAGCGGGAGATGAAAGCTATTCAAGGCCAGTGAAGCCTACACGCAGGAATGTGTATCATGTAAAATTGCTCTATATCGTCTGCCTCTCCTTTTTCTCGACGTGATGTTTGAATCACGCATCATGGAAAGAGCTCAGTTCTCTTGGGTTCGTCTGCTACCATCAGTATCGAACTCATCCGTGAAGACGCATACAGAAGTCAACGTGTATGGTTCCCGTACTTGAGTCAATTTGCGATCCTCTGAGACCTCATCTACCTTCGTCAATTGTTGTGTCCGTACGAAATGAAGATGTGGCGCGGTGACTTGGGGAGCCAAAAATAAATTAGCAGGATGCGGTGGCTGCAGTCGTTGGGACTTTGGCCAAGTGTTTGGCCAAGGATAGTTTTGTGGGTGAGGGTCGGGGCAGTTGCGGTTCCCGGTAAGAAAAGGAGAGCTTTGTGTTTGTATTGGTGGCGTTGCAGTGTGTTTCTGTTGAACTGGGCATGATCAGGGTGTACTACAGATCCCTTGTTGTGAAAGCATACCCGAACTCGATATTTCTGTGGCAGCGCCTTTGGGCTGCGTTCTATGGGATCATCGATACTGTACTTCCAGGCGTATGAAACGTGTAACCGTCGATAAAGAGCGGTTTTTAACAAGGTTGAAATCAACGCGGAAGCGCAAGTGCCAAGAAAGCCTTGTAGAAAATAGGCGGTGCCACAGCGGGATCAGAACAAGTGCCACTTGTCACAGACTTCGGAGCATTCCGGATGCACCATGATAGGCTTGACGAATAATATTGCCTCGTCGTCGCAACCGCCATCGCCTCCGATGAATTATCCTTGAGGTCGAAGCCTGTCCAAGCTCAATCGGAAAACCTCACCCGTCTGCTTTGATATCTATTTGTTCCGAACCATATCCTCCTTCCCTCAAACGTCCTAGCTGCACTGCTCCGCACCGACATGTTCTTTGACAGCTGGGGCATCATTTTTTCCGGATCTCTCATTCCAACCAACGCCAATTGCAATGGTCCACCCGAGTATCCAAGAAACATCTGATAGCCTCCTATGAGACAGTCAACGCATAGGAATAAGCGGCCTTGTACGACCGACCTTCCAACCCTACGCAGGCTCAAAACCAGCGTTCTCGGAGGACATCGGGATGGGTTCATCAAGAGATCTTGTGGTTCGTCTCGGTCGCGCCGATATGCATTGACTCGTTTCTTAGAGCAGAAATCATGATACAACGAGTGACTGGACAAGACTCGCGGAACGCCACACGTCAAGTATATACTTACACCGCCTCGCGAAACCCGATTATGATTTACCACGAACGTTCAACTCGAGGACAACTCTCCTCGGCAGGGTCTTGCAGTTGTATTTCAACCATATATGTCGCTTCTACTTTTACTCCGTATTCTGTGTACTGCTGGAAGAGTGCCCTTCGGTTGTCCTTGGGGGCGCGGAATGTGGCGTCTTGAAGTCCATATCTAGCAGAAATAGCTGTGCATTTTAACGCTTAGACAGCACTTTTGTCCCACAAGGGCGTGGTCGTGGGCTGTGTTCTATAATTGTCAACCATATCACGAGTCACTCTTGCAGTGCCTGTCCTTGTTCCTCGTTTCTAACCCTCATCTGAGGACGTCTTAGCCCCAGTCCAGCCACAACCGCTCATACGGGGTACTTAAAGGTCCGCCCTCGCACTTTCACCGTTTTTCTTTCACAATCTTACACAATACGTTCATCTTCTCTATTAGCTTCTTAAGCAATACACGGAAGCCTCGACTTACTGCACGCACCTTGCTGCCCCCTGGAATACACGCCTCCGATCATACCCATCCTCCTGACTGACCATGGCAAGCAACTTTGGCGACAACACCACTATCGTCGAGGACGACCGCGACACCTCCTACAACCCGAGCAAGGACCGTCTCTCGAACGGCAACGGCAAATCAACTCGCAATGCAGATTACAAGCGTAGGCCTGCGGTGCCGGGTTCATTGGCCGCGACGGCAGTGGACTACCTCCAGGAGGAGCGTCCGTTCTTCGTCATGATTGGGAAGGATGGACCAGCAGGAGCTATTGAGAAGCTGGATCAGCAGCTCAGAGCGGTGAGTTGCTCGCTCAGTCTAGTGATGAGTACGGTCATCATCGGGATGTCAGCAGCTTACGCTCTTGTGCACATTTGACAGTCCGGCAGGCCACATATCCTTTCCAAGAAGGTACGCTGCCATTGATCATGATAAATGGAGATATGATTCCCAAGCTTTCGATTTTTGACACCCTTTATTTGTGGATAGAAACCCACGGACTGGATTGGGAAGGAGATTACGCCTGGACGTCTTGGCCTCATTAACCATGGTGGCCTTCCCAGTCTTTTGGTGAAGCCGGGGCGTTACCCCGGTTTCCCGCTGCGCAATTGGTGGGCGAGGGATTTCAAGGGAACACAGGGCCGTAAGTGTCTTAATCGTGGCGCTTGTGAAATTCCACGTAGACAAAGTCTCTGACTATAGATCTGTTCTACAGTTTCGGATACGGTCATCGAGTTTCAAGGGTTGACGGTTGTTCAAGTTTCACAGAATCAAGTGGGTCGCATTTTGATTCTGACTAGAGACGTTGAAGCTTACATCGCACTCAGGCTGCTGTCGTTTCGGACCCAAGGGTACGTTGTTTCGAGATGAAGTCTGTGCATTGCGTTTAGGATCTGACTCTCTTGTTATTAGAATCAAATATTCGTGATCAAGAATACTGGTTTCGTGGCCTACGGCATCGAGGGAACCTACAACGTTCTCGCCGTCGTCGATCAGACACATTTACCGGTCAAGCCGGTCGTCGACCCCCTCACGAACGTCGTCCTCGGCTCAGTATATGAGGTAAAGATGGCCGGCCAAACCGGTCACAAGGACGGGAAGACACAAGAATACGTTGTAGCTATGTTGTAAGTCGAAATCTCTTATTCTCACACAACGCTCTCTGATGAACATCGATGGTTGTTGCACAAAGTTTGAACATCCCTGCAAACAACTGTGCCATCCTTCAGAAGAACGATGATTTGGAGCTTCTCCCTGCTGGTCAGCATTACATCACGAACCCAAATGTTACGGTCCGCGGCCTGTATACTCTGGGCGAGAACCAGCTAGAGCTACCTACGAAAGACATGTACGTTTCCGGCATGTTTCGTGTGGTTGTTTGATATTGATGGTACGATCTATTAGTTTCACTCGGGACCAAGTGCCAGTGAGCTTGAAGCTCTACCTCAAGTGGCAGCTCAACGAGCCGTTGAAGGTATGTCGCTGTCTCACTCCAGTCAGACGATCCAACGGTCCCACCTAATGTATCATAATAGCTCGCCCAACATGGCTACCATACACCATTTGACGCGCTCCGGGATAAGACTCAGTCCATCTTGACTCAGATTGTCGCCCATCGTGCGTAGTTAATCCATTTATCGTAGTATTGTCTATGTTGGCTCATTGGTCGTCATATACGTGATTTTAGTCGACTATAGTTCGATGGTAAAGCAGCGGTCTCTCGGGGGCGATCATCTCGACGATGGCACGGATCCTTCTTCGGCTTTCCTTGATGCCCTCAGGACGCGCGCTATGGATGATCTTCACGAGGCTGCCTTGGAGTACGGTATTGTCCTGAAGGATCTGGCTGTCATTGACCGTCAATTTAAAGGTGCGTTTATCCAGACTGAGACGCCACAACGAGATGTGATCTGACGCTCGCGGCCTTTCGACTAGGTGACATCGCCGCTACTATGGACAAGTTGACGACCCGTGCTTTGCAGGCACAAGTCGAGGCTGCTGTAAGTGATCTTCTTCTTCGTTATGTTTACTTCGAGTATTTTCTCATACCCCATTCTTTTGTCCTTCTAGAACGTTGACAGGGAGAATAGCAACAAGGTTAAGCAGGAAGAAGGCGCTCTGTCGGTAGCCCGCATCAAGGCTCAAGCCCGCAACGTGAGTCTCCGTCCCCGCGCAACATCCTAGTCATCATATCTAACCATAAGGATCATCCAGACCAACGCAGACTCCGAAGCCTACTCCGTCGTCGCAGCCGCCAAAGCAGAAGCGGAACGCATGCGTATCGACGCCGAAGCTAGAGCTGGTGCCACTCGCCTCGCAGCAGAAGCAGAAGCCGAGGCCACCCGGACCAAAGCCAGAGCAGATACCGAGGTCACAGACATCTTCGCTCGTGAGATGGAGATGCGTAGGATGGAGGTGGCGAGGGTGAAGGCGTTTGGGAATAAGGCTATCTTCGTTCCCACCGATGCTTCTGGGATGACTGGACCCATGGTCGCGGGTATGGCGGCTGGGATTGGTGCAGATGTGCGCAAGTGATGAAACTTGCACACTCTCATATCTAGGGTGGCGTACGACGTGAGTTTGGGAGCGGTGGCGGAAGGAAGGGGACGCACGGCCTAAGTGAGATGGTTGTGAAGTTTAACGGACAGGTGTTCGGTATCATGATACCTGCGGTCGTTCATTTCGAAGTTGATTTCCTTGGATCTCGTTCGATTACATTCATTCCAGATTATACTGTTGCCCTTTTACTGTAGCAAGTTCTATACCATAATGTCGCATCTTCTTGATCGTCAACACATGAACTTCGAGAGTAAGCCTCTGGCCGTGTGCGCATGTCTTCTTGTCTCGCTGACTTTCACAAACGCTGGGATGGGTGCTGTAAACCGTGAGGGTGGACCGTGTGAGTATGTGTATTGTGGCGCTAACATTGATCTTTCGATATCGAACGATGTTGTCTTTCGAATCGAACCATCGAAGGCATACTCACCGTGACCTGTCTAGAGTTTTACTCATGGTCAGGCAAGTGATACATGTACAGATCGAGCACCGTTCGGATCGCACCCGAGAGCGAGGAGTTTCGTACATATTGGCCTTGAGGCGAAACATGCTTCAATCGTTTTGTTATCGAGTTACACGCGGCCACACTATCTCGAATTTTTTGTACACGACATTGTATGGCAGGTACAGGCACGTCGAGATTCATCGCATTCGTTAAATGAGAAAGGAAAATGAGAGACATGAGAAGAGGAGAGAAAGTGAAAAAGAAACGAAGCACAGGAAGAGATCCATACGGACTTATTGCAAGGAAGGACAGAGGACAATGTGGATGCGAAGCCAGTGAACCGAAGCCTTGCACTTCCTTGCAAATACCTTACCTTTAAGCCTAAGCAGACTTCCCCAGAGGGGTCTTCGCCATGACGCTCATGACTTCGAAAAGAACCTGCGGATAGTGTCATGTTTAGTACCAGTCCACTCGGGCGACACACAGAAAACAAGAACGTACGTCGGCAGCAGCCATGGTGGTCAGCTCAGCGTTAGTGTCGTAAGCAGGTGCAACTTCGACGATGTCCGCCGAGACGATGAACAATCCGTCGAGGCCTCGGATGATAGTCCTCAGCTCGCGAGTAGACCAACCTGAACCGTGGATTGTCAGCTCCGACATAGACTGCTCAGTACGAAAGTGAGCTTACCTCCGGTCTCAGGCGTGCCCGTCGCAGGGGCAAATGCAGGATCAATGGAATCGATCTTCATCACAGGAAAAGTGAGCAAACGACGCATGCTGTAAGAGGGCTCGATTCTTACGTCGATGGAAAGATACACGGGAAGGTCTCCGACGGTCTCACGAATCTTTTTGATGATCCCCTCGACGCCTGCAGGCATTAGGTGAGCGCATGCTTAAAACGAAGGTATGGCAATGAGACGTACCTAAGGTGTCAATCTCACGAGCCTCAATGCGCTGGAAGCCAACTTCGTCGTCGTTAACGTAGTCAGCTGGTCCAGAGAGCGTCGTCCTGATGGCACCGTGCTACATAGACAGATGAAACTAGGATCACCAAGTCCTACTGTAGCGGACGAAGAGGAGTGGAAAGGAATCGGATACTTGCAATTGAACTTCCGTTACGAATGAGACCTTCCTGGCTAGCCTATATCGAGATTCAAGTTGAGTAAGTTGACACGATAAAGCCACAATAATGCCTCGAGGACTACATACCCAGTAGAAGTAGGTCCCATGATTGATAGCCGCCTGCTCCGAGGGACTGCCGCCGAAGACAGCAGGCTTCCACGTATCAAGATGAGAATCGAAGTGGATAACAGAGATGGGGCCGTAGACTGAGTGGATCGACCTAAAAGAAGACATATGATGAGAAGAGATAAAAACGTGTTGATTAGCATGGACAATACCTTAAAAGGGGGAGCGTAATAGTGTGGTCACCACCCAAGGTAATGATACGAGGGTGAGTCTTGCCGTCGAGGGCGAGCGGCTTCAAGAGGTTGCCGCTTGTATCATTCCCAAGAGGGGTAGCCGCAGTGCGCTGAAGAAGCTCCTTGTGACCACGGGAGATCTGTTCGATAGCATGGCGGTTGTCGTAGGGAGTCACAGGGATGTCGCCACAGTCCACGACCTTGAGACCGGCCTTGAAAGGGTTGACCTCGAGGGGCACGTTATACCCACCATACAACGTAAGGCGTCGAGAACCTGCGCGAATACCAGCTGGTCCAAAGCGAGCACCAGGCCTGTAAGATGTACCGGTATCCTGAGGAAGCGATAAGGACCGTATAATCGACCACGAGGGTAGCTGGGACTTACGAAAGGTGCACCCAAGAACGCGATGTCGAACGTCGTGTCCTTGTCTTTCGTCAAACACTCGACCCAGGGTAGTTTCGCAAACGTCGCGATACCAGAGAAAGTCGAGTAGGCAGTGACTTCATCAGAAAAGAAATCGTCTGAGTATGCGGCCTGATAGGGGTAGCGGTTGAAACCCAGAGGAAGTTGGTCTTCATCATGATGATCGTGCTGAAGACTGGCTGAAGCCAGGGAGGTGACGATAAAAGCGAGGAGTGGGGTACGGGGGAACATGGTGCTGAGGCGAAAAGCTGGAAGTATCTTACCGTCTCAGGCGGAGGAGGGCGTCGTATTTATATTACGGCCTGACGCCGGGGGGGAAGAACGATGACGACCTCGAACCCTCCTGACCCGCATCGTCAAATGCAGGCCTCGGCAACGTAATCCGAGTCCCGCCTCGCTTGGAACGTATTTCCAGAACAAATTGGACCAGCGACTATGTTTCGCAAGGTGGCAGCGGCAATCGTAGTGCGGCCGGCCTTGAGGCGGTGGAGGATCGTCTTATCGAACGTCTGGGGTAGATAAGAAATACGATGCCAGAAGATGTGAACTTGCGAGCCCAAAGTCCACCGCCCGGGGAGTGTCACGAGTGAACATAGGGCAGCTTGACAAAGGCATATGTCCTGACCTTGTCGTAAGTCTTCTCACAATGCACATGCAGACTCTCAAACATGATGTACGAAAGTCCCCATACATCACACAATACGAATTCAAGCCCAGCCTGCCGTCACCCGAGCCGCCGACGTTCATGGCCATGATAAATTGGCCGCGCGCGTGGATAAAGATGACAGCGACTCACGACGGAAGCATAATCGTCGCTGTTAAAAGGCTCGGCTGGGAGCGGTACGCCTCGGCAAAGCGCATGAAGAGTTCGAATGGTCGACAAAGGACCCTCAAATTGTCTGGCCAATTTCATCCATTTTATCGAAGAGCGCTGGCCGTCCGTGGAGTCAACGATTGCGTCAGGTACTGCTGGCAAAGACGCTGCACTTCGAGCACGGGGCGGAGTCCCGGGAAACACGCTGAAGAATCTTTATCGAAGGTATGATCGACTACAATATCGAGTTTGTCCACCAGCTGTGCAAAAAAAAAGTCGCCCGGGGCCCACAACTGTATCATGAGATGCCGCATGTAGACAGCTAATCCACGTACGGCCTCTGAGTGGAACGTGAAACCTTAGGCCCCTCAAAGAGGGCCGAGATCGGCGACCAGATAGGAAAAATGCTTTCAGCGCACGTATAAGATCTCCACCTGGGCCAGAGGATGGAAACGTACCTCGCCATGTCCTCATTCTCTGAGACCGATGAAAGGACGCCTTTGCTGTCCGCGCGCGCGGCTGGCGTCGTTGAAGAAAGTTCAGATTTTCCCCATCCAGCAACCAGCGACCGACCGCTCGGCCATTTCCGTGTGGAAATTTTCAGTTTGTTGAAGCACTCCGTACCAGGTTCGCCTCGTTTCCGTATCGACTCTGAACACGACAGCTCATGCTTAGTCCTCACGATTGAAATGTTCTTTTTGTGCTAGTGATTCTGGCGTACACACTCCAAAACAGTATCCAAACAATATCCATACTCATTGTCGGCCGATTGGGGCCGCATGAACTTTCTGTGGCGGCGTTCTCGTTGATGCTGGCCTTCGTAACTGGCTAGTACTGCTTTCTCTTTCAAATTTGATACAAAGTGATCCCACAATGTTTGGATTATCTAGGGTGGTGCATAGGTAGGATAAGTTACGCCTCGTCCATACGAGAAATGCTCACCGTCTTCTAGCCCTTGGAGGAACGACCGCACTTGATACCCTCGGATCTCAGAGCTTCACAGGCGGGAAGCGGAAGACAGACCTGTCAATTCACTTTCAACGATGCCTAGTTCTCTTGTGGATCTTGTTCATCCCCGTCGGCGTTCTGTGGGCGAAAATCGAACCAGTTCTCTTAGCTCTAGGACAGGATCCTGCCATCTCGCGGGACACTCAGACTTATCTTCGCGTTATGCTTTTGGGTGCTCCTGCATATATCGCTTTCGAGAGCTTGAAAAAGTATTTGCAGTGTCAAGGTTAGTGCGACTGTCACATCCGCATTTTGAATCACGAGCTCATCTCACTCATCTGACGATTGCCCGTAGGAATCATGCAGGCGCCCACCATAGTTCTCGCCATCGTTTCGCCCATAAACGTGGGTCTGAACATCCTGTGTATCTATAGCGCTCGCATAGGTCTTCTCGGGTCTGCAGTCGCTTTATCGTGCACCTACTGGATCGCCTTTGCGATGCTCGCGATATTCACATTGTTCAGTCCTGCCCATGCTCACAACAAAACCTGGGGCGGCATCCATCTCCATCTTGTCTTCGAATGGAGGAGCTGTCTTACATTCCTGAAGCTCGCTATACCAGGTATCCTTATGGTCGGAACGGAATGGTGAGTCACACCCGTTGGGCTGGAAGCTTGTTCAGCGTGGGTTGACTTCTGAAATGCGAATAGGGCTGCTTTCGAGATCGTAGCCCTTGCGGCTGGCCGGTTGGGGCCTCTCGCGCTCGCTGCGCAATCGGTGATTATGACTACCGACCAGAGTGCGTATTCATCTATCTTAATCAAGTACCTACTCTCACACCCATGCATAGTCCTGAACACCATACCGTTTGGCATTGGTGAGTTTGAGCTCCGACATCCAAAAATTGTTTTGTCACGGGGTTTGAAGTTACTCAATTCTTCTGTGGACGCATTATGTAGGAGTTGCTGCCTCAATCCGGGTAGGAAACTTGATTGGAGCGAGGTCTGCCGCTGGAGCGAAGTTTGCTGGACATATGTCCGCACTTCTGAGTGTCGTAACAGGCCTCATTGTCATGGTCGTCCTCATGTGTGCCAAAGACGTATGTTTCGAGCCCACAACCGTGTCATTTTCGCCCCTTCCCAAGCTGATTATGAACGACTAGGTTTACGGATACATCTTTAGCGATGATGAAGATGTCATTCGACTGGTCAGCAAGGTTATGCCTCTTGTGGCGTCCTTCCAAGTGCGTCCAGAGACTTCATTTCACGAACCCCCCTTTCTGTCTTCTTCTATCTCTTCTGCACCCCCGAAGACTCACGACTGTGGAATCGCCGACTCCTTCTGCTCATTCAACATCAGATTGCGGACGGTCTCGCTGGCTCGTGCGGAGGTGTCTTACGTGGCCAAGGTAGAGAACTGTCGCTACATCGTCCTTTATCCCTATTGCTGACTCTCAACCCAAGGTCGCCAGCACCTCGGCGCTTTCTTCAACCTCGTTGCGTACTATGTCCTCGCGCTTCCCATGGGTATTTCCCTCGCCTTCCGTTATGATCTCGGCCTTCAGGGCCTTTGGATCGGTTCGTCTTGACCATCTAACCCCGACTCCCATTCGCTTCCTCGCACACCGGGTTGCGCCATACTCATGTCTTCTTCTTCACCCCTTTATGTCTATGATGATTGGAATAGGTCAAGTGGTCGCGCTATTCCTCGTCGGACTGGGAGAATACGGTGTCGTGTGGTTTGGGACAAACTGGGAGAAAGAAGTCGAGAAAGGAATAGAAAGGAACAACGCGGAAGATGCGGTAATGGACTGATAGCCAGGAACGTGGTTCGAAGTTCCGCGCCACATCGCCGCCACCATCAGCGCCACCGATTATGATCAAGTTGGAAGTAATTCAATGAGAGGATATGTATGGGAATTTGTACCCAAGACGAACGATTCTGCACAAATGGCTGGCTCGCTTCCTTGTAACTTTCATCGTATGCTGCCGTAGTTATCGCTCCAATCTGCATCCGACTCTCGTGTCACGGCATCGAAGTCTCATGGTGTGTGTGAAGTCGCCTCGACGTGTCTTCGTGACAGAAAGTGAAACGCTAAAGGTCGGCTGGTTAACTTCCGTCACGGCCCCACACAAGGTTTGTCCCGCAATAAACAGCCGGTGGTCGTCAGAGCATCTTGGCGCTTCAGACTTCTATGCCATATTGGATAGTTCAACGTTCCCATAAGGCGCATGAGTACTCCTAAAATTTCCCTAATTTTCGATCCAATTAATTCTTATATTAACCTAACACTAACAGATAGAGGGCTTGACATCGAAAAGGATAGATATGATGCATAGAAAGGAAAAGCACATGAAAAATGTCAGATGGTAGGTCTGCTTGACCCTCACTAGACAGCCTTCTCGTACACCGCCCCCTGATCCTTCTCGTTCTCGAGCACTTCCAAGTCCCTCCTGGTCCTGTTCCTCTCGACTGTTACACCTCCGCGTTTCCTCGCTTCCCAAACACCACCTGTAATACCACCCTTTTCGAATATATGGTCGATATCCTCCAACTCTAGTCCTTTGGTCTCGGGGAAGAATACGTAGACGAGCGGCACCCACAGGGCGTTCAGAATGGCGAAGATGATGAACACACGCCAAGAGATGTTATCGATTGCCGGAGGGGTCATTTCAACCACAGCGAAAACACACATCCAGTTGAAGAAGGAACTGTCGTGCAAAAAGATACGATAAGTCGATTGTGTGCTGTCGAAGACAAACTCGATTAGCATTACCTTATGGCAGAGCCTCGGGCACGGATACGAGTGTGTGTGATCTGGGGTGATAATGGCCATGAAGAACGGTCAGAATATCAGTCGGAAGCAAAGACCGCACGGTTTCCGTAATCTCGCGTGAGGGAGGAGATAAAACGGTCCAGTACAAGGAAGGAAAACAAGGAAGGAACGTGCAAACATCACTTTTACTCAGACTCACCTCCGCGGGATACAACCAGGGCTAAACAAGCACACGCAACGGCGGTGTTCACACCAATCCAGAAACCAGCACAAAAAATCATGAGTCAGCATTCAGCCCTCCCTACATTGGGTAGTACTGCATAGACGTACGATAGGTAGATATCCGATCCCCAAGAAGATCTGGAATATGAATACCATGGCGGTTGCTCCGAATGCGGCAGACTGACTTCCGGTAGACAGAAGGATAGCAGCGATGGCAAAGCAGAGGGCCTGGCCGGAGGCAGAGATCATGAGGAGAGGACGCCGCCCGAAGCGGTCAACCGTCTGTGGCACAAAGCAGAAGTTGGGGACGTTGTGGCATGTTGTGGCACGATGAGATTTCCCATCATGAACGGAAGGTGAGAAGAAACGTTGAGATCAGTACGTACGAGAGCGGAAAATCATTAGAAGGGACGCACCCATAGCGGGATGAACGAAGCAACCATATATGTGCAGGCAGTTGCGCCGCCGAGGATCAAGGACAAATTTCGGGTGAGGCCCATCGTGGTCTCGTAGACGATTGGGGCAAGGTAGCTAGTTACGATGATTAGGCGCCCCAGGACATAGGCCATGTAAAAAGTGATATCCCATACTTGATCATGTTGGCTCTGATAAAAAGATCAGACCCGTGCAGACATCAGAGAACATCAGAGAACAAGAGAGCCCACCCAGTAAACTGTTGCATCACATTCACGCCAACGCACAAGCATATTCGCCTGAAGTTACCCAGAGGTCCGCCTTGCAGCAGCTCCCTGTAACGGAAAGGGCCTTCAAACAACGTCATCTTCAAGCTCTGGCTTTGTGATCAAAACAGTTACGCACCTCCAGCGCTTTCCTGGGCCAGTGAAAACTCAATCTCTTTCTTCTTCTCAATAACTTGGGGGTCATCCATGGCTTTGTCTTCAAGAAGTGAAAGTACATGCAGGCCTTCGGTCTCGCGCCCGTGAGCGATGAGCCACCTGTCAACGGTGTGAACGTCAGTACGTTGACATATTCGCATTATATTTTGACAAGGCAAAGCACCATCCCACCTGGGAGAATCAGGCAGTACCATGCCCTGCAGCAACAAACATAGAGCGAAGAAAGCCTGGAAGCCTTCATCGAAGTCAGATGCAGATAATGAACGTAGTGTCAACAAGAAAGACCCACCAATAGGCAAACGCCACTGAGCCGGTCCTTCGACGAACGACATCCCATAGTCGAGCCAGTACGCCTGCGTATAATATTAGTACGGCACGACAACCAACAGAAATAGTAGGCAGGTATACGTACTATGACCAGGCCGATGATTGTAACGGTAGAGTTCAGGCAAACGAGCGCGCCGCGAATAGCTCCCCCACACGTTTCGGATTGGTAGACAGGGATAGAGGACGAGTTGAAGCCATTCCCCTGTGTGAATCATCCGTCGATGCGATGCATTAGCATTCTGCGTCAAATGAAACAATAAACGGACACACAATTCCAGTAACGACTCTTCCGACCAGTAGTTGGGCTCTCGTCGTTGAACTCGTCAGAATAGCCTACAATGACGGAGTGTCAATCGTGATCCAGCATGTTGGGCAAGTGACTCGCAGATTACTCGCAGAAGAGTGAGAATGAAAGGACGTACCGTCCCGATGAGCATCGTTGTAGCTCCGGACATGATCATCCGTTTTCGACCTATGCGCTCTCCAAAGATAAAGACGATCAAACTTCCCACTGCACAACCAATGTCCTAACTCCGCGGAACCTCGTTGAGGATCCTTTTCTGAGGTTGGAAAGAAGGATGTCCACGCACATATATAGCAACCTGTGGAGTACACGGGTCGTCATACACGGTTGAAGGACGACAAAAGGAGCGAAAGGAAAGACAGCGTACAATAGTTCCCTGGAGTGTCGCATCTGGGTGGCCAAAATCCTGTCCAAACTGGTTGTCTGCTCCGATCTAGAGCCCTCGGTTTTCAAACGGTCCTCACGCTCTAGAAGAATGTAATCAAGCGTACGATTCCAGACATTACGCCCTGGTCATAGCCAAGTAGTAGAAACCCCTGGCAACAGCATGCTGTGTGGTTCGAGCGTGATAAACCTAAGGCTAGCTTGCTAGTACACAGTTCTGTGGTACGCACCTGTGATGGCGAAAACGAGCCACTTCCCTCGGATGGATGAAAGATACATCGCGCCAAATTGACCACCAAAAACTCAACACAGGTCTTTGGACAATGAGAAGAAAAAGGACAATGTTATCCAGAGGTCGTGATGAGTCGTAAACAAGCTCGTACGTCGTCAAACGTGCAGCCTATTTCTGAGCCTGGTAGGCTTCATCACATACTTATATCGAAGAGCAGGTATCGTGACGCTGTCGGAGGCAGAAAGAACAGATGACGACTGACTTCTCTGCGGACACGCTTTACTTTGGCTAACCATGGGACTATGAGAGGGGTCATGAGACGAAGTAGTACGTTATGGTCAGATTCGCTCTCGGCTGCCGACTCAGAGCGCAAAGGGTACCAGTTGGTGAGTCTGCTTTCCTTGAAGTCGAGAAAATTTTGCAAGAGATGGGAACAAATGATTTCTTGGAGAAAGACTGACAGAAAAATATCTGGTCAACCATCGCGAATATGCAGAAGAATATGGTCTTCTTACCAGCGTTCGCATTTTCTTTAGGTCGCTCAGCACAACAGACGTGGGTACTGGGCGGAAAGAATGGATCCGGCTATGGTCACGTTTCATTCTGATAGCGGTAGAGCCACTATGAGTGATGAAAGGGGTAGGAGAAAGGGGTGGCGAGGCGGTTATCGACGCATCGTCTGACATCGACACGCGGCCCGGACTTACCCGCTAATATAAAAAATGCGGCGGAAAACTTCATAAAGACACAATAAAGACATGCCTCTATTGAGCCAGTCTCTGAAACGGATCTGTTGTGTTACTTATGAATATACAGCCACCACCAAATTGTCCTCGTCTTTTCAACGTAAGCACATCATTCGACGACCACCTTGACCTGGGATTGCACTAAAATTTTGTTCACAAAAGATGGCAAGGCATGTCTTCGTCCGATCCAGCAGCAATCTCATAAATTGAGACCATAACTCAAACCTAAACTCTAGTCGAGCATCCGTCTCCTAAGTGATATACACGAAATGTGGGTTCTTCAAATCCGTCAAATCCGCCAACGCATCGTCCATCAACTCTGGCACCTGTTCTCCATCCTTCTCCGACGCTGAACCACCCAGCGAAGATGCCTGTGACGCGAGGTGAGCGGCTTTGCGGCGGTTGAGGTATCTGCAATAGAAACCGTAGGCGAGGAAGAGGAGAGCGTCGATGGCGTAGCAGCAGAGCATGGTCTTGATTGCGGTCTGCATGGATCGTAGAAAGCAGGGGAGGAAGTTGAGCGGACCAAGGAAGACGAGGTCACAGGAAAGGGGGAGTGAGAAGTTTCCACGTACGCTATAAGCTGGGGCTTCGTTCGTGAGGAATGTTTGTGGCCCAACAAGATTGCCTACTGAATACCCAATGCTGTGTTTCCGATGGAACAACGGTCAGCATCATAAAGATTGCAGGATTTCGGAGTCCATGGAAGTACACGCAAGGAAATCACGCACTAGTTGATGGCGTAAACGACAGTCTTCTTCGTCAGACCGGCGGTGTTATTCAGCACTGTAGAGCACAAACAGTAAGTTTAATATCTACCTAGGGTTCAGTGGACGGAGAAAGGCTTACTGATAGCTTGTCCGAGAATATATGGAGACCAGTAGGTATACAGCACCTATACAACTACGATCAGCGCACGTTTATTGTAGCCCCCTTTCCCTCTATTCTCGTTCGAGCAATAGATACTCACGTAGATACCTGCCAATCTCCCATTATGGTTCTCTAGCGGTAACACATGCAGCACGATAACACCAATCATTGGCGGGATGACACTGATAGCGGCAATGACTGTGCGGTACCGAGTCGTATGGCCTGCGAGCCACGAGAAGAAGAAAGAGGCGATGAACGAGATCACGCCGGTAGGAATAGTGAGGAGGGAGGTGATGCGGGAGGTGTAGCCGAGGGATTCTACGCAAGCGACGGAAGAATAATAGTACGTCAGTCAGAAAACAGGTGCAGTGTGATAATACAAGGAGGAGCGGAGGCGTACTAATGACAATGGAGTTGAAACCGATGAGGCCACCGTTGGGAATCTGTAACGAAAGGTGTAAGCGTCAGCTCTATGATACCCGAAAAGACAAGGACGAAAACAAAGACATACGTTGTTCAATAGCGAAATCGCGAAGACGAAGTATGTCTTCGGATCCGTGAACGCCTCTCTCACTTGCTCCCACTATAATCAAAACCGCACTAGTCAGTCAGCGTACGTCAAGCCCAAGTTCGCAGGAACGTAACACGTTTCCACAAAACTGACCTTGACAATATGATTCTCCGTCCCTAGTTGTTCGTCTTTTACCCTGTCCAGGGCCTGCGCCCTTTTCAGCGGGCTCTTCATCCACACGGCATCCATGACCGTGGACGGCAGGAAGAAGAAATTGAGGATTCCAACTATGGCGGTTACGCCACCACAAGCGATAAAGAGAATTTTCCAGGGAGCCAGGCGGGCATCTGAGGGAGAAAAGGAAGAGCCATCTGGTAGCACGAGAAAGAAGGTGGGTAGTGAGTACGATAATTGGCATCATCAGAGACGGAAAAAAGGAGGGACAAGTAAATGTTGGAATGCATGACGTGAAAGTCGACAGAGGAGATCACTAAGACTTACATCCTATGAAACCGTTGAAGACGGAAGAGAAAGTGGAGAAGCAAACGGCTGTGCGAGCGGGTTGCTCGGCTCGCTATGGATATAGTAGTATCAGCAAGCGTCTATCTTTCGAGTATGCGAGGGTTCAGCAACGAAAGCGAACCTTGTAGAATCCGGAGAGGATCAGTAGAGAAGAAGACATAACGATACTTTCGAACAATCCCAAGATGATACGAAGGGCTATGAGCGACTTAAAGTTCTTGCAGGCAGACATGCACTGGAAGCAAAATTAGGTCACCTATCAAACTAATGCGGCACACGACAGTGTAGTTTGACGTGTATTTACCATGGTGAGGACGCCCCACATAAAGACGTTCACCGCGATGTACTTACTCGTGGTGAAGCGCTTCATCAACCACATCTGGGGAAGAGCGCCGATGATGGTACCGATGTAGATGCCCGAACTGATCCCTGTCGCATGAAGCGAGGTAACGGCTCAGCAGACAGCAATCGTGGATAAGACAAGAGGAAGAATACTTACAAGAGTACTGTTGACCGACAAGGTTCGCGTCTGTCGCCATTCCATAGATGTCAGCCTGCCCAACCGCAACTTTGTCCAGTGCCCCCAAGGTAGACGTGATAGTCTGATGCCCAGAATAAAAGCCAGTTATAAATTCGCTTCAAAGTGAAGATATGAAGGTGAAATTGTGGGCTCCACTTACAAGCAGCGGTACCAGAAGAAGATCAAACCGACGAATCATGGCCTTTTCCTCCTTCGGAGTCAAGGGAGGAACTTCCCCATGCTCAGCACGGTAGTTGGCAAGGAACTCTGCTGCTCTGTCGAGCTGATATGATAGAAGACGAAAACAAACAATCAGCGCAGGATGCATAAGTCAAAATATAAGTCAAGAGCGCACCTTCTGGAGATCCCGCTTCTCATCCACGGAGACTACGTCGCTGTAGACCTTGGGGTCCTTCTCCAGATGCGAGGAGGCAGGGCTCTTGCGTTCGACAGTAGCTGTAGTTTCCATCCTACTCGAAAGATAACTTCACTGGAGAAAGGGGATACGGTCGGTCCACTCTCAAGAGTGATTCACCTTGTCGTCGCTATCTATACTAGTGTTGGCCTGCAAGGTACGATCTCATGTAGCGACTCATCTGAGTGACGAAATAGACAATCTCTAGAGAGAAGTGGGCACGATAACAGCTGGTCTGGTCTAAAGATATCGCATTAGCCGGATGGAGTTGAGTGGAGATCTTGAGAACCAATCCCCGCCTCTTCCCGTGCTCGAGAACTTGTCCTGTTGATATCAGACATGCAAAGTAAGCCGCGGCTCGGAGCTGAGGTACTTGTTCCGCGTGAAATTTAGGTTACGTGGGGGGAGCTCAAGGAATGCTTTTATATGAAGCTGGGATACCTACGCTGAATCCTGGCCCCGGCTAACGAGGCAAGGTGTGGAAGGAAGAAAGGATACAATACATTGTGGCGCCAAAGGCACTGTCAGGCAGGAATTCGAGGTCCGACCGGAAAACTCCATCCCCATCCCCAACGAATTCACACATCCTTTGTTCCGGCACCAATCCAGGACGAGGATACTGCATATCTTATATAGAGTCATCGATACCCTCTGATAGGATAGGCCCTGGCGCTCTGGATGATCGGCTTCCGTTGCCAGAGATCTCGTCCAAACAGATTTCACTCATAGTTGCCGCTGCAATTGCGGGATGAGAGGAACGGATCCGGCTTCCGCGTTTGCTGATAGCTTCTATCCGCGGGTCTCACTACTTTATGTAGCTCGACGTCACCAAAGCTGATATCCTCTTGGATTCACGCTTGAGCTCGACTCAACTTCTTCCGACTGATCTTGTCTTTCGTGTTACTTATCCGCTCCTTGATATACTCATTACTCCGTTGACCCAGCGGTCACGCCTCAAACAGCCCTGGACATGCCTTCAACACCCTCAGACAGGACCGGGAAGATAACCATCGCTATTGTGAGTAGTGTGGCTCCTTAATTCGGCCATATGGTGCTCATAATTGCTGTGAACAGGATCGTGGTGGTACATTCACAGATGTTCTGGGTATTGTGCCGGGATGGGAAGAGGATATCGTCATCAAACTTTTGTCTGTTGACCCAGACAACTATCGTATGTTTCTAGATTATTCGCACGGTCGCACAAGTCCCTGACGAACCTTTTTCTTGCAGCCGATGCTCCTACTGAAGGTGCACTTCGAATTGAAGGATTGCGCATGGAACGGAGTTGATACTCACGTGATGTCAACAGGCATTCGACGCGTCCTCGAGATCGCTCTCGGAGTAAAGATTCTACGGGGACAACAACTAGACACCTCAGAGATCGAGGTAAGTCACCCCGTCTTCCGGAAGAGTTCATTTACGAGGCCACATACTGACTCGGTTTGATTCAGGTAATTCGTCAGGGGACCACCGTCGCCACAAACGCCCTCCTCGAGCGCAAAGGTGTCAAATCTGCGCTTCTCGTCACCAAAGGTTTCAAAGATCTCCTCTTCATCGGAAACCAGTCTCGACCAGCTCTTTTCGATCTCGACATTAAGAGACCGGGTGTGCTTTTCGAGAAGGTTGTCGAGGTTGAGGAGAGGGTAACGATCGCGGATTGTATCGGCGATGTCCCGAGACCTCTAGATGCGATGCTAGAGGACGGGCTTGTGAGAGGAGTAAGCGGAGATGTTGTGCGAGTCGTTCAGAAGCTAGGTCGGTCTTCTTACGCCGTGCCGTGATGTCGAATTCGTGAACGATTCGTTAACCTCATTTTCTCCCAACAATAGATGAGAACCAAGTACGCAAAGAGCTCAAACTACTTCGCGAGCAAGGCTTTCAGTCCATTGCAGTCGCATTCGTTCACTCGTAAGACGCCGTCTCGCTCGATCATTTCATGCGCCACCCTCATGCCATACTGCTCGTACTATCTATAGCTACACCTATCCCGAGCATGAACTTATTATTCGTGAAATTGCTCACGAAATCGGGTTTGCCCATATCTCACTTTCGTCCCAATTGCAAGCTATGGTCAAAATAGTCCCTCGCGGAATGAGTGCCACAGCGGACGCCTATCTTACGCCACATATCCGAACGTACCTCGATAACATCGCCAAAGGTTCGTCTATTTTATTTGCTAGTGCCCCAAGGGGGTATATTGATCGTCCAATGGTATGTTTGTGTAGGTTTCAAGGGAGAGCTGAAAGATGACTTGACCAGGGTTGAGTTTATGCAGTCTGATGGTGGATTGGTGCATCATCGGAAGTTCTCGGGACTGAGGGCGATTTTGTCTGGTCCTGCTGGTGGTGTCGTTGGATATGCGCGAACCTCTTACTCCCCAGAGGATGGTATGTTTTATTCTGGACCTGTATTTGAATTCCATACCTAATTATTGATTGTCTCAGGGACGGGGGTAATTGGGTTCGACATGGGGTGGGTAAACGTATTTACTTTAGGACTTCACGTACTCATATCCAACTGCTACCGTTTAATAGAGGTACTTCGACGGATGTCTCTCGATACGCTGGCACGCTCGAGCACGTCTTCGAGACCGTCACCGCTGGGTTCGTTCCAGATACCGCCAACTGCCCAGTTCATTGCTGACATTTTATGTTCTTCAGAGTGATGATTCAGACCGCTCAATGCGACATCAACACTGTTGCCTCCGGTGGTGGCTCCATCCTCTTCTGGAGGAATGGTCTCTTCGTCGTTGGTCCCGAATCCGCCAGTGCACACCCTGGCCCGGCCTGCTATCGTAAAGGCGGTCCTCTCACGTATGCCCATCCATGTTCTGCGCATGTTTTCTATAAAACCAGCCAAAATGTTGACTCGGCGCGTCGTACGTAGCGTCACGGATGCCAATCTTTTTCTCGGTCGCATACAGCCCGACTTTTTCCCGAAGATTTTCGGTCCAACTGAAGACATGCCTCTTGACTTTGAAATCACGAAGACGAAATTTGAGGAGCTCACCAAGCAGATCAATGCGGACACGGGAGGGACCAAGACTCCTGAAGAGGTCGCTTCTGGGTGAGTATCTTTTCTATTCATCGTTTGTCGAGAAGGTGTGAACTGTTGGGCCACATAACGCAGCGTTGGCGCTAACTTTGCGGATTGGTGATAGGTTCTTGGCTGTGGCGAATGAGAGTATGGCGAGGCCTATCAGGTCGTTGAGTGAAGGAAGGGGATACTCTTTGAAGAACCACGTACGTCAGGTCACTCTGTATCGCATCGTCTGATCTTGCTGACTGTTTTGTTCGCGCTTTCCTCCGCGCAGAACCTCGCCTCCTTTGGCGGCGCCGGTGGCCAACACGCCTGTCCTCTCGCTCGTATCCTCGGTATCAACACCGTTATTATCCACAAATACTCCTCTATTCTCTCCGCGTATGGTATGGCCCTCGCAGATACCGTCTCTGAACAGAGTATGCCTGCGAGCGAGGTATGGGGTAAGGAGGGCGCTGACGAGAGGTTGAAGTCGAAGTTCGAGGAACTTGTAAAGAGGGCGAGGGACGATTTGGAGGGACAGGGGATAAAAGAGAGCCAGGTGGAAGGTGATGACGGTATGAAGTTGGTGTTTGAGAAGTATCTGTTCATGAGGTACAATGGCAGCGATGCGCAGTTGGTGGTGAAGGAGCCTGAGGATGGTGGTGCGTAGTTTCTCTGACTGATATTCACTATTCGTTTAGAAGCCGTATGCTGACGGCGAGAACTGGTGTTCCCTGCAGACTTTGGCAAGGAGTTCCTCAAAATACACAAGAAAGAATTCCAATTCCTTCTTCCTCGCGACATTCTCATCGACGACGTTCGCGTCCGTGGCATTGGTCTCAGCAACGAGTCTCGCAAATCCGAAGGCTCGAAACTTCACGCTGAGCGCGTGTCTACCGTAACTCAAGCCGTCGATTCTACTATCGCAGCTGCTGTGGTGAACGTATACTTCGAGGAGACCGGAAGGGTGAGTACGCCGGTTTACCTGTTGGGTAAACTGGCTCCTGGTACGCTAGTACATGGTCCGGCTATCGTCATCGACGATGTACGTCCATTTTCCGATCTTCTACCTAATGGCAGACTTGACGAGCGTTTTCTGTGTGGCTTGTTGTGGCCTGGCGATGACCGAACAGACTCAAACGCTACTTGTCACCCCTGGAGCGACTGCGACGATGCTGAGCTCGCACGTTGTTATTGATGTTGGTCTTGGTGAAAAGAAACAACTCAGTGCCGATGTTATTGATCCTATCATGGCGAGTCGCTTTGACTTACCTTTATCCTCCACTGTGACTTACATGGCTTCTCTCATACAGACATCCGTTTTTGGTCACCGTTTCGTATGTTTTCACCCCGCTATTGTATGGTGAATGTACTGACGCTGTTGCGTGGCATAGATGGCTATTGCTGAGATGGTCAGTTGGCTGCTCGCTCAGGGCTATGCACATTGATTGCTCATGAGAGTTGGGTTTGTAGATGGGTCGAACCCTCCAGAAGACTGCCGTTTCGCTCCAGATAAAGGAACGTCTTGACTTCTCGTGCGCTATTTTCGATACCGAAGGTTTGTCCCTTTTATACCCTTGTTCTCTCGAAACCGCACACTCACGACGTTAATTAGGCTACCTGGTCGCAAATGGTGAGCAAGGTTTTACCATATCGGGAGTACAACAAGGCTAACGGACCTACAGCACCCGCCGTACCTGTTCATCTTGGTGCCATGGCATACTGCGTGCAGTACCAGCTGAATTATTGGAAGGGCAACCTCAAGCGCGGCGATGTCCTGGTCTCGAATCACCCTCAAGCCGGCGGTAGCCATTTGCCTGCACGTATCACACTTATAGAGGAGCAGGACCATTGAAATCTAATGGCGATATACATAGGATATCACTGTTGTCACTCCTGTATTCAGGGAAGGAACCGACGATGAGATCATTTTCTGGGTGGCGTCGAGAGGTCATCATGGTACGACATACGCCACACGTCATACTTCTCACGATACTCATACGTCGACGTTCAGGTGACATCGGTGGTCTGGATGGAAACTCAATGCCTCCCAATAGCGCTGTAAGCTCCTCCGCCACATTCTGAGAAACGGTTTGTTCTGACTATAGGTACAGGAACTATGGGAGGAAGGCGCCCAGATCATGACCCTCAAGTTGATCACAAACGGCGAGTTTAATGGTAAGCACACGGTCAGTCACTATTTACATTGTCACTCATCCTGATTGCGTATGGGATAGAGAAAGAAATCATCTCGATTTTCAAAGCCGCAGGCGACTACCCTAACTGCGAAGCCTCTCGTCGTATCCAAGACAACATCAGCGACATGCAGGCTCAGTCCGCTGCGAACGCCGTCGGAGGTGAGTTACCCTCATTCTTTCTGATTGAGGTCCTGACCTCCTCTCTCTCAGCTGTGCAGATTGAGGCCCTATTCGAGGAGTTCCGAGGCGATGTCGTCATTGTGGGTAGCCTCCCTTTTTCTTACCTGCGACGATTAACTGAAAGGCAGCGCTAGGCCTACATGAAAGCCATTCGTGACAACGCAGAAGTCGCTGTTAGGCAGTTATTCCGGGATACCGTCAAGCGTATGGGAAAGACACTGAGCGCCGTGGATTACATGGATAACGGGGCCGGTACGGGTTGCAGTTTATACTTATACTGCGGGTGACGTAGACTGATGTTTATTTCTTTCAGCGATCGCCTTGTCGATTACTCTCAGTATGTGTATTAATTCATATACGGCATTATTACGGTCTAATGCGTTGCTTCAATCTTTCAGATGAAGAGGATGGTTCCGCCATTTTCGATTTTGAAGGCACGAGCCCAGAAGTGTACGTCCTACTATGACCTTACTGAAGACGAGGATGCTGAATCTCATATGTAGAAACGCGAACACGAATGCACCAACAGGTGAGATCAAAAATTATCAGCGCTTTCCTGATTATTGACGTCCGATTATTAGCTGTCGTTCGCTCCGCGCTCACATATTGCATGCGTTGTCTCGTTGGAACTGACGTACTTGTCTCCTCGGTCTTTAGGCTTGTGCAAAACACTAATTTTCTCCATATATCCTACAGATGCCTCTGAACTCCGGCGTCATGGTGCCCATCGAGCTCCGCGTCCCGGACAACAGTATCGTCAACCCCTCTGAATACGCCGCCGTCTCCTCCGGTAACACTGAAGTTTCACAGCGAGTAACCGACGTTGTCTTCAAGGCGTTCCATGCAGCGGCGGCATCTCAAGGTTGCATGAATGTGTTCCACTTCAATTATGGAGAGTACAACTATGGAGAGACGATTTGTGGCGGTAGTGGTGCTGTGAGTTCACGATTCGACTATGACATCTCACGACAGAGGATTGGATGGCTAATTGACGTGGTTCAGGGTCCTACATGGCATGGATCGTCTGGCGTGCATGTCCATATGTATGTTCTGTCCTCCATAGCCCTTAACTTGTATCTGGAGGCTCACGTTCATGCGCAGGACCAACACACGTATAACCGACGTCGAAACTATCGAGAAACGCTTCCCAGTCATCGTCAAGGAGTTCTCAATCCGGGAAGATTCTGGTGGGAAGGTAGGTCATCGTCACCGCTGCGCTACGTCTCAAACTGGTTGGGGTGGATTAACGCTGACTGGACGACAGGGACGGTTCAACGGGGGTAATGGTGTTCATCGCGAGTTCCACTTCACGAAAGACTGCAAGACTTTCCTCATCGGCGAGAGACGGGTCACGCAGCCATACGGGATGGAGGGTGGTGAGCCAGGGCAGAGTGGTGCTCATTATTGGATGAGGAAGAACAGGGACGGATCGCTCAGGAAGGTCAACCTCGGTCCTCGAGGTACGTCTTTCGGACTGCACAAATTTTCGTGTCTTGGTGTATACTCAAGCGTTGTTGTCATAAAGCTACGATCAACGTCTTGGCGGGCGAGAGCATCATCATTCACACACCTGTGCGTGCTGAGCCTTTCGCTTTGTCATGGTCGCTGGGCTAACCTTCCTCGAAAATAATACAGGGTGGCGGAGCTTGGGGAAGCCCGGGCAGCATTACCGATGCCGAATCGACCAAACAGGCCGCAGCTGGTGGTATCACGAAGCCCTTCTGGCGTGCTATGGGATCCGTCGCGTCATACATGGCCGCTCAGAATGAGCAGGGTTAATAGCTGTTTCTTTGCAGTGGCGAACCACACAGGCTGAACCTGGTGGGTAAGAGAATGTCGTGTGTTGTTGAACGTGTTGTATCGATAGACTTGTAATTATTGAGTAGATGATGCGGATTGGTCACAGCAGTACCAGACGAACAAGATCGATTTTCGTCATACAGCCTGTCACGAGACTCAATGAACGGAGCAAACGTTTGATTATACACCGGGTAGAAATGATACAGTACGGCAAATACACAAGTGTGAAAGGACAGGTACGCTACGAGAGCAAAAACAGAGTGGAAAACACTCCTACATCCGCACAGAAGGACAGTCGATGTCGCCATTTTATCTAGAGGAAACGAAAATAGGAAGCGAGAAAACACTCTGACACCGGAGGGAAAGCAATCACCCAGCACACTTAACTTAGTAAGGAATGAAGATCAGACCATCCCCTCCTTCGCCCTTATTCTATCATCCTCATACGTATCCCTCCTACCGTCTTCTCGGGATCTACTCCTACCCCTCTCCATCCCCATTCCCGCTTCCAAATCCTCATGCACCGTACTGAACGTCTCCTCCGGCCCACGACTCGCTATATCAATAGTCACATTGAACATCCCGCTATCTCTGGTCTGTCGCGATACCAAGCCGATCGTTCCCCGCTGACCATGGTTCGTAGCAGCATGGTTGGCGTTGAAATGCATGCTACCAAGGGTCTCGGTTTTATTGAGGTTGGCACTTCGGTTGGCGTTGGCGTTCATGGTAGGGTCAGAGCGGGAGATGGATGTTAGAGCTTTTGAGGTGCGTTGGGTGTTTACGAGGATCATGACTAGTGCTGGATACATTCCCTACGTTGAACCAAAGGTCACAGGGCAGACCGTCCAGTGAGTGTGTGGATGGTGGGGGAAGCAAGAAAGGAACTGACAGCAATCTGGGCATGTATGCCCGTATAAATGTCACCCAGCGTTCCACCTGGTACATGGATGAAGGATCCGGCAAGTACAACAGCCTATAAAACACGGAGCGAGTTCATCGTCGATGACACGATGTTGTTGAGCGAGCGACGAATAGTTCTGATATGAAGGCAGCTCACGGATGAGACGCAATACACAAGCCCTGATTCGGCGAGTAAGACTAGGATACGTTCAACTTGTGTACTTCTAGACGATTGCAGGTTGACGCGAATTGATCGTCGATATTGCCTGTAATCGTGCGATCCGCGTAAAATGAGTGAGCTGAAGAGAATAGATGAATGTCATGTACCATGCCCAGATGCCGATCATCGAAGTGGCGGTAACGTTTGTGATGAGCGAGAACCCTAAATTGACGATTTGGTTGACGTCGAGAATGGTGGCGAGAGGCCCATGGCGAGGGACTGCGTTATTTGGAGCCGCCGCAATCGCGCTACGGAGTATGATGGTCGTCGAAACAGACACTATTGTTCCACAGAGGAACATCATATGTTGGTCATAGGGAGTTGAGCATATAATAGAAAGAATGGAGGCTGAGACGTACGTGTCGTGAAACCAAGCATGACGGATGGGATCATCAAGATCTTTTTCGAGAAACGGGTAGCGCACAGAACTCGCATCCGCCACACAACAACGCCATCTGCGAAGAGATCTGTTTCATTTTGTCATTCCGCATCAACCATCAGCGATCTGATCCGTATACATTCATGCTATATAATGAAGGGACTGCCTTACAGTTAGTGAGTACAACAGCATTAAAGATCTGTCGAATGACCGTGTTTCTATGTACGTGTTCCTGTGTTATCTTCGAGACGAGAGAAGCGACGGAAACCGCCCAGTATGCAGTCGAGAAAGCGAATATGCCCAGCGTGATGGCAAGCATGATGATGTTGGACCGGACGTTCATGCCTTGTTTGCTTTCAAAATCGAAACAGTCCACTAGTTAGCATCTCCATAAATCCCATGAACATTCTAGAGCTAAGGCTCACACCAGAACATGGGTCGACATAGGGATGATTGCGATGAAAACGCCTGAAGAGAGGGAGATCAGCGTGAGTGTCGTTCGTTCCACATGGACAGCACAGTCGAGTGCTTACCATAGCCAATGGTCTGACACAGAATCTCGGTGAAAGTGAACAAAGTGTCTTCCTGGTCAGCAGATAACATCATAACCCGCCAGGGGACTGCGATGGTCCACAAAACCAAAGGAATGCGAAGAGGAAGATGAGAACAAGAAAAGAGCGGGAACAACAGGAGGAGAAGCAATTTGGGCTCGTCAGACAGCGAGCTTATATACTCATTGCGGCATATAGATAACGGGTATCGTCACATCGGAGGATCATTGTGCGCGCAAACGTGCATGATGTGCGTCTAGTAACACCAGATCATCGAATGGTCAGCAAGTGATGTTGGGGCGCCGCCGTCGTACATATAGCCTGTTGAGAGAAGTGGGTCTTCGAGGTTTTCCCTTCACTCCCCGAAACCTGCCTGTAGTAATGTTTCTCCTCGACTGCGTTTAGCATTACTTGGGAGTGTATTGAATCCTACCGCCGACCATGTCGACGACCATATCAGTAGCAGAGCAAGGATCAAAGACATACTCCGCGTCTTTGCTGATCAATGGGGTTCTAAGCCTCATGGAATACATCCCATCCTGGCGCACTGAACATCTCGTTGCGATGGCGTCCACCGGTGACCCGACCGTCCTGAAGGGTTCTGATTCCTGAATCACCATCATTACCATCTTTCTCCGCGGGTCGGAGATTGTTTGTAGGCGGTGAGAGAGTGAGACCCTGTAATTCAGATTATGACAGAGAGCAAAGAACAGTCCTGTTCATGAGTAGAGGTGAACGTCGAAGAGAGCTGAGGTGGCGGTGTGGCATTAAACAATTTGGACCGCCTGGTTGGCGCTGTATCGGCATTTCCCGAGAAACACGCGAGAGTTGTGGCGCCCCACATTACGTCTCAGTCCCATTCAAACTTGAGTTCTTACTATCACCTCGTCCTATGGCACAGGTTCTCCAGCTTATCAGAGACCCATTTTCCGTGCTCAATGATTGCCATTGAGGACGATGTACTTGTGCAGAGGAGATTGGGGATGACTGGTATGTATACGGTGACAACCGCGCAGGTATCTAAACCACTTCAACGACGACGAAGAGAGAGCAATAGCTTGATACTAGCACACCGCTTGGACAGTGGTTATATCTTTTATGGCAGCCTCTCATCATCGTGTAGAGGTGCGCTTGTTGAAGTCTTGTCGAACTTTCAGTCACCATTCCTTTGCCTCCGTTGTCATCGTTCGCATTGGCGCCGAGGTTTTTCTGCGGCCCACACACATGGCCGTTCCAGCCTCTTCCAGCCATCCGCTTTGAAGGGCTTTGTCCGGGTCTCGTTTCTCGACTCGAAAATCTTCAACAATATTACACCTTGAGGTGCGCGAGACGGTTCGAGTGTGGCCGAGGAACCTTGAGTCGCTTACCTCGCCCGTCGGCCGCGACGGCTGTTCGTTTGAGACGGGCATCGGCGAAGATGCATGCGTCGGTGCGGAAGCAAAAACCCCAAACATTGACAGAGGAGGCGCGATCAGCCGCAGTGGGAGCCGCCGGTGGCAGCGGGCAGAACATTCATACACTTTCCTCCACGAGCGTCGAGATTTTGCTGTGGCACCGATCGAGGTGCGCCCGTGTGTATATATTGTTTGGCTGCTGGGAGCATGCGTTCGCTTTTTTCGCGCTCGGCCCTCCCATTCTGCTTGTCTCCCATTCCTATTACCACTGCTATTGCATCTACGCGACCGCAATTGTTTAAAACTTCAATTTCATCTCTATCATGACCAGCAATGCTATGGAAAAGGGCCACACGCCAACATCCTCGAGTAACGAAGTCTCGCCCCAACGTGATACGGAGAAAAAGGACGAAGGGATGCGGGTTGTAGCAGATGCTATGGATGTAGATCCTTTTGCACAGGCTGCCGAAGGAAAGCATGGCGGTGACTACATCGAGTACCGCAATATGGGGTGGATCAAGGCGGGGGCTCTAATCATGGCCGAGGTACGTCTCCTTCTGTTTATGTAGTTGTGGCGACAGCTCAGATTCTGCCTCAGACAATTGCGCTGGGTATTCTCAGCTTCCCGAAAGTTTTCTATCGATTGGGCATGTTCGGGGTACGCTCAACCAAAATCATTGTCCCGGCGGGCTTCTGCTTACTGGGACCCTACAGGGTATTTTCACGACCATCGCTCTAGCCGCCCTATCGTGGCAGACTGGATACGTGATCGTTCAATTCAAGGTTAATCGTGAGTATTTGTTAGCGTTGTCATTTTATATTGTTCTCATCCTCTACGCAAAGATCCTGGTGTCATGAACTTCGCGGATGCCGGTGGTGTCGTCGCTGGTAGGAAGGGTTTCTGGCTCTTGGGCGCCATGCTTGTTACCAAGGTCCGTATAACATTCCAGGTCGATACCATATTCAACAAACTCATACTCTCTTCGCAGTCCGTCTTCGTAGCAGGATCACATGCTCTTTCCGGAGCCATCGCTCTCAACAACATCTCCAGTGGCGCCATTTGCAATATTGCATGGGCAGCCATCATCGCTATCGTATCCTTCCTGTACGCCCCTTCCTCTTTCACGCCCATAAACTCTGTCGCCCTAACAGCCATGGTAGGTTGACCATTCCCCGTACATTTGAGAAGGTTTCCTACATCTCCTTCGTCAGCGTGACCGCCATCCTCACTGCCTGTTTCATCACCATCGTCGCCACTGGTATACAATCCGACTCTGACCTCCCAGACTTCCCCGATAATGGTGCGGTGAGGTGGAAGGCATTTGAGAACCACGGTTTCACCGAAACAATCAATGCGATCACCAACATTGGTCAGTACACATTCTATTCTCAATGTGGCGTCCGTGGCCTACGGTGAGTATACTGATGGTCGACTTGAAATTTGTCGGTGCAGTGTTCGCCTACGGTGGACATGTCGCCATCTTCTCGTTCGTGGCCGAGATGAAGAACCCCGCCGACTTCAAGTACTCTCTCGGACTTGTACAGATCGTCGCCACAACGTTCTAGTAAGTCCTTTTCGGTCCTCGTCCAGTCCTAGCGTTCTGTAAAGCTGACCCACGTTCGTAAGTGTCGTCGTAGGAGCCACGATCTACTCGTTCGGTGGTCAGTACGTGACCTCCCCCGCCCTTACGATGACGTCGAAGCCCGTTCGTATCACTGCATAGTGCGTAGCCAATATCTTTTCCTAATGGTCTGGCCGTCTCGTTGACCATCCGAAACCGAATCTCGTTAACCAACTCACAGCGCCATCGCCCTCGTCTCCATCAGTACGTCCCTACTCGCTTCTGTTCTATCGCCTTCTACGTGTGCTGACGAGTGGCTTTTGTAAACACAGTCATCGCAGGCGTCATCGCCTCCTATGTCGCCGCCAAATTCATCTTCCTCACCCTCTTCCGTAGTTCTCGTCACTTAACCTCGCGCTCGTGGAAGACGTGGGGAATGTGGGCTGCCATCTGTGCTGCGATATGGATTGCTGGGTTTGTCATCGCTGAAGTCATCCCGGTGCGTATGCTCGTTTCATATCTTCCACGTCCTTCTCTTCCCATTCCTCCAATTTTTCGTACTGCAGATATTTCCCCGTGCCCACCTTCCCGTTGTTATGATGGTTGTTGAGATATACTGACGATCACTCCCACAAAAACCAGTTCTTCTCCGACCTCCTCTCCGTGATCTCCTCCATCCTTACCATCTGGTTCACATACGGCCTCTCCGGCGTCCTCTGGCTCTACGATAACGGACCGAAAGGACCTGCCGGAGATCGGACTTCGTATGCGGGGTATTGGTCCAGTAGGAGTCGACTGGCGATGTTTTTGACTAGTGTTTTTGTGGTGCGTTTGATCTTTTCTTGTGCTCGCTATTGCTTGTCTTTGTTCGTTTGCGCCCCTCTCGTCTGACTGATATTTTGGCAATAGATCATCATGTCTGCAGTTATCATGGTGTTGGGTCTGTATTCGTCTATCAAGAGTATCGCGGATAATGTACGTATTCTCTCAGTCGTCTGTTTCCCTTTCACTTGTTTGCGTCGGTCCTGTTGCTGATGTGTGCTCTTTTGATGCGTTTAGTATGCTAGCGGCGCATACAGCCACCCGTTCTCGTGTAGCTCTTAATCGAAATTTCCCTCGACATACACTATACCCCAGACCTCACCGACCTGTCATTGTGCCGTTCGCATCATGCTACCCAATATGATCGTCTCCCATCTGTCCGAGTTGTAGCCCACGATCACAATATCGAAAAATCCTCACGAAGCTCTCCATGACCATTACACACCAGATGTATCCTCCTTCACGAATCGGATCCTCATCCTAACTCAACTTGCGCTGTCATCGTACTTGCCACATCATAGCATACTTAGAAGTATTATGCCATCCCACATGTCCCCAACTGTATCTACGTTATTCGCTTAATATACTTCTTGCACGGACATGGTACACGATCCTGTAGACATCCGGTCCTGTTAGATGATCCAGATTTATTTGTGATGTATTTTCTTGATTTTTTTGGGTGGATTATGGCTGGTCATGTAGTGATGCGTCTATCTCCTGCTGCTCTCAAGGTGGGCAAAGGTTTCACAAACGATTCAGGGTGTGGCAATGAGACCGCCCCTAAGTGCCTTGTTGCGCGCGCAACGAACCGGAGCATATCGGGCCGGATGTGCGCTCTTGCGAGTCGCACTCTCGAGTCAGTGTGTCCTTTCTGGTGTCTTTTCCTCCAAAATCCGCCTCTCACGGCTCACAAAACGACGCCCTATCAATGCACTCGCATGAACAGGTGCGCCCTCTGGGGCTGACCTTCCCTCAAAGCGAGTCAACGCTCGTTCTGCTCCAACATTACCGTCACCACGGGGTACCAGCGCAGTGTCATTAGGACTTGCCAGGACACTCCTATGAGAGTTGCCCGAAGGGCGACCTCGAGAACAGGTTGAATACGCAATTTCGACACAAGTTTTGGGAAGGGTTGGGCGCCTATTGGCGGGTTTTGTGTGGAGAAATATCTTGAAGGGGACTGGCAAGTTCGTGTGAAAGATGCATCTGGATTTGGATCCAATGCAACGCCCAGTTACCAACGCGGAAGCCACGTCAACATCTTTCGATTCCTTCACCGACCTTACTCGTCTTGCTCCCAGCCAGCCAACAACATATTGCCTGTACAGATTTTTCACATGCAGGAGGATTCCGACAGACCATATGGTGCGTAGGACTGATATGGCCACGATTTTCTTGAGTTGGTACATCTAAATAACTTCTCATGGTCGAGTCGCTTCTCTTGTAGGTGCCATGGAAAATGAATCGAAGGGACCGTTCGAGGAAGTCATCGAGACCTCTCAAGCCCTAAGTGCTCCCGTCTCTGACTCCGACTCTGACTCTGACTCGTTAGATTCGATGCAAGGTTAGTGTGGATCCAGAATTTTTTTTTTCTTTCATAATAATCGTCGTTTGTCGCGCTCGTTCTTCAACGTAGATTCCGTCCGTTCAAGACAAAAACCGACTACTGTCGACGTGGTCCCTCTCATCGCGGACATTCCAGGGAGCAAGCTCCCTGATTCTTGTCGTTATTTATCTCACGAACTTCAGGGGTGTATAGAATATCTTCGGGAACAAGCAAATCCTACCACGATCCACGAGAATGGAGCAGGTCTGTCCACGGCCATTGAAGCTGCGAGATCTCAACAGCGACTTGCCGTAGACGAAGAGACCTCTTTGCAGTGCTCATTTGAGCTGGCCAATACCCTTACGCGACGATTCGAGCGGGTCGGCCAATCGAGCGACCTCTACGAGGCCATTGCGCTCTATAAATCATGCTTGTCCAGTACATCCGACGCTCAGAGGAGCTCCCTATCGTCATTTGCTCACAACTACTCGTACGCCCTCCGTCTATGTTTCGAGCTCACGAGTGAGCTATCATGTCTAGAGGAGGCAGTCGCTTTGAGCCGTGGCACTTGGGGGACCACTGTACCTCTGGGCCTGAATGGTACAAACGCAGAAGCAGTGATCAATTTAGCAGAATGTCTACTCCTCCGGTATCGATACCTATGTTCTGTTCCTGACTTCGAGGAAAGTGTTTCTCTGATACGCAATATCCTCTCTCAATGCCCCGAGGGCCATGCACAACGCCCCATCGCCCTCCGATGCATAGCAGAACTTTATATTCTCGCCTACGTGTCAGGTACTGACATCGAGCCAATCATCGGTCATACACCCAGTCTCGCAGAGGCGATCCAATGTCTGGAAGATGCACGGCGATTGATAGCAGCCGACGACGACGAACTGTCACGAATTCTATTCTTGCTCGCCCACGTTTCGTATCTTTGTGTGGCATCAGGCTCGACGAGTCCATCGCCCCCTGACGTCGTCACGCCTATACGCTATGCCCATCAAGCGCTCACGCTCGCCTCTTCCAACCCATCCTTTCGAACGCGAATACTGGCTCATATATACCTCCCGCCGCTGATTACATTCGCTTTTCGTGGCTGCAAAACTAGTTCCCATCGTCATCGTCAGACGAGGATTGAAATAGCCAGGGTGGCAAACGAGATATGTCCCGACAAACACGTGCTGAAACCTGTTGCACTGATGGAACTCGTGCTTGCGCTGGATCAGGATGCATGGAGAGAAGGGACCGTGGAGTCTATAGAAGAGTCCATTGCTATCTGCGAGAGCCTCTTGAAGTTCTGTCCTTCCCCGTTGGTGCCAGACTCAAACCTTGATAGTATCACACTCGCCTTTGAGGCTGGACGAACACCAATTGCGCTGCCTATAATGCCGCGGTTCTGCGACTCGGTATTGAATATAGAAGCTGATTCAGAGGAATCCGTTCGGTCTATCTCCGCTGAATGCATTCCGCTCGACATCGGAACACTTCGCTTCGTTGCTCTGTCTACGCTCTCTCTCCTTTATAGCCAGCGTCACCATCCTGACTATGGGACCTCTCAGTGGACCCATATCCTCACATCCCTTACCATAGGCATAGCTGCCTATCATTCCTTACCCTTGCCCTTGATGGATTCCGACATTACCAACTCATCAATTGTCATATACATGTCTAAGCTCACCGACAACATACTTTCAAAGATGTATGTAAACTTTCAGGCCGGTCTAGTCTATTTTGCTACACAAGCGGACATGCGTAGAGCAGACTTGCTGGGTCACTGGCGGAACCTGACGACGTGGAACTACACCAAAGAACAGCGCTGGATTGTCAGCGGCGCGATCGCCGAAGTCTCTCTGCACAAACTCAAACACGAGCGGAACATGGAAGGGCTCGAGCAGTACATCCAGTTGCTGGAGATCTGGGTCTCCCTCCTCGCACATACAAACGGAGAATCGGAAATCCTCATCCAGGTCGCTCGGGCACGTGCGTTTCGGTACGAGCTCTTGTCCGAGGCCCCGGACAAGAAGGATCTGGAGAAGTGCGAGGATATTATTGAGGGCTTGGTGGCAAATACGGCGTATCCGGTGGTGAACAGAATCAGAGCGGCGACGTTTTGGGCGCCGATAGCGGCGAGCGTCGGGTGGGTCGAGTTGGCATCCAAGGCTTTCGACGATGCGTTGTCGCTACAAAGCAAGCTGACGTTCGTTATGGACCTGAAGGTCAGGATGGTCACGCTGAAACATTCGTATGGATTGCCCTGCGACGCGGCTTGCTTCGAGCTCATGGCGAGAGGGGACCTTCATCGTGCTATCGAACGTCTGGAGCAGGGCCGGGGTGTTTTGTGGTCACAGGCGCATTCAATTCGCATGCCTTTCCACGCGCTCAAAGACCGAGAATTAGCAAAACGGTTCAAGGAAATAGCAGAGCAGTGGAGGACGGGCACGGACTTCGCTATCGATCGAGAGTCGACTCGAAGGAGGGAGAAACTGACTGAGGAGTGGGACGAAGTTTTGGAACGCATAAGGGAGAATGACCCAGAGATGGAGGCGTATTTGCCCGGTGGGAGGACTTGGCAGGAGCTGAAGGGAGTGGTACGGGAGGGGTGCGTGGTGGTCATGCTGGTGGGCGACGAGAAGACGAAACGGTGTTTTGCGATCATGATGCGACCTGCTGCCGAAGGGGGCGACACGTATATTGATCTTCCTACTAGCGTCAACCTGCCCAAGCTGAGAAGACTGACTCAGGTACTTGGTAAGGCCAATAGGACGGCGAGAGATGCGGATATGGGCGATGCATTGGAGGCTGCTCATGAGAGGTTTTCGAGGAGGCTCTACGAGCCGTCGACGCATGACGGCGTTCTCTCAGAGCTGTGGACATCAGTCGTTCGCCCTATATTCACTCATCTAGCATTAAAGGTGAGCATAGTCATAGCAAAATATTTTAAATCCTAATTCTGCCTACATTCCACAGAGAGATCCAGAAGGCGTCCGTCCTCGATTGTGGTGGTGTCCTACAGGGCCATTCGCATTCCTGCCCATTCATGCCGCTGGAATTTATACATCAACCCGTACCGAATGCTGCATGGACTATGTAGTTTCATCCTACGTCCCTACCCTAACGACTCTCCTCATCGCGCGTCGCGAAATGAAAACAATCGATAATCCCAAAGCGTTGATCGTCGCAGCGCAAAACGCACCCAACCAGAAACCTCTGCCCATGGTCAAACTCGAAGCCGAACTCGTCCAATCTCTCCTGCCTCCCAATTCTCTCGTAACCATCAACGACGCTTCCGAATCAAATCCCAACGTCGGCGGCGGAGAAAAAGAAGTCCATCTCCAGGCGGTCCTTTCAAATATCTCAGAAGCCTCCATCCTCCATCTTGCATGCCACGGCTCCCAACACGACGTTTTCCCTGACAACAGCAGCTTTCTGCTCAGAGACGGAGAACTGACGCTCTCGCAGCTGTTGCAGCTCGAGCTTCCGTTGGCGCAGTTCGCGTTCCTGAGTGCGTGCGATTCGGCGGCGGGAGACGAGTCGAGGCCGGATGAGAGCATTCATTTGGCGGCGGCGATGTTGGCGGTGGGCTTCAAGAGCATTATTGGGACTATGTGGTACGTGTTCATAACTTTATTCTCAAGGCTCCGTACGAATACCCATGGCTCGTGATCCAACTTTAATTTTTCTTTTGTAAGGACTATGGACGATAAGGACGGACCTGTAGTTGCTAAAGGCGTTTATTCGAGGATTTTCAAGAATGGTAGGCTCGACTTCGATGCCATCCCTTTTGCGCTTGACGCGACGATACGTGAGCTTCGGGGTTCAAAGGTGTGGGCCTCTCGTTGGGCCACATACGTACACATGGGTGTTTGACGCACTGCCAATGTTTGTGCTTACCGCTTATTCGTACTCCAGCTCTGTGTAAATTTGACTCAAGGCAAATGTACTTACATCCGGGAAGATTTTTGAATGAAAGGGAAATCTGGTTATGCCAATCTTTCTCGCATGGGTTCATTCAGATTCGGAGTCGAAATTTGACACTTGAACCTCCCCTTTGCTTCGCCGGAAGTCAGCGCTGCAGTCCCTCGGCCGATCCTCCCATTCAGGATTCGAGTGTTGCGCATCCTGCATCCAAGCGTTCGTGACCTACAGCATGCCCAAAGGAAGGCTCAGATGGTACGCAGAGCACGCTATTCGTCGAAGATTCGTCAATGACTCGACGCCAAATTTGAGGATACGGAGATTTCACCCCGTCTAATATGGATTCGAACGCTGATCAGACGATGATACAGACACTCTATTGCCAGAAAGAATACAGAGTCTGAGTCGGATGCGAAGGTTAGGAACGACGGTCCGACGAGATGGGATGGGATGACGTTCGACGAAGATTCAGAGCAGGAAAGCAAGGACCTCGAGGACTCAGAGATGTGCATCCCGAGCACCATGACGAAGATGATTAGATGCAACGGAACCGGATGCAGAGCTGAAAACCGAGAACGTTGCGACCAGCAAATGAAACGACGAGCGACACCGACTCACTGCTGAGTTCAGGAAAAGGGACATGACGACCGTCGACCTTCAAAGCCTCATATGTGCTCCCTTCCTTCCTACGCATTCCCATCCAATCTTCGTCTCCGCCACGTCCGAAGCATGCATTTCGAAAGAATCTCTAGTGGCAATCAGCACAAACGAAGGCCCAAATAGAGCGCACGAGATAGAGTTTCCCCGGAGCACATGGAGAGTCCAGAGATCGAAACATCAATATCGCGGACGAAGAAGGTTCGCCTCTTGATATTCTGATTTTCCGTGGTGGTGGGCGGTGCGAATTAGGTGGCAATTGGGGAGGACCGGATGGGGTGGGCATTGGGGACCTTAACGGGACTGTGTTCTCGAGGACGATGACGCGGCTCGGTGCGTCCTCTCATGGATATAAGCACGACCACTAGCAGAGCATCTGACATAGAGCAAAGACCATGAGTAGTAGCGATCGCAAGCAGAGATGGACGGACAGATGTGAGGATTGAGGGGAAGGCGGTCACGTGCCGAGGACATGGTCCGAAAGGGGAAACGGGCGTGGGACAATGCACCTTCTCCCAGCGCCGCTCTCCTTTCGCTCTCCTTTCTTCCCCTCTCCTTTGCCTCCCGCCACATAACTCTGAGCGGTGCTATCTGCAGTGCCCTTGGTAATTTGGGAGATACTTTTTGTTCATCAGTAAGAGGATAAGGCCGACATCGGATTGATTTAGGTTTGAACTCGAGTTCGTTCCCGTTTTTTGTGCATTGTCGACACTCTCCTTCACCGCCAACGGTGGTCGTGCGCAGACCTACGCCAGCTGCACTCTATAAACAAGATGCGTGCGCATTTTTTTGCTGGTATTGTGACCGCCCTCATTTTTACACGCCCTCTATGCCCTCTCTTTTTCTCATGTGTTTTATTTCTTTTTCTCTCCTCTCCTCTTGTTCCCCTCTCATTTTCCTGTCCCGTTGTTCCCCCTCTACGCGACTCTGACACGCAACCAACCCATTTTCCCCACACTCGAACCACAGCACATCTAACCTATCTTCACCATCGCCCACATCCACGGAACGTCACAAGATTTCAGACGTCGGTCAGAGAGCGATATGTCTCCGCTCGTGGAGAGCCCGAGGGGGCGTATGGATTATACGTTCGCCAACAATTCTCTACCGTCTCAAGCTCCTCTCCGAACGCTTCGCCGCCACAGCCCGCGACCTCGAGCTTGCACACGCAGCTCTACCACCCGACGACGACAAAGACGGGCTCGGAGGATCTGAGGCCGTCAAAGTCTAACAGAGATCAGGGAGCAGGTCGGATGCCTGGAAAGGACTGGGAAGGAGCTGGCCAATGCGTGTCTCAATCGACTGGGCCGGGGACTGGTCAGTGGCGCGAATGCAAATGTCACAGACAAGGTGATGAGGGGGAGAATGTGGGTGCCGGTGTGCTGCTTTGTGTGTTCGGGGCTGCGCAGTGGGCCCGACAAGTTTCGAGTGTTTGATATTGTTGTATGATCTTTTTCTTCTTTCGGTCCGATGCACTTAATATATTGATGTTTTTTTGGCTCACGTTGTGGAGGAGCATACGAGCGTACTCGTGTACTCCCCCGTATGAGAAGGAAAAGGAGTTGAAGTAGCGACTTGCGAACGTACTTACGCTCGTTCAGTCGGACTTTCAATTCCCGGTCAAACCCAGTTTGCAGCATCGCGATGTTTTATTCGTTTTTCTTCTCGTTTTTCCTTGGACTACTGAGCTGTCCCACTTGAGCACTTCTAGGGAATCCCAGGTATCGCCTCGAGCACTCGGAGCAATTGTTTTCAAGTAGTGGCGATCACGGCACGCTAAATCGACATCACTAGTGGACGAAGGGCCGGAGCCATCCGCCCGGGACTAGGAACGGAACGCGCGGCCTCGGGTTCAGCCACACTTCGCCTCTCCTTCCACTTTGTTCGATTTATTGCTAGCACTTCCCCTTCCCCGTTTGCCTCGAAACTTTGTACAGCACTTCACCCATATCTAACCTTCACTAGCAAATTATTTTCGAGTACGAGTCTCATCTGGTTCTCTCTAGGCGACCCTTCAACTCTGGGCCTCACCATTAGTGCGCTTTTTCACCCTTTTATTTGTTTTTCCTGCTTCTTTTAATTTCCACCACCAATCCCTATCGCATCGACGGTTTATTGACCTGAAAGGAGTATCTTCCGGTTCGTAACCTTGCGCCGCAGCATGTGGACAGGTCTTGGCGATTGGATTGGGCACCCAAGTCTGCCACTCTGTGTGAGGGCCACAGAGGACCTCCACATCGCTCGCGTTCGTCAATAGCTGCAGGTTTCGATCTTGGAGTACTCTTGGATGGTAAATAACACTGTTGACATCTTCAACTTCGAACATGGAACGCTCTCTTTTATTTTTCTTCGATTTTACGATACTCTATTCCACTTGGCCTCTCCTTCATTTCCCGGACATTCTAATTATGTATCTAGATCTAGGATCGCATTTTCCACTGTTCACTAGCGTTCCGATGCACTTGTAGCTTGCCCGACGGCGCATGAGCACGCGCGGCTGATCGGGGAGCAAGCTGCTCTTGTCACTTATACCGGTGTCCTGCCACCTCTCGAATGCAGGTCCCCCCTCACCCCGTGAACTCGAACGTCTCTGTCTGCGTGTCTGTCCGTCAACCGTCTGTCTCCCCCACTCGTCAACTCTATCGTCTGCCTCTCGCTCTCATCATCCTCCACTCTCTTTATTCTGACTCCACTCGCCTCGCCTCAATACCCCCATTTTCTCCAATTTCTGCTGCTTGCTTCCCTCGTCTCGTTTCTCCACCACGTTCCGGCTTATCCTCGGAGAACTCGAACTCTCTCAAAACCCTACAAGTTTCCGCATTTACTAATCCGGTGCGTACATTGCTACTCTAATTTTCCTCCCTTTTCCACTCGCTTGATCGGCCTCTCTTCTACCTCTGTAGACCGAGCGACCACGTCCCGATCCCCTCCTCCTCCAATCAGTTTCGTACCTCCACAACGTCTCGCTCCCGAACAGAGTTTTTGTGTAAGTCGACTGGCATTCGTGCAAAAGAGGCATCCGGATCTGGATCCAGCATCGGTCAAGCGTGCATCTTTCGATTTCTTTACGATTCTCATTCGTCTTGCTTCCAGCCAGCCCATAACATATTGCCTTTACGCATCTTCACATGGAGAAGAATTCGAATAGGCCGCATGGTACGTAGGACTCATATCGTTACGCTTTTCCTGCATACTTATTGGTACATCTAAATGACTTCTCATGGTCTCCCTTCTGTGGTAAGTGCCGCAAAAAGCGAATGAAGGCCCCGTTCGATGAAGCTATCAAATATGACACCTCTCAAGCCCTAAGTACTCCGGTCTCTGAGTCGTTGGATTTGATACAAGGTCAGTGTGGATCCAGGCAGACTTTGCCTCTCTTCGTCATAACCATCATCTGTCGCGCGAATCGTGCTTCAGCTAACGTAGACTCCGCCCGCTCTAGCTCAAAGCTGAGTACTGTCCATGTGGTCCCTCTCATAGCGGGCATTGCAGGGAACTCGCTCCCTGATTCCTGTCGATATTCACCTCACGAACTTCGGGGGCTTATACGATATCTCCTTGAACAAACTAGTTCTACCACGATGCATGACAATGATGCAGGTCTGTCCACGACCATTGAGGCTGTGAGATCTGAACAGCGGCTTGTCGTAGACCAAGAGTTCTCCTTACAATGATCCTTCGAGCTCATGCGGCGATTCGAGCGAGTTGGCCAATTGAGGGACCTTAACTATTGGTACGCCTTCCGTCTATGTTTCGAGCTCACGAGTGAGCTGTCATGTCCAGAGGAGGCCATCAGTTCGATACGACCCACTTCGCAGATCACTATGCCTCCGGACGTGAAAAATATGAGCCCAGAATCAGCGATAGTTCAAACGAAGGTTTGTTCCTGCGGTATCGATACCTGTGTTATCGTCCTGACTTCGAGGAAAGTGTTTCTTTGACTTCTGCTCGTGGTCGAACTCGATGCTGAACTCGTCCAACTCTTATACATCAACGGCACTTTAAATTCTGAGTCAAGTCCCTACGTCGGCGGCAGCGGTCGTGGAGTAAAAGACGACCACGTCCAAGCCGTTCTCTCCAACATCTCAGGAGCCTCCATCCTCCATCTCGTATGCCACGGCTCCGCACAGGATATCTTCCCCGAGAGTAGCAGCTTTCTCCTCCGAGATGGTGAGCTGACGCTCTCGCAGTTATTGCAGCTCGAGCTTCCGTTGACGCAGTTCCCGTTCTTGAGTGCGTTCAATTCGGCGACGGGGGACGAGTCGAGGTTGGATGGAAGAATGTATATGGCGGCGGCGATGTTGACGGTGGGATTCAAGAGCGTCACTGGGACAATGTGGCGGTGATTCCGTTCTATTTTCGGCCTACGCCAGCCTGAGACTGCCGTCCAAATACTTATAAATGGCTTATCCGCACCAATCCTAGTGCTATGAGGGTGTATGTATGCGGTCCTCATGTATTCTATACTTACTCTGCTGCCGTGCATGGCCCTTGAGGCCGACACGTGTATATATGGCTACCGCCAAGTTGAGCGCCAACGCACACCTTCCTCCTCGACAGCCATCTCTTCTCATCGAACAGCTCGAATTTCATCCTCGCAAATTTCTCAACAGTTCTTACTCGATGGCGAATACTCCAGATTTCTCCGATATCTGGAATGAGGCTGTGGACAAGCACAAGTCGGAGACGAAGTCCGACTCGCTGCCCCTTGACTCTTTGGGCACTACCAATAGCGTCGAGGCTATCCTGACAGCGATCGCAGGGAATCGGAAGGATTTTGAGGACAGTCGGGCGAAGGGAAAGAGTCTGCGAGATGTATTGAAGCCTGTCGTGAAGGTCGTGCAGCTGATGGCGGAGGTGGCAGGAGAAGGGGCGAACTTGGTGCGTGCGCGCTATTAATGACCGCTTACGAGCGTCAACCTCTTCCTTCCTGACTGCCTATGTTGGAATTAGGCTTTCTCACCGGGAAAGACGATATTCGTTGCCATTGGGGTACTGCTTAAGGTATCTTTTTCGTATACAACATTGCGCTCAATGCTGACTGAATATTCTCCAATCATTTATCTATTGTAGGCCTCCGACGGGGTCAGCAAATGCTACGACTCGGTGATCGACATCTTCGAGAGCCTCGAAAGCTTTCTCGGCCGCTTGACCACGTATCTCGAGCACGATATATCGTGTCTGATGAAGGAGGTAATCGTCAAGATTCTCGCACACCTTTTATCGATCTTGGGAGTGGCGACTAGGCTCATAAGAGAACGCCGTGCGGGTAAGTGAAACATGGTATCTGGTAAAAATGTACAACAATGACGGGCGACTTTCGGCAGTTACATACTTAAAAACTCTGATCGGGAAGAACAGCGAGGTTCAAGTCGCGATGGAGAAATTGGACAAGCTAACTGCGCAGGAAGGTCGAGCGGTTGCAACTGCTACGCTTTCGTCGGCGAGTGAGATTCGAGCGGTCGCAACTGCTACGCTTTCGGCGGCGAGTGAGATACTCTCGCAGCTGGAGACTAGGATGAAATGTTTGTTTTCTTGTTGTGCGATTGTCTTAGATCTGTGACTAACCACACCGGCCGGTACTTTCCAGCCGATCAACAGGACGCGAACGCTATCAAGACGATGCTGATGAAGATCGCTCAGGAAGCTGAAGCGATATCTGGTATGATTAAATTCACGCTCCCTTTTCTGTCATTGATTCTGGATCACATGTGTCATAGGTAGCTCTCAAGAGGGTCGAATCATGCTCGAAGAAATTCGGGAGCATATCATGAAAAATTCAAAGAAGGTCTTACCATATCTTGGTAAGTACACTCTATCTACTAAGAGCATCATTCCATGGTACCTATTCTCTTTGTAGCCAATCATCATCGGTTTGAGGTCCATAAATGGCTGTCAGCTCCTTCCTCAGTGTCAAATTACGAGGACAACAAAAGCCTGCGAGAGGCCGGGACCGGATCGTGGTTCATCCAATCTGCGGACTACAACCAGTGGAAAAGCAAGAGTAACTCCCTATTATGGGTTTCAGGCGGCCGTAAGTAGTTCAATGGTTCAACGAAGAGCATATGCTGATCGTTATCATCGGTAGCTGGGTCCGGAAAGAGCGTGTTGTCGTGCGTATACCTAACCTAGGTGACTGACATGAATACTGACACCACTGCATCCTAGTTCCACCATCATAAGCGACATCGAGTTTAACTCTGTAGTCGACTCGTCTCTTTCGCTTGCCTACTTCTACTTCGACTTCAGGGACTCGGAAAAACAGCACTGTCTAGGGCTTATCTCGTCGCTCATTGATCAGCTTGCTTCTCGTTGCTCGGACATGCCTACCGCTCTGGAGCAGCTCTATGCTGTTCATCGGAATGGGATGGAGCGACCGACGCTGCACAAACTAGTCACAGCTTTGAAGGAGATGATAATGAGCATCACCTGCAGGGTTTACATCGTCATTGACGCTCTTGATGAATGCTCACAGCGGAAGAATCTCATGGCTCTCATTGAGCAAATGACAAAGTGGAATCTTGGCAATCTGCATATGCTGCTCACGAGCCGGAAGGAAGAGGATTTGAATCATTCTCTGCTGCCGCTGTCAGTAGAGGTCAATCTCGAAAGCTCCCTCGTTGATAGAGACATTGCATTTCATGTTCGCACTGTCTTGCAGAATGACCGAGCCTTCTCGAAGTGGCAGCCACCGCAGAAGCTCGAAATAGAAACCAGTTTGACAAAAGGAGCCCGTGGAATGTATGTGTTCATCTCTGATTCTATGCCTAATTGGATGCTTATAAATTCATGCAGGTTCCGATGGGTATTTTGCCAGTTGGATAGCATTCGAGGATGTCCTAATGCAAGAACATTGACAAAATGCCTAGACACTCTGCCAAAGACACTGTATGAGACGTATGACAGGATTCTTAAGCACATCGACGACCAACATTTCGAGTATGTTCATGCCACACTGCAGTGGCTTGCATTCTCTATGCGCCCGGTCAAACTGGAGGAGGTTGTGGAAGTGCTGGCCATGGATTTCGACAATGTCCCTTTACAATTTGTACCGGGGTATCGCTTCCCTGAACCACGAGAGATTCTTACTATTTGCTCCAGTTTGGTCACACTTTCCGGAACTGGTGTCTTAGAACTCTCACATTTCTCCGTTAAGGAGTATCTTGACACGAATATGACCGAATGTAGTATCCAACGCTATTCATTCAATGCCCAGATTGCCCACGAATTCATAGCCCGCACCTGTATTGCATATCTGATGCAGTTCACACAATCTGTGGATGACATTGGGCCCTTCCCCCTGGCTCGTTATGCAGCAGAGCATTGGATGAACCATGTTGGATCTGCTCATACCGATGCCCTAGCCGAGCTTGCTTTCAATCTTCTCCAGGCTCACAGCGTGGCTTTTGTTAATTTGGTCAGAATTTGTGATGTGGATCACCCTTACAGTCCACCGAAACTATCACGGCCACATCATGATATTCCTACTCCACTCTACTACGCAGCAGGGGCAGGTTTTGTCAGAGTATCCCAGAAATTGCTAGAGCACGGTGCTGAGGTGAATGCGCAGGGCGGCTACTACGGGAATGCGCTCCAGGTGGCGTCGCTTGGCGGTCACATCGCTGTCGTGGAGCTGCTGCTCGAGAAGGGGGCCGACGTGAATGCGCAGGGCGGCATATACAAGAATGCGCTCCAGGCGGCGTCACGTGGCGGTCACATCGCTGTCATGGAGCTGCTGCTCAAGAAGGGGGCCAACGTGAATGCGCAGGGCGGCGGATACAGGAATGCGCTCCAGGCGGCGTCATTTGGCGGTCACAAAGCTGTCATGGAGCTGCTACTCGAGAAGGGGGCCGACGTGAATGCGCAGGGCGGCTTCTACGGAAATGCGCTCCAGGCGACATCGGCTGCAGGTCACAAAGCTGTCGTGGAGCTGCTGCTCGAGAAGGGGGCCGACGTGAATGCGCAGAGCGGCGTATACAGGAATGCGCTCCAGGCGGTGTCGTACAGCGGTCACATCGCTGTTGTGGAGCTGCTGCTCAAGAAGGGGGCCGATGTGAATGCGCAGGGCGGCGAATACGGGAATGCGCTCCAGGCGGCGTCGGAAGGCGGTCACATTGCTGTCGTGGAGCTGCTGCTCAAGAAGGGGGCCGACGTGAATGCCCAGGGTGGCCGGTACAGGAATGCGCTCCAGGCGGCGTCATTTTGCGGTCACATCGCTGTCGTGGAGCTTCTGCTCAAGAAGGGGGCCGACGTGAATGTGCAGGGTGGCCTATACGGAAATCTGCTTCAGGCGGCATCGCTTTTTGGTCACAAAGCTGTGGTGGAGCTGCTACTGGAGAAGGGGGCCGACGTGAATGCGCAGGGCGGTGGATACGGAAATGCGCTCCGGGTGGCGTCGGAATGCGGTCACATCACTGTCGTGGAGCTGCTGCTCGAGAAGGGGGCCGATGTGAATGCCCAGGGCGGCGAATACGGGAATGCGCTCCAGGCAGCATCACGTTACGGTCATAAAGCCGTCATGGAGCGGCTGCTGAAGCACATGGAAATCCAGGACAATCTCTCAAAGGTAAGCTTGGGATATATCTGTGGTTTATCCTCATCTTTCTTGTGTCATGTCCTGACGAAATTAAATTTGGTTTCAGAATGTATTGACCCAAGGTCCAACTCCACCTGCGAGTAAGATTGATGTAAACACGAGTTCAGACTGTGCATCCTCGGACAGTGCATCCGAGTCTAGCTTCTCCAGTGATGACAATGATGGCTACTTCTCTGCTCAAAGTAGTTTATAATTTATTCATGCACATCCTTCCCCCTTCTCGACTTCTTGATTCCGATTCTGGGATTGCACGAATCAATTGTGACATGAGCTTAGGACACGAAGGTGTTCGCTTCTCGTTGGGCTGCATGCTTATGTCCGTATGAGTGCTTGCCAGTGACGCACAGATCTCAGGATTTACTACTTAGTCCCTAGTTGTAGTATCACTCGAGTCTCCGGTCGATAAAGTTGACTCGAGATAAATGTACCGGAGTACAGTGGCTGAGAGGGTGTTGATTGTCGTGTATATTGAATTCTATATTTCCTGCACTCACAATCTAACTCACGATCATAGAGTGAGATTAAGATATTAGTTCATCTGACTGAGATCCCTAACCTTCCATCGAAAACCAAGCAACATACTTGCGCTCCGAAGTATCCCATTAAATCATCAACAGTAGTACTGTCAAAACAAGAAACATGTCGTTGAGGTTTCAGCAACGGAAAACGTGAGCTATGAGGGGCGGAAACCGATGATAAGTAAGTATACGGTGCCGCTGATACTCCGAACTAGAGATTTATTTACAACTTACTTATACCAAATTGGCCATGCGGGTGCCGAAGGCGATACTTGACGAACACATTCAAGCGGGCGTCGATTAGTACTTTCACAGAAACACATAAGAGGGGCTCGAGAGGGACGCACGTACTTATTATCGACGTGTAGAAGTAAGTAGCTTGATCGACGTGCTCTGCTCTGCTCTTCTCGCTCGCGCCGTGCTTCGTTCTTGGAGAATCCCCAACCCACCTTCCTCCAAGGACCAAGAATCGAAAATCTTCTTCCCCGTTCCACCCTCTCTCGAAACTTGCAGATCAGGCAGTCCAGTTCGCGCAGGATACACTCCGAATGTTTTGATACATAGTCGTAAGTACTATAGCCAGTCGAGTGTCCGTGGAAAGCGGTGATACTTGGGTAATTTAAATATGTCTGCGTCCTTGAGCTAGATGCACCAGAGAATTTCCACCAAGGAGCTTCAGAACTTCACTCGCAAGTCGATGTCCGGGTCGCCAAATGATCCAGATGAGAAAGCATTAAAACGACGAACATTTCCAGGGTGGGACAGAGCAAGGCGCAGAGCTGCACGAGTACTAGGATCAAGGACGACGACATGTGTTGAGTCCAGGTGCTGAAGACACTAAGTAGCATGCAAGTCGCGCACCAAGTCTATAGGATGGAGATCGTGGTGTGGTTGTATATGCCAGCGGCACGGCGTAGTCCATGAATATCGCCAGAAACTTTCCTGTCAATGATGGCCACGCGAGTCTCGAAAGACGAGATGCGTCCCCGGCGACCTACTACTTCAAGTTACGAAAGCAGCGGTTTTACTTGTGACGATGTGGCGTCGGATATGTCAGTCATAAGTCCAGTGAGCTGGGCGAAAGGCAGTCTGTAGAAGGTTGCAATCAATAATCGCTGGACCAGAACAGGGGGAAACATTGCTGTCGTGGTTTGGTCATACTCGTAAAGTCAACCAGAGTCGACGCCGCCATTCGAGAAAGATTCGGTGTTTAACAGGGCCTATCCATCCATAGTATGAGCCCGCCCTGATCACAGAGTCCTCAGGTCTGTCTGAGGCCCGAGCTTTCAGTCCCAATTGGCGCTCAAATAAAGCACGGAGGGACAATGACGAAGAGACGAAAAGGCAGTCACAGCGATGAAGACTTCTTCTTCGTGCGAGACCAAGTCGGTGTTATAGTCCCTCGGCCGATACCACCCATCCAGTATTTCAGTACCAGTATACAGTATTCGAGATCCCAGGGAGAGTACGCAAAGCCCCCGTTGGAGCATTCGATGAAGTTGGAAAGATTGAGGATTCGGAGATTTCGACCGTGTAATAGGCAGAGCTGAGCGGCAAACGCTGATCAGACGACAATATATACAGTCTACTGCCAGAAAAAATACGTACTCAGAACAGGACGCGAAGGTTAGGAACGACGGTCCGATAGGTCGAGGTAGGTGGGATGTGATGACGTACGACGAAGAGCGCAGAGGAAAACAAGGAGTTCCAGGACTGAGGGATGCGCGAGCGAACGTGACTGGTAAAAGTTAGATAAATGCCACAGAGGTGGATGCAGAACTGAAAGCTGAGAACGCAGAGCAAATGAACACGACGAGGGATAGCGACTCATGAGCGCAGGAATAGGGCCTGACGACCGTCGACCTTCAGAGCCTCAAGGCCTCATATGCGCCCACCGAGTCTGATTCCTATTCCCATCCCATCTTCATCTCCGCCACGCCCGACGCACACAGATTTCTAAAGAGCAATCAGCACAAACGACCGCCCAGATAGAGATAGATAGAGGGGACGAGATAGAGTTGGTGGGGAGCAGATCGATACAAGATCGATATCGAGGTCGAGCGAAACCGAAGGAGGTGCGCCTGTTGCTATTCCTGATCTTCCGTGGTGGTCACTGGTGGGCGGTGCGGATTAGGTGGTAATTGAGGAAGACCGGATGTGTGGGCGTTGGGGACCTTATCGGCAATGTGTTCTCGAGGACGATGTCGGTGGGTGGCGGGAGAGGGAGATCGGATGACGTGGCCCGGTGCATCCTCTCATGCCCATGCTCATATGGCCACCGATACAGTATCCTACATAGAGCAATGGCTGGCAATAGTAGCCTTTGTAGGTGCACGTACCAGAGCAGACTTCCACCTGAGACGGCGATCGAGCATATGTTGAACAATGGGTCGGACCCGGATCGAGCACATAATTCATAGGCCGTGAACTTTGAACTCAGTACATCTGTACATCTGTGCCTCTTCTTACGACACAGCGGTCCAAACAAACAAAGCCCAATCCAATTCAAAACATCGGATGAGTACGACACATGCAGGCATGACACATAACTTAGCTAGTAAAACAGCATACGACATACAACATGATTCAGGACTCGGATAGCATATACACAGCGAATCGATTGGTTTCACATAACACTGGATAGTTCAGATTGTCCGAGATAGAGATGGAGAGGGACTCATACGAGAAGACGCGACACGACGAAACACAACACCACTTAACACACAACACCCGTTAACGCACAACAAAGGATCCTAATCATACAAGTACACCCACATCCACATCCACATCCACATCCACATCCACATCCACATCCACCGGAGATAGAAATGAGCGGAGATCTGGATAGAAATAACAGAGATAGCAGAGAGAGGGAGAAAAAAGAAATACAACATGTATAGTTGCATATTGAGTATATTCCGCGTGTTCAGACAGATGAGATAGAGAGGATAGCAGTGCACTGTGCGTTTGTGTATCCGGCGAGAGAGAGAAAAAAAAGATAGAATGAAAGGAAGGAAGAACGTTTCCGGACGTGTACGACGTGGGGAAAGAAATTTGAAAGCATGGGAGAGCAAAAAGAAAAAGCAAGAGGCATAAGACGCATCGTGTACGCGAAGGAAAATGAAAAGGAAGAGGAAAGGAAGACGCATACGATAGATAGACCGACAGAGAAGAAAAAAAGGACATCCCATCCCGCCACCTTCACCGAAGGGCGGGGGTGGGTGTATAGTTAGAAGTTAGAAGTACAACAAGCGGTCCTTGTTCCAGTTTAAATATCCAGAACGAAAAAAAAGAAGAAAGAAAAGAGAAAAGAGAAAATCTCGCCACCATTCCCGCCTTTACCACCATTGGAAACTCACACCCCCCACCCCGCATCCAGTTGATACGCACCATGGCCATAAGGCCCATCCACCTCGCCCTCAGATCCCTGCATGCTTACATACCCATTCCCCCACACATCCGGCACGGCCTGCCCCTCTCCTTGCAGCCCATATCCGTACCCATACCCATACTGACCCTGACTCTGCGAACACGCCTCTGCACCCCACCCGCCCTGACTCGCATACCCGTTCGTAGCCGCACTCGAAGGTGCAGTGAAAGGCGGATACGGAAATGGCTCAGGCGACGACTCCTCCGGCGACGAAGCGGAATAATATAAATCGGGCGTCATCGACGGGCGGGCGTTTGCGTACTGGGCGGCGTCGGCTGTGGCGTTTGCGAGTGCGAAAGCTGCGTCGGTAGTATTGCCAAAGGCGGAAGAGCTAGAGGATGCGTCGGGGGAGAAGAAGGCCGCGTTCGCGGTCGCGTAGGTCGAAGTGCCGTATGTTCCTTGTCCTTGTCCTTGTCCTTGTTGCGTCGTGGCGGGAGCAGGGCTAGACGCTTGTCCAGCCCAACCCGTCAAAGTCGAATACGTCGACAACGGTGGCCTGGATGTGGTGATGTTATCCTGGACCTGGACGTAGGGTGTGGCGGTGACGGTGGCGTATGGTTGATTCGTGGTGTAAGAGTTATGCTGTGGAATCTAGAGGATATACGGCAATGCGAATAGATCGTCAGCGTCCATCCAAACAAAAGAAAATATAGTCTGGAAGAGGAAGAGGAATTGGAGATAGTTCGCATACCTCGTTCCACGTATAACCCTGCGCATACATCTGGCTCTGACCGACCTGACCAGCCTGTATCTGCATCTGCATCTGCCCATTCTCATATACCGGCACCTGAGCCTGAATCGAATCGACAGATCCTCGTCGCATGTACATGGCCGTCAGTGGCACTTGAGGCTGCTCTTGTGGGACTTGTGCTTGGGACTGTTCGTCTTGTACTTGTGCTTCGGCTTCGGCTTTGGCTTGTGCGTTCGAGTTCGAATTCGCCGACGGCTGATGCCCTTCCTCGAAAGCGACAGAAGGCGATCGCTCCCTCTTCACCTCCCTGCTTTCCCTTTCTCCCCCGTTCACTCCATCTACTCCATCCACCTCAACGACTCCTCCATCCCTCTCAACCTCCCACTCCCAGATCGCCCTCTCCAACTCCCCACCTTTCAATCCTCGATGGATAAAAGAGGCGATCTGTTCGCAGCGTTCGTCGCGACGGGTGTGCGAGGCTGCGGTCGAGGCTGCAGTTGGGGGGTTGGAGTGTTGGTTTGATTTAGTGTGGGGATGGGGATGGGGATGGGTGGGGGGTTTCGTAGTTAATGCCGGGGGAAGACTTGTGGTAGAGTGGGCGTGGGCGTGGTCGTCGTTGGCGGCGGGGTTCTCAGGAGCGGGAGACGATGTTTCTATCTCAATCGAGGGCTCGACATTGGCGGTGGCGGTGGCGACATCGTCCTTCCGTGCTCTCGTCCTCGCCCGTGCACTCTCGTCTTCGTCCTCCCCATTCTCCGCATCTGCGTCATCCGCATGATGTGCGTCTGAATATGCTTCGATCTCTTCACCCCTCTTACGTTTCTTGCCCTTCCCTTTCGCGCCCTTCCCTTGCGCGCCCTTAGCCTTCCCACCTTTACCCTTCTTCTTCTTTGGCATCGCACTACTACTCCCGCCCTCATCCACACCAACGCCCCCCCAATCCCATTCCCCCTGCTGCCCATTCTCTCCCCCATTCCCTTCGGCGTGCATACTATTCAAAGACATCGACATGGACAAAGCAGAGGCCGCAGCGGCTTTATTATCACCAGGCGAAAACCTCCAATGCGGATATCGCGCCCGATGCGCCTCCAGCGCGTCTGCGGCTTTGGCGTCCCAGATCGCGCGTTCGTGAGGGGGGAGTTTCTTCCATACGTGGCCTGTTGGACGAAGGACGAGGAGAAAAAGATAGCGTGAGTTTCGATCTGGGACTCGGTCGAGGAAGAGGATAAACGAATCGCGAAACGACAGTTTGGGATGTAAAGTGGAAGAAGCGCAAAGCCAGTGCCACCACCCCCCTCACGGTCCCCAAAACGCCAACAACGCCACAAAGACTACCATAAGAAACGCCACCAAGAAACACCACCACAAAACCACCCAAAAAAACGCCGCCTAAAAACATGAAAAAAAAAACTCACCGCATATCTTACTCAACGAACTATGTCTCCCCTCGATCCTCCCCGGAATCGCACGGGACTTGATGAACGAACTCCGGAAAATGATGAACGCGTTCGGCGGACGGGGGATGTAGCCGTCGTCGCGGGGGGGTTTTTTCGTGCGGGGGCGGGGGCGGGATTGGGGTTGGGGTTGCGTGGATGTGGATGTGGATGTGGATGTGGATGTGGTTTGAGTTTGAGTTTCGGTTGATTGGGATGGAGGAGGGTTTGGGTTGGAGGGTGAGGAAGAGGAAGAGGGTGGAGGGGGAGCAGGGGAAAGCCGGGCGACTACAGCCTGAGCAGAAGATAGAGCGGGAGAGTTGGACGTAGGTACCGCGGTATGTTGACCCTGCGGAACAGCGAACGCGAAAGAAGGCGATGCATGAGAATGATCGGGCGACACGGGCGACATCATCGGTGAAGGGCTCGCGTAAAACTCGGAGAATGAAGAGGTTGCGCCGGGTGTGGATGGCGAGAGCGTGAGCATCGATGAAGATGCGGGGAAAGAGTACGCGTGGTTGTGGTTGTGGCTGGATGGAGAGGGCGAATAGTTATTGTTGGATGTGATGACCTCGAATTGGCCATACGCGTATCCGTGTCCATATCCATAACCGTGACTCGACGCGTCGCGAGAGGGTGTCGCGATAGTCAGAGGCGCGTTATGTTGTTGTTGTTGGTTGTAGTTTGTGTTATTATTATTGTTACTGATGTAACTGCCGTCGTTGACATGTTGTGTCTCGTTATCGATAGTGTTGATGAAGGTGTACTCCATCTGCCCCCTCGGTCTCTCCACGAGCGGAGGCATATCGCTCTCCGACCCGTCGACGTCTAATCCCTTGACCGATGTGGAGTTGAATCCGGATATGAATGCGGATGTGGATGGGGGAGGAGGTAGGTTGGAGAAGTTGAAGAAGATGGAGGGAGGACAGTGAGAGATGGGCGGCCGATCGACGAGCGGAGGCATTTCTTCTGTGGTTCGAGCGTGGGAAAATGGGTTCGGTTGGTGTCAGCGTCCGTGTTGGGCACAATAGACCACGAACAATGGCATGAAGGAGAACAAGAAGACGAGAGAGGAACAAGGACGAAGATAAAAAGAAGAAAAGAGACGGGAGAAAAGGACTGGGCAAAGACGGCGTGATAAAAACGAGGGCGGATGTATAGCCACACCGGCAACAAAACACGCACCGTGGTCATAGCCTGCGTGGATCTGCGCACGCGCATTGTTGGCGGTGAGGGAGAGTGCGAGCATGTCGACAATGCAAAAAACCTCGAACGCGATCTCTCGTTCGAACCCAAATCGATCTGATCTCGGCCTTATCTTTCTACTACTAAACAAAAAGTATTTACCAAATTACCAAGGACACCGCCTATAGCACCGCACAGAGCTACGGGGCGGGGGGACAAAGGAGAGGGGAAGGAAAGGAGGAGGGAAGGAAGGAGGGCGAAAGGAGAGCGGTTTAGAAGGGGCAGGCGCTGGGACGCCCTCACGGAGGTGCATTGTGCCAGGAATGGAAGGTCCCTCGCCTGTCTGTGAATCCCTTCCCCTTTCGGACGACCGGCGACTTCCCTCGGCACACCGCCTTCTCCTCATCCTCACATTCGTCCATCCTCTGCTATGCGTGCAATTTGCTGCTGCTGCCAGTCTCTGCTCTATGTCTGATACTGTAACGTCGGCCGTGCTGAGCATATGCATAAGAGGATGCAACGAGCCACGTCATCCGATCTCTTTCTCCCGCCACCCACCGACATCGTCCTCGAGAACACACTCAGTCCAGATAAGGCCCCCTTCGCCCACCCATCCGGTTCTCCTCAATTGCCGTCTAATTTGCACTGCCCACCACCACGGAAGATCAGAAATAGCAACAGGCGCACCTTGTTCAGTTTCACTCGACGTCGGTATTGCGTGATGCTGCATGTGCTCCCTCAACTCTATCTCGTCCTCTCTAATCTATCTCTATCTGGGTCATCGTTTGTGATGATAGCCCTTTAAAGATTCTGGGTACATGCGTCGTCGGGCGTGGCGGAGATGAAGATGGGATGGGAATACGAATCAGACGAGCTGGGCGCATATGAGGCCTTGAGGCTTTGAAGGTCGATGGTCGTCAGGCCCTACATACTTATTCCTGCGCTCATGAGTCGCTATCCCTCGTCGTGTTCATTTACTCTGTGTTCTCAGTTTTGAGTTCTGCAGCTAGGTCCGTTGCGTTCATCTATCCTTGTCATGTTGCTCGCGATGCGCGTCTCCACGTCCTCGAATTCCTTGTTTCCTCCCTTGCGCTCCTCGTCCAACGTCATCTCACCCCACCTTACCTTGTCCTATCGGACCGTCGTTCCTAATCCCGCGTCCGATTCAGACTTGGACTCGTTTCTGGCAGTAGAGTGTTTATATCGTCCTCTGATCAGCCTTCGCCGCTCATCTCTGCCTATCAGACGGGCGAAATCTCCGTATCCTCAATCTTGGCGTCCTTGACGAGTGTTCCAACGGGGATTCTGCCTACTCTCTCTGGGATCTCGAATACTGGGTGCAGGATAGTGTATACTGTGTACTGAACACATAGACTATACAGTGTATCGTCTGAATCTTGATCAGCGTTCTACCTCTTGCCTCTGAATCTGCCTGTTACACGGACGAAATCTTCGAATCCTCAATATTTAATCTCGGCGTCTTGGACGAGCGCTCTAACGGTAGTCTGCTCACTCTTTTGAATGTACATGTTTGGATGTGGAACGGTCGAATACTCAATACTGTAATACTGTGTGAGTGCACAAGCTGTCGGCCGAGGGACTATAACGCCGACCTGGTCTCGCACGAAGAAGTCGTCTTCACTACTGGCAACTGTCTTTTCCTCTCTTCGTCATCATCTTCGAGCGCCAACTGGGCCTGGGACCGAAATCCAACGTGGGCGGACGATGCAAGTCTAAGTGTGGAGGTGAGCTAGTGTCTAAAATCGAAGCTGGCTCGCACTACGGACAGTTTATATTTCCTAACTTCCGATCGTTCTTCGAGTATCCCTACTGCTACCGGACGGCGTCGGCTCTGACTGACTTCAGGTTTGCGAGTATGGGCTCACCGTTTCTTCCTATCCATCGATCATACCTCGCCACCTCCTACAGAATATTTTTTCCCGCAGCTCACCAGACTTGTGGCCCAGGGTAAGCTACTCACTGTGGTTAGCACATTCGACGCGGCATCGTCACTTGATGAGTGATAGGTCTTCGGGGACGCACCTTTCAAAGCTCGCGTGAGCGGAGGGAACGTTTCTGGTGATATTCAAGTTCGTGGACTTTTCGCTACTGGCGTAACCGCACCACAATCTTCATATTATACAGACTCGGTGCCGGGGCGCACGAATTGCATACTGATGTCTCCAGCATCTGTCGTCCATGCCAATGATGCCTTTCATATCAGTACTCGTGCAGCGCTGCGCCTTGCTCTATCCCACAATGGCTGTCGTCAGTGTCTTCTCGTTTGGCTCATTTGGGGACATTGTCGCCGTCGTCCGACTTGCGGATTACGTTCGAAAGCTGTTTGGTGACTTGGTGAATGCTCTGGCGCGTCGGAAGAATGAGTATCAGCAGTTAATTTCGGAGCTAAGCACTTCACGATCATTCTCTCCGTATTTTTCACTTCTCCATCATTGTCATTGACACAACGCCTCACAGTCTAAGAACGTATTCCATGAACATTTGCCTGGCTACTATAAAACTATGCATCGAAAGCTATGAGAGTATTATACGCGATCTGGACGGGTCACGGCGAGATCTGCGAGTTGCGAGGGAGGGCGGAACGGAGAGGACGATGTTTGGCTCTTGGAGGAAGGTCGATCGAGAGTTCTGTAAGAACGACTAACTCATTGCAGCACAGCGCGAGCTCGCAGTGAATCAGGCTACGTCTAGACGTTGATAATACTGTACGTTGCATCCCTCTTACTTATGTGTTGCTGGAAAACCATTGACGTCCGCACGATGTATTCGTCAAGTAAATATCACCGTCACGACTCACCGTACGATATAAGTAAGTCTCTAGCTCGGAGTATCAGCGGCACCGTATACCTAACCATCATTAGTTTCTGCCCCTCGTAGCTCACATTTTCTGTTGCTGAGAACTCAATGACAGGGTTCTTCTCCCGACTGTACCAGTATTGATAATTTAATGGGATACTTCGAAGCGTATGTTGCTTGGTTTTCGATCGAAGGGTGGGAATCTCAGTCAGATGGACTACTTCAGTAAGCACACTACTTCCTTCTATGACAGTAATCTCACTCTGTGATCGTGAGGCAAGACTGTGAGTGAGTACTAGGAAATATCGAATCAAGGTTACACGACAATCAACATCCTCTCAGCCTATGTAATTTGGTACATTTGCTTCAAGCCAACTTCTTTGACCAGACACTCGAGTGATACAACTAAGGACTGAATAGTATTCCCAGAGGTCGACGCGTCACACACACATCGACATCAGTATGCAGCCCAACGAGAGGCAAACACCTTCGTATCCTGAAGCGCACATCACGACACATTCACTCGTAGGATCGGAATCAAGAAGTGAAGAAAGGGGAAGAAGGTGCGTGAGTAGATTATAAACTACTTTGAGCAGAAAAGTAGCCATCATTGTCATCACTAGAGGAGCTAGATGCATCGTCCGAGGAGGATGAATAGTAGTCTGAACTCGTGTACTCAGATGAAGCCGCATTCTCAGCCCCCTTCTCGAGCAGCAGCTTCTCGATAGCTTTATGATCAAAATGTGATGCCGCCTGAAGTGCAGTCCCGTATTGGCCGCCCCGAACATTCACGTCGGCCCTCTTCTCAAGCAGCAGCTCCACGACAGCGATGTGACCGGGAATCGAGGCCGCCTGGAGTGTATTCCCGTAGAAGCCGCCCTGCGCATTCACGTCGGCCCCCTTCTCGAGCAGCAGCTCCACGACAGCTTTGTGACCCCAAACCGACGCCGCCTGGAGTGCATTCCCATATTTGCCACCCTGCACATTCACATCGGCCCCCTTCTCGAGCAGCAGCTCCATGACAGTGATGTGACCGCCTGCCGACGCCGCCTGGAGCGCATTCCCGTAGTAGCCACCCTGCGCATTCACGTCAGCCCCCTTCTCGAGCAGCAGTATTACAACAGCTTTGTAACCGCCTTGCGATGCCGCCTGGAGCGCAGTCCTATATTCGCCACCCTGCGCATTCACGTGAGCCCCCTTCTCGAGCAGCAGCCCCACGACAGCGATTTGACCGCGATACGACGCCGCCTGGAGCGCATTCCCGTATGTGCCACCCTGCACATTCACGTCGGCCCCCTTCTCGAGCAGCAGCTCCACGACATCAATGTTACCGCCAAACGACGCCATCTGGAGCGCATTTCCGGATCGGCCACCCTGCTCATTCACATCGGCCCCCTTCTCGAGCAGAAGCTCCACGACAGCTTTGTGACCGCGAAGCGACGCCGCCCGGAGCGCATTCCCGTAGAAGCCGCCCTGCTCATTCACATCGGCCCCCTTCTCGAGCAGAAGCTCCACGACAGCTTTGTGGCCACGAACCGACGCCGCCTGGAGCGCATTCCTGTAGTGGCCGCCCTGCACATTCACATCGGCCCCCTTCTCCAGCAGTCGTTCCACGATAGTGTTGTGACCGCCACGAGACGCCGCCTGGAGCGCATTGTCGTGGACGCCGCCCTGCGCATTCACGTCGGCACCCTTCTCGAGCAGCAGCTCCACGACAGCGATGTTACCGCCAACTGACGCCGCCTGGAGCGCATTCCCGTAGTAGCCGCCCTGCGCATTCACGTCGGCCCCCTTCTCGAGCAGCAGCTCCACGACAGCTTTGTGACCGCCAGAAGACGCCGCCTGGAGCGCATTCCTGTATTCGCCGTCCTGCGCATTCACGTCGGCCCCCTTCTCGAGCAGCAGCTCCACAACAGCTTTGTGACCGTGGTAAGATGCCGCCTGGAGCGCATTCCCAAATCTGCCGCCCTGCGCATTCACGTCGGCCCCCTTCTCGAGCAGCAGCTCTACGACGGCAATGTGACCGTAAACCGATGCCGCCTGGAGTGCATTCCCGTATCGGCCGCCCTGCGCATTCACGTCGGCGCCCTTCTCAAGCAGCAGCTCCACCACAGCAATGTGACCGTCAACCGATGCTGCTTGGAGTGCATTCCCAAAATCACCACACTGCACATTCATGTTGGCCCCATGCTCCAGCAATTTCTGTGATACTCTGACAAAACCAGCCCTTGCTGTGTAGTAGAGGGGAGTAGGAATATCATGAGGTGGTCGTGATAGTTCTGTGAAATCGTAATGGCGGTCCACATCGTAAATTCGGACCCAATTGACAAAAACCATGCTCTGGGCCTGGAGAAGGTCGAAAGCAAGGTCTGCCAGGGCATCGGTATGAGCAGATTGAACATGTTTCATCCAATACTTTGCTGCATAAACAGCAAGGGGGAAGGGCTCAATATCATCCAGAGATTCTGTGAACTGCATCAAATATGCAATACAGGTGCGGGCTATGAATTCGTGGGCAATCTGGGCATTGAATGAATAGTCTCGAACATCGGGTTCAGTAATCTTTCTGTTAAGATACTCCTTAACGGAGAAGTGCGAGAGTTCTAGAACACCAGTTCCGGAAAGTGTGACCAAACTGGGGCAGATAGTAAGAATATCTCGTGGTCTAGGGAAACGATCCTCCGGTACAAATCGTAAAGGGACACTGTCGAAATCCATGGCCAGCACTTCCACAACCTCCTCCAGTGTGACCGGGCGCATAGAGAATGCAAGCCACTGCAGGATGGCCTGAACATACTGAGAATCTTTGTCATCAACGTGCTTAAGAATCCTGTCATATGTCTCATACAGTGTCTTTGGCAGAGTGGCTAGGCACTTTGTCAACCATCTTGCGCTACGACATCCTTGAATGCTGTCCAGCTGGCAAGATACCCATCGGAACCTACATGAAAGTATGAGCATCAAATTAAGCATACCATCAGAGATAAACACATACATTCCATGTGCTCCTTCTGTCAAACTGGTTTCTATTTTGAGCTTCTGCGGCGGCTGCCACTTCGAAAAGTCTGGGTCATTATGCAAGACAGTGCGAACATGGAATGCGATGTCTCTATCAACAGGAGAGCTCTCGAGATTGACCTCTACTGACAGCGGCAGCAGAGAATGATTCAGGTCCTCTTCCTTCCGACTTGTGAGCAACATATGCAGATTGGCAAGATTCCACTTTGTCATTTGCTCAATGAGAGCCATGAGATTCTTCCGCTGCGAGCATTCATCAAGAGCATCGATAATGATGTAAACACTGCAGGTGATGCTCATCATGATCTCCTTCAGAGCTGCGACTAGATTGTGAAGCGTCGGTCGCTCCATCCCATTTCGATGAATAGCATAGAGCCGCTCCAGAGCGGCAGGCATGTCCGAGCAACGAGAAGCAAGCTGGTCAACAAGCGACGAGACAAGCCCTAGACAACGCTCTTTTTCCAAGTCCCTGAAGTCAAAGTAGAAGTAGGCAAGCGAAACAGACGAGTCGACTTCAGAGTTAAACTCGATGTCCCTTATGATGGTGGAACTAAGAAACCATGGCGTCAGTAATCATGTCAGTCGTCTATGTCACACATACGCACGACAATACACTCTTTCCGGATCCAGCTACCGGTGTTAACGATCAACATTCGCTCTTGATTGAACCATCAAATCACTTACGGCCACCTGAAACCCATAATAGGGAATTACTCTTGGTCTTCCACTGGTTATATTCCGTAGATTGGATGAACCACGATCCGGTCCCGGCTTGTCGCACGCTACCATTGTGGTCGTTGTTTGACACCGGAGACGGGGCTGACAGCCATTCATGGACTTTGGAACGATACTGATTGGCTACAAGAAAGTAGAAGCCATGAGATTATGCCCTTAGTAGATAGAGCGTACTTACAAAGATATGGCAAGGCTTCCTCTGTATTTTTCATGATATGCGCCCGGATTTCTTCGAGTATGATTCGACTCTCTTGGGAATTACCTACGACAGGTGCGATCCACAATCAATGATAGAACCAGGGAGCTGGAGTTGAATCGTACCGGATAGCGCCTCGGCTTCCTGAGCGATCTTCGTCAGCATCGTCTTGATAGCGTTCGCGTCCTCTTGATCAGCTGGAAAGTACGGGTCGGTGTAGTGAGGCATAGATCTAAGACAGTCGCACAATGAAAAAAAAAAAAAAAAACATACAATTCATTCTAGTCTCCAGCTGCGAGAGTATCTCACTCGCCGCCGAAAGCGTAGCAGTTGCGACCGCTCGAATTTCACTCGCCGACGAAAGCGTAGCACTTGCAACCGCTCGACCTTCCTGAGCAGTCAGCTTGTCCAATTTCTCCATAGCGGCTTGAACCTCGCTGTTCTTGCCGATCAAAGTTTTGAAGTATGTAACTGCCGAATGCCACCTTTCATTTTTGTGCGTTTCTACCAGACACCGTATGCGACTTACCCGCACGGTGTTCTCTTATGAGCCTAGTCGCCACTCCCAAGATTGATAGAAGGTGAGCGAGAATCTTGACGATCACCTCCTTCAGCAGACGCGAAACATCATGTTCGAAATACACGGTCAAGCGGTCGAGGAAGCTTTCGAGGCTCTCGAAGATATCAATCACCGAGTCGTAGCTTTTGCTGACCTCATCGGAGGCCTATGATAAACAATTAATTGTGGAAGGTTCAGTTAGCTCTCTGCACAATGTTGCTTATGGTGAAAATACCTTGAGCAGTATCCCAATGGCAACAAATATCGTCTTTCCCTGCGGAAACCCCTGATTGACAACACAGAAAGTCAGTGTCAACGCAGGCAGTCAGGAAGGAAGAGGTTGACGCTCGTAAGCGATCATTAATAGCGCGCGCACGCACCAAGTTCGCCCCTTCTCCTGCTACCTCCGCCATCCGCTGCACGATCTTCACGACAGGTTTCAATACATTTCGCAGACTCTTTCCCTTCGCCCGACTGTCCTCAAAATCCTTCAGATTCCCTGCGATCGCTGTCAGGATAGCCTCGACGCTGTCGGCAGTGCCCAAAGAGTCAAGGGGCAGCGAGTCGGACTTCGTCTCCGATTTATACTTGTTCACAGCCTCATTCCAGATATCGGAGAAATCTGGAGTATTCGCCATCGAGAAAGAGCTGTCGAGCAATGTGCAAGGATGAACTTCAAGCTATTCGATGAGAGGAGATGGGTGTCGAGCAGAAAGGTGTGCGTTAGCGCCAGGTAGCCACATACACGCGTGTAGGCCTCAAGGGCCATGCACGGCAGAGTAAGTATAGGACAGATAAGTACAGCATACACCCTCATAGCCCCAGGATTGGTGCGGATAAGCTAGCTATGAGTATTTGCACGGCACTCTCAGGCTGGCGTGGGCCTAAAATAGAACGGAATCACGACCACATTGTCCCGATGACGCTCTTGAACTCCATCGCCAACATCGCCGCCGCCATATAAATTCTTTCACTCGACCTCGACTCGTTCCCCGCAGCCGACTCACACGCACTCAAGAACACGGATTGCGCCAACGGAAGCTCGAGCTGCAACAGCTGCTACTGTCGGGGAAGATGGCCTGTGCGGAGCCGTGGCATACGAGATAGAGAATGCAGGAGAGAACGACTTAGACGTGGACGCCTTTTACTCCACGACCGCTGCCGCCGACATAGGGACTTGATTCATAATTTAAAGTGCCGTTGATGTGTACGAGAGAGTTGAGTGGTAGGGGAAAAAGATGGACGAGTCCAGCCTCGAGTTCGACCATTGCACCTTCCTCAAAGTCAGGACGATAACACAGATATCGATACCGCAGGAACCCACCTCTGTTGAACTGGTCGATGATTCTGCGCTCATACCTTTCAGGTCCGGAGGCAAAGTGATCTGCAAAGTGCGACGGCTCCCCGATGGTCACCTCTAGACATGACAGCTCACTCGTGAGCTCGAAACATAGACGGAAGGCGTACGAATAGTTGTGAAGAAATGACGACGGGGAGCTCCTCTGAGAATCGCATGTACTAGCCAAGCATGGTTTTAGAGCGCAAGAGCCTCGTGGAGGTCGCTCGATTGGCCGACCCGCTCGAATCATCGCGTAAGAGCATTAGCCAGCTGAAATGAGCACCGCCAAGAGGTCTTTTCCAGAAGTTGTTGTATACACCCCAAAGTTCGTGGGATGGATATCGACAAGAATCAGAGAGCGGATTCCGTGGAACCTCCGCAATGAGAGGGACCACAGCGACAGCAGGCAGCCTTCGACTAGAGCGGGCAGAGTCTGCGTTGGTTGAAGCACGACTTGTGCGACAGATGATGGTTATTACGAAGAGAACCGAAGTCTCCCTGGATCCACACTGACCTTGCATCGAATACAACGAGTCAGAGACCGGAGCACTTAAAGCTTGAGAGGTCTCATATTTGATAGCTTCGTCGAAAGGGGCCTTCATTCGCTTTTTATGGCACCTACCACAGAAGGGACACCGTAAGAACTCATTTAGACGTACCCATAAGTATGCAAGAAAAGCGTGACAATACGAGCCCTACGCACCATGCGGCCTATTCGAATTCTCCTCCATGTGAGCATGCGTGAAGAGAATATGTTGTAGGCTGGCTGGGAGGAAGACGAACGAGGATCAAAAGATGCACGCTGGATCCAGATCCGGATGCCTCTTTTGCACGAACGCCAGTCGACTTACACAAAAACTCTCTGTTCGGCAGCGAGACGTGAGCCGAAAAAAAATCAATAGATAAAGTGCATCGGATCGAAAGAAGAAGAAAAAGATCATACAACGATATCGAACACACGAGACTCGTCGAATCCAGACCTCAAGACAAAGCCCACTGCCCAGCCCCGAACACACAAAGCAGCGCAATGGCACCCACATTCGCCCTCTCATCACCTTGTCCGCTATATTTGCATTTGCGATACCGACTACGGTCCCTGGCCCAGTCATGTTGAGATACGCATCTCCGCTGAGTCTCCTTCTCCTCGGGTTTTGCCAGCTCCTTCCCAGTCCTCTCCAGGTATACGACATGCTCCCCGATTCATCTCTCCATCTCTTCGACTTTGACGACTTCAGATCCTCCGAGCCCGTCTTTGTCGTCGTCGGGTGGTAGAGCTGCGTGTGCAAGCTCGAGGTCGCGTGCTGTGGCGGCGAAGCGTTCGGAAAGGATCTTGAGGCGGCAGAGGGATGTTGGCGAACGTATAATCCATACGCCCACTCGGTCTCTCCAAGAGCGGAGACATAGTGCCCTCTGACCCGACGTCTGAACTCTTGTGACATACCGTGGATGTGGGCGATGATGAAGATAGGTTAGATGTGCTGTGGTTCGAGTGTGGGCTAAACTGGTTGGTTGTGCGTCAGCGTCTGTGTAGAGGACGAACAACGGGACGGGAGAATGAGAGGGGAACAAGAGGAGAGAAGAGAAGAAGAAAGAAAAAAAAGAGAGAAAAAGAGAGGGCAAAGAGGGCGTGATAGAAAGGATGGCGGCCATACTAGCAGCAACAAAAACGCGCACGCACCGTGGTTATAGCGTGCAGCTGGCGTAGATCTGCGCACGAGCACCGTTGGCGGTGAGGGAGAGTGCAAGCATGTCGACAATGCAAAAAACCCGCGAACGCGATCTCGAGTTGAAACCCAGATCGATCTGATCTCGGCCTCCTTCTACCACTAAAGGAAAATATGTACCAAAAACCAAGGACACAGCCTATAGCACTTCAAAAAGCTACGGGGCGGGGGAACAGAGGAGAGGGGAAGAAAGAGGAGGGAAGGAAGGTAGGAGAGCGAAAGGAGAGCGTGAAAGGAGAGCGGCGCTGGGAGGCCCTCACGTGACGGGGGTGTATTGTGGAAGGTCCCACGCCCGTTTCCCCTTTCGCACTCCCGTCAAGGTCCGCAAATCGTGGCAATATGAGTCTCGCGCACCATGCCATAGTATGTCCGAATCCTCCTTCATGCGAAAAAAAAATTCAAGCTGATATGTTGTTGGCAGGCTACGATCATGAAGATTGAGGTTTGTGGAAGAATCGAAAATGCTGACGGGCTTGCGCGCATCCAGATCCGGATGCATCTTTCCCACGAGGCTCAGTAGCCTCAATACAAAGACTGTGTTTGGCAACAATACGTGAACTCATACACAGCCCTACCTAAAGTACATACATATATTTTCGGACCGAAAGAAAAAAAAATCGTACAACACTATCAAACACCCGAGACTCGTCGACCTCAGACCTCAAGACAAAGCCCACTGCGCAGCCCCGAACACACAAAGTAACACCCCGGCACCTACACCCCACATTCTCCCCCTCATCACCTTATCCGCGATATTTGCACTCGCGACACTGACGACGGTCCCTGGCCCAGTCATATTGAGATACGCATCTCCGCTTTCCTTCTCCACGGTCTTCGCCAGCTCTTTCCCTGTCCTCTCCAGATACCCGACCTGCTCCCTGATCCATTTCTCCATCTCTTCTACTTTGACGACCTCTGACCCTCCGAGGCCATCTTTGTCGTCGTCGGGTGGTAGAGCTGCGTGTGCAAGCTCGAGGTCGCGAGCTGTGGCGGCGAAGCGTTCGGAAAGGAGCTTGAGGCGGTAGAGAGACCATTGGTAACTTTGAAGATGCAATGCACGTGAATAAAGAAGTCAAATGAGAGCAGAGGGGGTGGTGGGCTTACTTGATCCGATTCCGTTTAGTGATGGGGTGGATTGTGGTGAGGACTGTTGAACAACGAAATGGGCAAAGTGCGCAGGAATAGAAGATCATGAGGAGGTACATACCAGAGGCGTCCATAATACGAGGATCTTTTGCACGGAAGGAAGTGACCATAGTGATACGCTGTAGAAGAAAAAAAACGGCCAATTAGTCCACGTCCATCCAACTGAGACATAACAGAGCACGGTCAAGAGAACGTACCTCTGCAGCGTTGTACGACCTGCAGTTTCCAAACAAGCATCAGCGGACATGTCGGGTGAATAGATCCAAACCGAATGAACAGAAGTAGAAGGCGACGAACTGACCTCAAAGCAACATGCCTCACATGTCTCCCCTGCATGACCACCGCGCTACCGACGCCAGGCCCTCGAACCTTCGTCACGCCGCCATCTCCTCGCCTATTTGTGACGCAGTTAGCCAGACATAAAACTCGTTATGAGCATCAAAGATAAAGCAGAAAACTCTAAAACCTAAATCGCGGTCGAAGGCGATGGGAGAACGGGAAGATGAAGGGACGAAACAGAAACAAGAAGATGCACGCACCTAACGGCGGTCTCTCCACCAATCATGTTCGACACGTCAGAGAGCATCAGGACGCAAACGAATGGGTAACTGTTCACATGTCCGCGAAGACGCAATCAGCTCAACGACTCATGTTTACAAACGGAACCATGGATGGCGCGTTCGCGTTCCCTCGGGACACATGCGTCGAAAGAAGGATGCGAGACGAACCTATCGTAATGCCAGCCAACCACGTTTTGCTCGGACGATCCGAGGTCGGCGTCGGAGAGAGCCTTGAGTTGATCCACGTTCAATGCTGGTGGTGTAGGTCTAGGATCCACACCGCTGATTTCTCGAATCCCATCCTTCCCCTTTGGTCCAAGTTGGTGGTTGACATGACCGAGCTCGAGGTCCATGCTACCAGAGAAAACAGGGCGAAATTTAATTTGAGGTGGAAGGTCAGCCTTCGTGCGCCGATGAATCGAATGGAGGATGGACATAGGGAAGTGCAGAGGTACACGTCGAAGAAACGATATACGTACACAGGCTCCAACTCGATCCCGGCCGCTTCACTCACGATTCTTAGCACCTCGGGATGCTTCCACACCTGGTGCACGAACGGCGTCACTGTCTTCGGGAACTCCCTGCTCTGGCACGCCGCCAACTTGCTCGCCACCGTATACTTCTCCAGCACGTCGGTCGATAGGATATCCTGACGGAGTTGACGTACGCCTTCGACAGACATGAGCGAGAAAGGTTCGGTCACGGCGATGGGGGAGATGCCTTGTGAGGGGAGGCCGATGTCGGACATGGTGAGTTTAGAGGCGGGAGGAGTGTAGGCGAGGTGGATGGCCGGATCGAAGGTGGCGGATGAGGGTGGGTAGTATTCATTGGTGGCGGGACCAGAAGCAAGCATGGGTTTTGCGTCGGAGGACATCGTAAATGAGATTCGTATATAAGGGCGAGGCGATTTGATAGATGGATGGGCGGAAGGATGGTTTCGCAACCTCAAAGAGGACGGGCACGGGCACGGAGGACAGTACAAACAGACCTATATATCCTTTCGGGCATGGTCAAGGGAGACCGATGATTCCGAACGGTTGCCCCTATGTGAACGAGATGAATGAGAAGCAGCGCTCGAGGCTCTATCAATACGTAGGACGCAACGAGCCATTATCAGTTCAGATGGCAGGAAGCAACGTTGTGATTGGGTGGACAGACCTTCTGGACGGAACGCGATTAAACTCGTTCTGGGAATACAGAAGGATCTCGCAGCGCGGACAGGTCGAGAAGCAGGTACACCACGTCCATTGGAGTGCTGTAAACATGAGTTGAGGTGGGCCACACACGATATCGTGTCGTGTGACGACAAATGCGAGAGACCGAGAAGCAAGGTAAGATAAAGCGTAACGAGAGAAAGGCCGAGGCTATTAGAGATTGAGCAGTAGAGCAAGCAAGTAGCCTCCGGCCAATCACTCTGTGGAGTATGAAATGTAGTGACACAGCGATTGTCAGTTTGAGAGGGGGCGACCTGTCCAGATACACGGTCCTTATCTCTTATCTAGTTCGGGTCGGGACGATGATTCGTTAGTCGTGACAGAGTTGAGCCAGCGTGGATTATATCACTGTGGATGATTAACCAGCCCATTGCAGCGAGCGCTTCTGTTATTAGAGCAGAGTATTGCTCGCCGCTCTAGGCATCATTCTCGCGCAAAACCGAGGAACCTTTATAATGGGCCCTAAGCACACAGCGCGGACATCGGCTCGTAGTCGCTCGTGTTATTAGAGAACAATAACATAATGGACTGTCCTATAGGTGGGTCACCAGCCGGAAGAGACAAGAGCCAATCGTTTGCCGAGGCGTATGATAGGATATTGAACGTCCAGGCCTAATCTCCAGACGTCACAAAGAGGGAGTGCTCGATCTCCCCGCACGCGGGTACATACCCCCCGTAAACATCTTCCTATAAAGACGTTGTGATCTGTATAGAATCCAGATACAGATCAGCGTGAGCAACTCCGATGCTAATGGTGCGGCTGTGAGCCATGTACGGCCTTGACGAGTTCTCTTCGACGAGTGTGAGCGATTCACCTCGAGGGGAATCACGAGGGGGAAAGCCAAGCTAGATTGGGGAAGACGGGAGTGGTCGAACAGGATATTTTTCCGACGCCCAAGATGTAAGTGACACCTCAGACCAGCATGCATCTATTCGGAATTATACCAAGGTCAGCAAACATGATACCGAGGATGAAGCGGCTAGTGCATTAGAACATAACAGAAAGCTTACGGAAATTTACGTGAGGTCTTGATGTAGTGGAAATCACGCTGGGTAAGAGTGCCGAAGAGTGATCTGAGGGCGAACGTGTGCGGAAAGGCAGACAAGGAGAGATCCACGGACAGAGGGCCTAATCGTAGCACAAAGCGCTCACCGAGTTTTACTCCATTGCATCGTGCCCTGAAGATGGTTATACGCAGTGCAGTTTCCGCAACGCAGAGACGATTATGAAGGATGTTGAACTGAGCATTGGGACAGGCCTTTGTCGTCTAGTCATCGGAAAATTTTCGAGAGTACGAGTGCGATATCGCTCCGAGCAGCTGGTGCATGTCCACGAACTCAACAGGGGGAACAAACAGTTCAGATACAAATGCTTTTGAGGTGGCATACTAGTAGCCAGCCCGCTGTGTCTGCTATGTCTGTTGCGCAGAGGACAATGGCGTGTCGAACGTTCAACGTTCAACACGCGTGGCTCTCCGAGTCAGACCAAGTTGAGGCGCCGCTTCAATCTGTCAAGGTTTGGAGTCGTGTGGCGCGCCGGTCATCTGTGGCGCCGTCCCTCCTGGCTCCAAAGCTGAATCATCCTGGATCAACCAAGCGACATACTTACTTGACCTCGAGTGTGAAAATTTTTGGGCGGAGGTTCCAATATAATGTTTCCTTTTAGTGAGTGCTGCAGTGGCTCTTCAACAGTGGCCTGCATTGTCGGATGACGGTTGGACGACTGATGAGCGGCCAGATAGATTCGCGATCAGACAGTGGCTGGAATACAAACTGTATGATCAACAAAGTCAGTCTGTGTACACAAAGAGTCGAAAGAGAGAACAAGGCCAGTTCGACCTACCACGACTGCTCCGAGTGCTACGCGACGGTCACGGCACGAGACTGTGACAGTTCGCGTCTGCTAGATTTTGCGCGACCGCAAGATTTGGTCCTCCCTCCGTTCCTCCCTCTCCGCTAAATGTATGGATGCCTCGTAACTTTATCATCTGTCGTGATGACGGACTCGCTCCGGAAGGCTCGTCTGAGCTATGCGCTAATATCTCGTGTGGGAAGCTTGAGCTCACCCCGGATCCTACCGCCCACTCCTCCCGGAATCTACCCCTTCGATCTCAACATCCATCAACAGCTATCCCACTGTTCAACGCACAGACGCGACTAAAACCTGGGGTACGAATCCCGAGAAACTCGAGTGGAAGTTATCACCCGCTTTGAGGTGCCATATTCCGGTCACCAACGGTCACCAGCCCCTGAGTCACCAGTCTGCATCCGCTCCTCGATCGACAAAAATTTCTGGTTCAGCCGCTGTTTGATCTGAATTTTTTTCCTGTGTATACTAGGAATCCTTTATAAGCCCTTCGGTCTCCGCTATGACTTCGTAACGCTTGCCCACAAGCAGACCTGACACTGCTTCGCCTTGACCATTCTGCTCGCTCATCCCAGGCATCCTAGAACCCCCCTGTATAATACACAGACAACATGGACAATCCATTTGGGCCGACACCTTGCCTCATCACGAAGGAGAGAGGTCCATCCGATGCTATCCGTTGTTGTCAACTACTCCACGGCACAGATGCTCAGGTACGAATTTTTTTATCCTCATCTCGCACTTTGATACGAACGTCCTGTAATGACGAGTTTGGGCAGATTGAAAAATGGCGTAAAATATGGGGTCCGGACTTCGTCATTCGCAGCCTACAAAATCAAGTCGTCTGTACGTCGAGTTCATCGCATCTTGGCGGTAAAGCGGCCTTCTCGTTTACTGACTATGATTATCTTATGTGGCGTAGTACGAGCAGACTGGGAGAATATGCTTCGCGCACATCGATGGGCGCTTGTCCCTCACGAAGAAGTTCTTACAGACATGCTGAGGGTCCTCTTCGAGCATAAGGAACGAGGAGTGAGGCCCTTATTGAACAAAGTAAGCACGCTCTCGTGTGGGGACAAGAGGACTACAGACTGAGATGAACTTCTCATAAACAGCTCGAGATCTCACATGGTCGCGCCAGCCCCCCTACGGCTCTCCGTTTGCTACGTAAGTAATGTTCACTTTTTCAACTTCACAACAAACTTTTAATATTTATTATCCTTTGTCGACCTCCATTTCTCCGAAAGCGTTCGGCTACGAGTATCAATTTGTTCCCTTGGCCCTGGAAGGCAGTCGAATTCATCGGGAGATTCCAGTAGGACCTCGCGACTTTGGTAATCCTCATGGGCAGCAAATGGCGATCCAGACTTTTAATCCGCCTTATGACGACTTCCCCGATGTGTTCTGGCACGTCCATCCGTTCTTTGCGATCCAGTCCGCTTGGGAGCACTTCAGCGCGAGGGCCACGGAGCTCAACTCTCAACAACGGACCATATACGCCCATCTTTTCACGATCGTCAAGCTTTTGGAAGAGATGGTCGATCTGCCTGTGGAGGCGGAGACGAATGATACTGACGAAGACGAGACTGAGGAAGACGATGCTGAGGAAGATGAGATTAAGGCAGAAGAAATGTCGGCACGGAAGAGGCCCAGAATGGGTGAGTACAACCTGACCTCTTTCATGAGGAGGCTCTAATTTTATCTGTCGCCAGAGTAATCTCGGTTCGGTTGCGCTTGACCGTACGCACGCCATACTGCATCTCATGGTTATGACCGTTCTCTTTCCTTTTTCGTATCTATTCCGTTTCATTCCTACTTGGCTTGTTCGTTTTCACGCCCCATTGCATACATTCTCGATACGCTCTCGCTTTACTCCAGCCATGTATCGTATCTCGACCTCGATAACTTGCTATTAGTGCTCAGTTTCCGTCTGGATTGTATTTCCTATTTCCCATGACTGCCCGCTTCTTCCGATGCTCGTTTTCTGCCAATCACCAGTTCATATATATACGACTCCGTCTTGCTGTCTCTCGTGGCTCAACGCTAGTAACCTTTTTATGCTTATCTGCTTCCAATTTCAACCTGTGCTTGATCCTCTTCTCGCTCTGACCTTTCCCGTTACACTGCATTCTGGAAGGTAGTGAATGGATCTATGCGCTCTCGACTGCGCTGCTCCTTCGACTGTACGGTGCACACCGTGTGGCGTGCTCGAAGAGAACTTCTCTCTCCCCAAAATTATGAGACGACAAGACAACGTCAGCGCAAAGTCTCCTTGCTCACACTCGGCTAGACGGAAAGTGGCGGCCTCACGCCTCGACTGGCAGCGGCATAAATGATTGTGGCCCTTATCTCAAGGAGAACCAAATTCATGACTATCTGTATGCTTCATCGAACGAATCAGTGCGTCAAAGAGCTACGAACATCCTAAGCCGAATACAATCCTTGAGGGCCAAGCTAAACCTTCCCCATCCAATCACGAGCTCTACTACCCCCCCGGATTACCACCCTCCATCCCCATAAGGCCACGTTTCTCGGAAAACCTTGTAGTCTTTCGCAAAAGTGGAACCCGCGATGCACCCCTTTACCAGCCGTTGGATACTCTCTGTATGAGTGAGTATTGATTCACGTCAACCAACTGGAGATTTAGCGGAGTGGAGGCGAAAACACACCTTTCCGTAGGAGCCTTTTCCTGCTACGCCTGAACGTTGCCACTCGATCTAACTCGTATCATTATGTTGAGAGAAGACGTATCATCAAGAAAGAGTACGGAGTGAACGGAAGCAGAGGGGTTGGGGCGGTAACACCGGATGTTCGCTACAAGATGATGAAAGGGAGGGAGGAATATCGAAGAGGCCGGCGTATAAACTGCAAGAGGGGTGGTCGAATCGATGATGGAGAATCTTGCTGCAGGGAGGAGGAGATCGTGGGCGGCGTATCCGATAGTGTTGAACGACCACACAAGCCTGTGCGATCGGCATTGACAGACAGAAGATGAACTAGATAGAGAGGATAAATACAAACAATTAGGTCGCGGAGCAAAACAAACGTCAATTACGAAGCAGAATGAGGGAAAACTCACGAGGAAAGGGAAGATCAAGCACTAAGATCGGCATCCGAGTTGATCCAGTCAACATAGCTGCTCTCCCATTGACAAGGTAATGAAGGAATATGGCCGCACTCTCCACCCTCGGAACGGCCGAAAGTGTGTACAACGTCACCCTCGACGTAGATGTACGTTGTCAACGAGGAGAACAACTTGGATAACATCTTCGCGTTGGTCATTCCAGACGCCGTAAGGCTAGCGACCTCAGACATTTCCCGGCTTTGAACGGTCCCGAAGAATGGGTAGGAGGAGAGAATGATGACTCTGAGTGAAGAAGGAATTGGGATCCTCTCCATGACCGCCATATCCATCACTTTGAGAGGATCGGAGACAATGAGTAGAGAGGAAGGGTCATATCGAACTTCCAAAAGAGACAGATTAGGTGTGCGCGGGACGATGTTCGATAGGATACAAGGAAGTGGTTCGACGGGCCATATTGTATGCCACAGAGCTTTGCGTCCCGCGGGACGGCTAAAGAAATTGAAGGTTTCTTCGACCAAGATGGTGCATTGTCGTCGAAAACCGGCTGACTCGCAATGACTGCAGCGCTACACAGTGGCGATATACTTTTCGTTCACCAAAGTACCCCTGGCACTACATCTTTCTTGAATGCAAAGGGATGGACCGCAACGTAACATACAGCCGTACAAAACCAAAATCGCCGATGTATAAGCCAAGGAATGAAATGTGGATTTAATGACCTTCTCCTGCCGGTGTCGCGTCAGATCCAAATCGAAGAGGTCGAGCAATAAAACGGTGCGTAATTTTTTGTACCAATGTGAAGAATAAGCCGATGTCTTTGATCCCTAGACGAACACCGGCCCGTGTACAAGCCTGAAAGGCAAGACGTTCACAACAAGAATGGTGTGTCCATATCCTATACACCAAAATGTCGAGGCGTCAGTCATCTGGAACCCCTCTCCTTGTTACCTGCAGATCGAAGCAGGGCTCACCAACATAGACAGACTGCTCAACTATAGCATGCATAGAATATATTTCAGATACAAATACAGGTAGTGCAAGCAGAGGAGGGAGAAGACATACGCAGGGCGATTGAAAGTTATTTATCTCTCCAGGAGACCCTTCCCCGCGATTGTCCTCTGGATCCTCTTGATCGCGCTTTCGTTTAACTTTAGTTTTGTTCTTGCCTTGAGATCTGGTATGGGTCTTCGACTGATTTCTGAGTTCATCCCTGCGGCCGCGTGTCCACGTGTGGAGATTCAACCCGAGGTCATGAAGTGTATAACTATCGTTTAGAAAGGACGAGGCGGATGTCATTGAGAATGGTTCAGAAGACGCGAACGGGTGACAAGACATAGGACAATGACGTACTTTAAATGCATCATAAGTTCTCTATAAGTGGGTGACGTCCCATCCTCGAATTTCGACAAGTACTGGCAGATGAACTGTAACCCCGGATGCACAATAACTCGATGAGCATCAACGCCAGTGCGACGAGTGTACGGATATCAGTACGAGTAAAGACGTGCCTGTGTCATAGACTTCCCTTCCGGAGTCTCCCACGTCAATTGTGGGTCCGAGCACGACCCTAACGATATCTAAATGAAGCAGTCTAGTCGGCTTAGCGGCTCTCAGCCATACGAGAACAACTCACAACCGTAGGCTTCTCGCCTCCATCCGGACTCTTACCACCTGTACCCCTTCCCCATGACTCCCTGCACCACCCATCGCAGTCATACTCACTCCCTGGACTCTCGCAGTGCGAATGCAGCTGCGGAACCCTCGTACCGAGGTCCGGTACCTTCCAGTCCACAGCTGGGATCATGATGCTGGGATCTACGTTGACTTGATGCATGAGTGAACGAATCGGGTGTGGCGACGCTGGAGGATGAGTTCCACGAGCGACGGGCTTGCGAATGGGCGGTTTACGCGTGGTGGAGTTGATATCAGAGTCGACATTCTCAGAATTTGGCGATTGCGCGAATGGCGTCGTGGAAGAATCTGGTGCCACAGCCGCACGTTTGCGGAGAGGTGGCGTCGGATCTGGACTCCCCGATATGTTCCTACTGGCACTAGCAGCTGGAACCAGCACGGGTGGTGACCTCGGTCGTAACCAGTGTGAGTGTGATGAAGGGGTAGGAGGTGGAGAACGAGTTGGACGTGCAGCTGGGCTCAGTGGACGTCCATGGGAAGACCAATGAGGAGATGGCAACGGCGGTGAGTGTTGTGGTGATGTGGCGTTGGCGCGATTAGGAAAGCGGAGTGCGGTGGGGACGAGGTCAGAGACTATGGAACATTCATCATGAGCGAATGTCAATCACAATCATGAGGTGCTGGAGGCAATGCAGAGGAGTAGATCAAAGCTCACTTTTTGCATAGAACACGTCCATGCCTTTGACTGCGTCCGCCACAAGGGTACCGAGTAAGCAAGCTTGACTCGGTGTACGCACAGAAGGGGATAGACTAACCCAAATAATTCATCCTCGACTTAGTTCGGCGTTCACCTTTCGAAATCCATGGGACCCAAACATTGTTACAGTGATAGTGCGGAAGATCGAGAAGTGTTCCAGAGTGACAGCAGTCGAAGATGGCCTGAACAAATGTGATCAACAACCAGAACGTCAAAGAAAATGTAGATGGACAGATGGACAGATGGAGACAGAACTGGTGCTCACGGTAAGATGGCTGCCCGTTGGCAGAGAATCAACGAGTATTCGTTTGAGATCCTGGAAGTGAATGGGTAGTATCAGGATAAAGACGGCCCAGTACACATAGACAACAACGCAGCGTGCATTATCAATTATATCCTGTGTGTCAGATGTAATGATTGCTGAAAAATGACAGCGTAATATCAGTTTATTTCCGGGGATGTATGCACGTCCTGGGTTATCCGAGAGTTGAGAGTATCATGCTCACCTTCGTTCATATTATCTTCTTCGTGGTGGTCTCCTTTCTCCTCCACAGGGATCTGGCGGGAATGTCCACAGTCTACGAGAATGCAGAACACAGAGGATATCAATAGTAGGACTATTGGGGAAGTTGTGGGAGGACGCACAGAGTAGCGTGAACCGGTCCTTTGGCATAGCTCCTTCAACTAAGGCCTGCAACTCCCAACGCTAAAACAACGCGGTGAACTACTCAGCACATTGGAACGAGCGGAGGGAAGCATTCAAGATACGCACGATGTTAACCTCGGTAGGCTGTAAGCTGTCCTTCGTCTCCGGATCATCCTTCATGATTGTTATATCATCAGGCTGATATTTCAGCTTATCTAGTGCACCAGACCACCGACATTACATCTGTGTCACCCAACGGTAGAAGGTCTAAACTCACCAACTAAAAGTGTCCAGAACGCGTCTACACCGTCGTACGTTCCCGGTAACACCCCGTACTCCCTATTACCCTTGTAGCGGATACCGATGAGAAGAGCGCGCCGCTTTGGAGCCCGTTGGGGTTCCGGTTGCCCAGCAGTCTGTACTGGTCGTGACTCCGATTCGAGTTGGACATTGTGATGTACTGGAAGAAAACCTGAAAGAATGTTCCCTCTGGAATGATGGGACATTCTCGCACCACGCCGCGCGAAAGACAGAGAAACAGAAAGGATAAGACGAAGTGGAAGAACGTGAGTGTGTTATGAAGCAACCAGAACGAATCCCAGCCAGTCGGTGTTATGGTCGAGGAAATTCAGGTGGGACTGATCGTCAAGCAAGGGGCAGAAACGACATTTCTCGAGATTGACGGGAAGGCGCGGTTGATGTATATTTATATATAAACCACGATGATGCCAATGTTCTCACCCCTCCCTTCATAACTCGGCACGCTGTGGTGACGGATCGTGATGGCTATGATTATTTGTGGGCATCAGCCCCACAAGAACCAGCGCTATGTACACCGGTAACTTTTCAAGTCGCCATAAGCCTCAACGAAGAAGGAAGAGCGCTCGACGATGCCGGGATGTTCGTCGAAAACGTCTTTCTGACTCCGGGAAAATTGCGCGATCTCAGTCCAGCCAGTCAGCAAAGTGAAAAAGCCAGACAGGAAAGAAATGCTGAGAAGGACGGTGCGTCGTTCTCTCCGTGAGCACATTGTTCGGATGATGGAGTCGATTCAGCGCGATTCGTGAGCAACGGAAAGATGCGATGAGGAGGAAGTTGTGGATCATCTACCGGCCGGGAACAGCGATCAGCAGCGAGGAAATAAATATGACCGTCTCCAGGAGGTTAATGTATCAATTTGATGAAACGAGTAGTGATAGGTCAAGAAAGGGTGAGATCAGTTTGATGCTCAGACTAGGAACACGAGTTTGGATCGATGATGTTCCAGTGTCAGGGTGAGCAGACGCCTGATTCAGAAACTTAAAAAGTGCACCAATTGACACTCAGGAAAATGTTTCGCGTCGATGAGTTGAGAATCGGGACAACCGCAACAAATATCGCATTGCTGGTTCGACAGCGCAGTCTGAGTATACAATGATCTGTGCGACAGGGCGAGTCAAAGGAATGAGACGTCAGTTACTATATTAACAGGATGTCCAGGGAATAGAATAAAGACACGATACAATCCAGGAAGTCCGCACGCCACACAAAGTCACACCTCTGCACCTCACGACTCGATAACTTCATCGTTCGACTCCTCTTCATCTCTTCCCTCAGCCTGCTCTTCTGGCTTCAAAACCTTTCCACCGCCACTCTCCGTCTCTCTAACCCACTTCCTCAAAACACACCCCTCCTCCTTCCCCAGAGCTCTCCCAGTCTCTGTATTCACGCTCTTGCACCCCTTACATGCTCGCCCATGCGTCACCATTAGGACATGAAGCGGATATTTGAGGTGAGGCGGGATATGAACGTCGAGGTGCATTTGGGTGTTTACGCGGTCGATGGCGACTTTCGTAGCCTTGGCCTTCGCTTTCCCCTTCTTCGACGGAGATGCGATCGCGCTGCCCGTCGTTTGTCCCACGTCCTCGGCATCCTCGATGAGTGCAGGGACAGTGACGCTCTTCGCCCTCGGCACCCATCCTAACACCCGACTGAGCCTGAACACATGCGTATCCACCGCGAAGCTGTCTCGTCCGAGGCAGAACAGCAATACGCAGGCTGCGGTCTTCGGTCCAACGCCAGGATAGGATACGAGTTCGCGCATGATGGCTTCGTCGGACCAACGCCCTCCTCCCTCGCCACTACCGCCATCCGAGGATTCCGGCTTGACGTTGACGTCCTCCCCGCCACCCTCCATCAGAAATTGCAGCGAGTACCTCCCCCACTTCTCCTTCACACTCTTCAACAAGCCCTGAATGATCCCTGCCTTCCGTCTCGCGAGCCCTCCGCTCTTGATGGCTTCGACGACGTCCTCCGTAGGTGCGTTGGCGATGCGCGAAAATTTGTGCTCCTCGGGCGTGAGATCTATGGGGATCTTGGCGTCTGGGTCGAGAAGAGCAACCTTGGCCTGGGGCCGTGAGGACGGTGAAGTGGCGGAATGAGACGACGAGGATGAGGTGGAAGACGGGGTCGAAGGAGGAGTGACGAAGCAAAATGCCGCATCGAGGGACTTCTTCGCGCCCGTCGAGTTCTTGGAGTTCGTATTCTGGCTCAAAATTGTCCCGATGAGCGCGTCCAAAACGTTCGGACTCCGCCCACATGTCTCCGCAGAATTCTTCGTCATCCCGATGCTGGGTCCCGCTACAGGTTTCCGGACGTGGGCTTTGCCCGGGTGTGCGGCGGCGAGGATTTGGTAGACTTCCTCGGCTTCGGAGGGAGTTGGGTGTGGGTAAGTCGGGAAGGGGGATGTGGACGAGAATTCTGAGAGGATTGAGAGCTTTTTGGTGCGTTGGCGGTCTGCTGCGGTAGGCGAGTCTGGATCGATTTTCGTAGAACGTTTGGCAGGTGTAGAAGTGGTCGAGGCGGTAACGCGTTTGCGTCTGGATGGAGTGGATGGCTCCGGTTTAATTTCTATAGTGGCAGAGTTGTTGGGTTTGCGTCTCTTAGTTGGAGACGGAGCATCGATAGCGGAAGCAGGGCCAGAGGACAATGAGGACAGCGAAGAAACTGAGTGCGAGCGTGTACGCTTCGTTTCAGGGAGGATATCATCCTCGACCTTGGGAACTTTACTGGCATTTTTCGACATGGCCAGGTTAGATGTCCACACAGAGTATTGACGCAAACTAAGACTGAGACAAGCGACAGATGAGGGAAGACGAGCAAGGCGAGCAGAACGCAGCAGACAACGAGCTAAAGCCTGCGAAGAAATGACGGAGGTTAGGGGCAAGTGAAGAAAAAGTTATGTCGCGTCGTGAGGATGCGGGTTTATATAGGCTTTTGCGCCTGCGTCGTCGCCGTTGCTGTTAACGAGCTGATCGCCACCGCCGCGTTGCCCAGCATCGGCGACTCGCCACAATGACGCGGCCACGTGACTATCATTCGTCCCGTAATTCCCCGCCTCGGCGCTTTCCAGCCGTCCTCTTTTGAGCCTCTTCAAGTTCTCTCTCTTTTGTCCCACAACCGTCTGCGTATCTAAAGTTCAAGACAAGTCCAGTAAGGCTCGGATAGTCATTAAAAAGAGTCCGCTCTTATGTTACAGTAAGTACTGCAGAAGAAAAATTTCTTAGTCCAATACGTGTTTTATGCAAGTGTGATATGGCTCAAATAAGTAGACACCGTATACCAAAAGTTCAAGCCGAACTCGGAAACGAACATATAAATAATGTGTGCTATGGCATCCATGGTAAGCCACCCTGCAGACTGTCTAAGACTCAAAGTTCGAATTTATCGTGCATGTCCTAGACACCCAATATCCCAGGGTGGGCAGGATGTCCAATCAGTAATCAAGTGCTTCCCTCGACGGCAGAGTAGAGGCGGAAAGAGACTCACTAGTGGTGAGAGACTACTCAACTGCAACATACAAATACTATCAGTTGCATGCATTATCAAGAAGATAGAGACATAGAGGAAGGGACGTACATAAGGCGATTGGAAGTTATTCAATTCTCCCTCCCAAGGTTCCTCGTTGGACCCATCCGTGGAACCCATAGGCTGCTTCGATTTATAGTTACGCGTTTCATCATGTAGCTTTTGTCCGACTTCATAAAGCTTGTAGCTGTAGTCAAGTCCGTGCCAATTACTTAGTATTGGGAGGTGTGGCACAATATCAAGTGTGCTTGAACGTACTTTATGTGGATCATGAGCTCTTCATAGGTCGGTTGGATTCTACCCTTGAACTGTGATAGGTAATCGCATAGGAACTATGGAAAAGAAGGGACATATATCGATGGTCAGCCGTTCATAAGAAGAGTGAATGGACTGGAGCGTGGAACCGTACATGAGTCATCGAGAGCTGTGAGGCCTCCCATGTCTGCTCCGGATCAGCGCATGAACCCAAAGAAATCTATGTATATTTTCCGCGGGTAAACAGACCAGAGGACACGATACAGAGCTTTGAATCAATATTTCCGTCCGCTTACAGAAATCGGGGAAAGCTTACGACCGTCGGTGTCCCTTCACCCCTCGGAACCAAATTTTCACGTTCCCTACATCGTTCACCGCAAGAATACGATGTTGGACTCTGAGTCACTATTCGCAAACTCTCAGCTTCTTGCAGACTTATTTTTTCCGGCTGAGTCTCCATGTCGTGACCACGGTCGACGTCAACGTCAATTGCCTTATCCATCCTCAATGTGCTCGGTCCACCAGGAAAACGCAGAATCGAGCCATCGGGACGCATGTTGCGCACAAAGCGTCGCGTCGGATGCATGGAAGTAGGTGGGTGGGTTACTCTACTTCTTGGAACATGCGGTAGGGCCTCCGGTTCATGTGTATCATGCCTATTGAACGAGTGGTCAGGCACGTGAGAGGCCTGAAGGAACGTTTTGATGAAGGACGTGGAAGGCGTCGGAGGCGGAGTTCGCATCGCACGAACTGTTTCTGTAGGGCTGAGAGCTTGAGAGAGGAGACGATTTTCATGTGAGGAAGGGTAGTCTGTTCCCGCGGGATAGTGACCATGGTGTGGGGACGTGACGTTCCTCCTATCCGGCAGCGTCATTGCGAGGGGAAACCGGAGTGCAGCAACTGACAGTAGAGATGTTCAGTTATCAGTCAAGAGGTTCCCGATAACAGCCAATGAGTGAGTCAGAGCAAATATCAGAGGGCGAGATGTTGATTGAAAAGGAGATGTGGCGACTTGACCACTCACGAATTCCGCTTTGGATGTCCATCTGTCTCGCTATACCCGTCACCCGCCACATTGGAGACTAGTTCAGCAAGTAGAATGTTGAGAGTACGAGACAGAAATATAAAGACGCACTGTTACGATTCATCAGTGTTCTCGTTCGGCGTTTTCCTTTGGAGATCCAAGGGACATATACGGCGTTACAATGATAATGCGGAAGGTCGAGAAGCGTGCCAGCGTGACAGCAGTCGAATATGGCCTATGGTGCAAGATCAGAATCAGTACCTTCCTATAGTACTATTGAGTTGAACAATGCATCGAGGTACGGACTCACAGTGAGGGTAGCTCCGGAAGGCAAAGGTGAGACCAAAATCTTTTTGAGATCCTGTCAACGCAAAATGATGGCGAAAGTGAACTAATGAAGGTGCAAGAGATAGTAGTGACTCAGACAGAAAAGACATACATTGTCCAGTATCTCCTTATTATCCATTGTGACAATCGCTTTGATAGGCGGATCATGGATCAGCAGGCAAAAACCAACAAATGATTGCGTGAGCTGGCTCACCTTCGTCATAGCCGTCCTCCTCGTGATGGTCTTCAAGTGTGGCTGCCTCCTGACAAGAGTGGCCGCAGACTAGGTTGGCAGTTTCGAAAAAGACTTGTGTTGGCGCAGTATACACAAGAGGGTGGATGGAGAAAGAAATACGGACAAAGTAACGTTAACCGATCTTCTGGGATCGCACCTTGAACCAAAGCTTTCAGCTCTCGACGCTGGAGGAAAATTGGTTCAGTTACGTCGGGTAGTATTGATGAACAGGATGGACGCACGATATTGGATTCCATTGGTTGTAACCTTTCTTCCACACATCCAGCATCGTCTTTCATGACCGTAATATCTTCCTTTCGGTAGCCATATACATCTAATATGTCATACCATATCCGAGTCGCAGGCCCGTCAGTGCATGTTCACTCGAAGACGAAAGTGTGTATAACAACTCACCAATCAACAGCTTTAGGAACTTATCTACATCATTATGCGGTTCACTTAACTGACCATACCCCTCGGTATCCTTATAACGTATCCCTATAAGCAATGCTCGCCGGTGGAAAGTCTGGTGGGGTTGTGTATCTGAATCGACTCGATCCGTCACCAAGATTGAACCAGACATCGTCCCTTCGTCTCTTTCGTCGGCCTCGGTACGAGTACATATGAGTGGCAAAGCGATAGCCGAGACTCTCTGGCCCATTCGGCTGTGAAACATTTGATACCTGGCGCTCCAGGCGTGTAGTCACAGCGAAACGAGACGACTTCTGCCAGAGAGAAACTTCAGGATTGCGAGGAAAGATGAAAGTTAAGACTTTCTGGCTCCGGTCAGTGATATACTCGGGCTATAGGTGAGAAAGATCGCCGGAAGCCGCGCAGGAAGATCGAGCCGTTCGAGATGCTTTGATGATAATTTGTGTTGCGAACAGCCGCAACAATGCATGCTCCGATGCAGAGCGTTCCACCCCTTCTTACTCCCGCACTTCATGATGTATTTGTATCCTGATGTCAATGATAGCATCAGTTCGAAGCCACCATCAACCCAGCCAGAGGCTGAAATTTTTCGGGTTTTGACAACGAGAGGACGAGGACAAAGATGCGATAGAAGACGGTGTTTTAGCCAATGAGCGCGTCTGTTCGATGCAGTCACCTCTGGAAGTACGAGGACAAACTCAGAGTCGTGAACAAAAAGTCACATATAACACCCCGGAAAGTGTAGACTAAAAGGCATGTCAGTTTCTCCGTGGGCGCATTGTTCGAATGATGATCGGTGGACGCAGTGACCTTTGTGCGCTTGATGCCCCCTGCGGGCCTGGCAACGGCACGGATCAGCATTTGAACTCTTGCGGTTATGTACCTCGGTGGAACTCCATCATGAGAGCGGTATATATATATATATATATATATAGGTTCAAGGCTGAGGTGCTGTTGGGTCTGATCCGCCACAAAGCATATCAAGAAGCAAGAAAGGTGTTTCACCGCTCAAGAGGCCTAGAGCTTTCCCTCGGCGATACTGTGTAGTGTAGCGCTGTCCTCGCTTCCTTCCACCATAGCGCGGAACTTACTAGCCTTTTCCCGTAGCAGGGCGGAGGGTGTGTCGAACTCAACCTGAAAGCAATGGTTCAGATGCAGAGACAGGCGCTGGGGGACAGAACTCACAATACGTCCAGCATCTAGGACCATCTGCAAGCGATAGGTTGAGTACTATTAATGCGAAATTTATGGAGACGAATCTGCAGCAACTTACAATCCTATCAGCGTCCATGATGGTCTGCAGACGATGGGCGACTATGAGCACAGTGACGTCCTCGGGCAGCTCCGTTCTGAGGGACTTTTGAATCACAGCGTCAGTTTTGTAATCTATATGGAACGTGAACCGTTAATGATAGGAGATCATTTAGACTATAATGATACCGTACCAATGGACGAAGTAGCTGATTAAAGAAACGTCAATATTAGCAGCGGGGATGCCGGATAACCAATTTTCTTACCTTCATCCAGGATAAACAACTTGCTGCCTCTGACCAACGCGCGTGCAAGGGCAAGAATTTGCCTCTGCCCAATTGACAGGTTGGCACCCGCACCCGATATTTGCGTCTCCAAAGTGAGACGCCCATCTCCCTCCTCAGCCTCAGCCTGGAGTGAAAAAAGTCCAGAAGCACGCAAGGCCGAGTTGAGCGTGGCGTCATCGTGTTCACCGAAGGGATCTAGATTTTCTCTCAACGTCCCTCGTAACAATTCGGGCTACAAGGCAAAAAGATATATTGATCTAATGAACCAAAAAGATCGGGAGGAAGCGGCCTTACGACTTGTGGGATGATCGTTACACTAGATCGAAGGGTATCCAGGTTGATGGAGGTAGTAGGAAGCCCGTCGTAATAAATGTCTCCCTCAGTCAGGATGCATCGAAGGAGCGACAATGTCAGTGAGCTTTTCCCGCTTCCAGTCCGTCCAACTAGGAAGAAATGGAGGAATGGTCAGCATATGCTAGAATGATGACAAATGGCAGTCACATACCAATACCGATGCGCTCGCCAGACTTGATGTGGAACGAAATATCCCTCAGGACGGCCGGGCCATCCTGTTTGCGCTATCAGTGAAGGGCCAGTCTCCAGATAATACGAGGCACTTACGACGGAATAGCGAGCGGACATATTCTCCACTCTGAGATCGCCGCTAGACGGCCAATGGGCTGGTGGAGCATTGTCGTTGGTGGGCTTCGGTTCTTGCTCGATAGCCACGTATTGCGAGATACGCTCTACGCTATTACCTGCAATAGCATCAGTCTTCCGCTCTCGTTCATACTCTTGCTTACAAAGGAGAGCGATACCTTGAACTTCGAAGTCGTTCAATGATCTCACCCACCAGAGAATCAAGGCGCTAAATCCCGCTATCCATCCAAATCAATTTTATTCAAACAGAGAATATATGTTGTTCGGTACGTACCAGCCATGTTCATAGAGAATCCTGTGTCAGAAGCCTGGGTTTCACCTCTTTTGTGATGATACATGAGGTAGGCTGCGATACCGGCGGAGAATATTGCCCCGAGGACTTGCATGCGGAACGAGATCCACCTGTCAAGAGTGAACGATCAGTACAAATACCTGAGAGACAAGCCCCGTCAGAAACGTAAACGGTGGCAGACCAACCGATTAAGAATATAGTACGTCCTAGCTACACGCGTGTGCCGGTCGGAATATCGCTGCAACTCCTTCGTGAAGGCAGTCTCTGCCCCATATGCCCGTACAGAAACTGATGAATGCCGAGGAAATGATGATCAAAAAAGTGTTGTGAGGTGTCAATTCAAATGAACGCGACCTACCCAAACCAGACAATGTGCCACCAAAGTGTGCGAGAATTGGCGCTTTAGCGACACTCTGTTGGCGTTTAACGGCCAGTTGAGACGCAATGTACAGCCTTCCGCACATTCCTCCAATGACGAAGACAAGAAGGCCAGGGAAGATGAAGACCGGAGTGAGAAAGACAACGATTCCGAGCTTCGTCGCGAGAGATAATGTGAGCGTAAGCAGTATAAAAAATGTGTCCGGTAAGGGCCGGTCAACTGTATGAGGAAATGTCAGGTGAGTAGCGAGGGTGGTGAGAGAAAGTGTTGACATACTGGCTTGTATGTCAGCAGTACAGCGAGTGATTACTACGAAGTCAATGCATTTCAGATATAGTGTGTCGTATGAGCGTAATACTAAGCCGCACCTCGAGAGATCGGAGTCACATCTAACCATCTATAGGTAGCCCCCATGATGGAATTGATTAACCGGCGGTGAATGGACCTCGATCCACGGAGAGATGCAAAAACCCAGAGAACATTAGTGGTCAATATGAACACTAAGGTGACCAGTACTGTCATGATGTAGATGGAAAGGTAGCTAAGATGACCGTGATGTCAGAGGAATCTCACGCTCTAATTTTTATATAAACGTACTAGGTAACATTAACCTCTGAAGAAGGGTGGGTCTCGTATTGTTGCGACCAGTACCCAAGTGACCACGTTTCAGCCATGACGGACAGGTGCATCGCGAGCATAGTGCTAATGTAGACATTCCAGAACGATATGTTCCATTGCCCACCAAGGCTATTGAAATAGAGTCTTACTGTGTTCAACCACGTCAATGAAATGATGAGAACAAAAAGGGAGCAGCTGGACATGACTATGACGACTTACGCGCAGCCCAGCTGACATGTCCTACGGCTACCTCCTCCGTTTCGACCAACTTTCCATCCTTCGGCTTGGCGCTCGCCTGCTCCAGTGGACCCAAATTCGGTTTCGTGTCCTTATCATTATGTTCGTCCGTGTATGCTGCAGCCTCCCCGATATCCTCACCTTTCTTCAGTGCTTCAAACACGGACTCATAGGACGATACCGTGCCGTCTGAATGTACGGTGACCACAAAGTTGGCAATAGGTTTGACGAGGTCCACGTTGTGAGTCTATATCACGACAATCAGTCTCTCTGTCTGCGGTCGCCAAAAAGTCGGGAATACTAACCACGAGCAATACCGTACGTCCTCTTATCAAAGGGCCCCTGAAGCATTTATCGACGATCCATCGTGCCGTATGGACGTCTAGTGCTGCAAAGACCTGTACAAGCCGTCAGAGAACGAGCAAACGTAGAAACGCACTTTTGTACTCACATCATCGAGAAGCAGGATCTCCGCATTGGAGTAAACAGCGCGAGCTAGAGTCAAACGGGCCTTCAAGCGGTGTGTTGAACGTCTGTCTTAGGATGATAGCTTAGACTGTCACTACCTTTTGACCACCACTGCATGAAGGTCATAAGAGTCAGAATGTCGTCCGAGGTAGCAGAGCGAAAGGAATCCACTCGCCTGAGGGTCAGACCCTTCTCCCCCACCTCGGTCATGTCGCCAGCATCGAACAGCTTCAGATCGTGCTCCAAGGCGCACTGCTGGATCACTGTAACATACTCGTCAACATGAGAATGGCTACGAGTCAGGGATTTAGTCTCACCTTGCTTGTAGCGGACTTCTTCGTAGGGTGAACCAAAGACTATGTTTTCCTGGTACGCTGTCAAATTCGCCTGTTCCACAATGAAGACCGACGACGCTCACTTTTATCGTCAAATTTTGGACCCAGGACTCTTGAGCTGCGTACGCAATGCCTCCGCCGCGGGGAAGGTTATACCAGGACGATGGGGCGGAACGAATAAAGCGCATCTCGCCTGGGACGGGGCACGTCAGCCGTCTAATATGTGGCGGTGGCCCACATTACTCACCAAGCAGAGCCATGAGAAGTGATGTTTTGCCTGGTATACCGTCACATGAGAATAGACAGCGTCAATCAAACTGAGCAGTCATACCTGAGCCTGTTGGTCCAGTGACGAGGTTGATTCCACCTCTCTTGAATACCAGCTCATTCTCAATGCGAAGCGTGAACCTTCCACCGTTCGGAGTAGAGACGCCGTCGGTACTTTGGTCAGATCTCCAACAGAATGAGGCTTCGTTGAAACCAATATTCTCTTTGTTGTAGTCCTCGATCGAGCTGCCGGTGGGGATATCAGGAGTAGATGCCAAGAGATCCGTCTACGACGAAATCAATACGAATGTCAAACAGCGACCGACAGGGAAAGACGTCACCTCGTGCAAGAATTCGTTTATTCGATCCAAAGACACCTTGGCTGGAGAGTTTAAATCGGTGTCATAAGCACTCTGGAGTACTCTCCGGAGAATAGTGACCAAGTACCGGCAATCAATCTCGGTGTCATCCAGAAGACCTCATTGAGTTGCTCCCGGAGAATATCGAATGCTGCACAGACAGGAGAAGTAAGAGACTGTTCGTTGAAACGAGAAGAAAAAGAGCTCACCAGCCAGAGACGAGAAGACAGCGGCCGCTGGAAGATATCATTCGCATATATGCAGGAGTACAGGGAAGGAACTGCTCACCTGTCAACTCTTGTTTCATGACGACCGTCTACCGGAGAAAACATGGGTACACTCGACACTGAGATACAACCATTCGACTCACATAAGTTGTATAGACCGCGATCATCGTCACTGCAGGAATGACATAGCTAATCGACGTTCGTCAACCATCACAACTTCTTCGGAGAAGGAAAGCTAAGTACACAAGTACACTCACTTGAGGCTCCTGCTGAGTAGCGAAAGCAACCGTCCTCTCCTGACCCAGTGAAGCTCATCGTCTCGCTTCTCAGAAATTCGGCTGTTCATCTTAGCCTCCCACCCAAAGAGCTTGATCATTCGGAGAACGTTCAAGGCTAGGGAAAAGAACGTGAGCATCGGAATCACAGCGAGAAACATACTCCAAGAAGGTTTCGTACTTTCTGTGATTGTCTGCACCCGAGCATCCGTCTACTGTGTCGTTAATATGATTTCCATAGGAAGGGATATGCAAACCAACCTTCTTCATAGCCTCACGCTGGGTACTCTGCAACATCTTCGCGACGTTTCCAGGGACTGGAATTAGTATAAACATCACAGCGACGCCGACGAATGCACTGGTAGTTGCTTATTAGGATCGCCTTCGATGAGAAGCTGAACAACGTAGCGCACCTCCATCCCAACGCCTCATATAGGAACCAAACACTCAACGCCACCAGGACGGGTGTCCACAACACTTCCATATCCATTACCAATTAGCGTAATGGCCACCCGCTTGCACAGTGTGATTAACTAAAGAGGTTCAAACGCACCGACAGTCAGAAAATCCCTTCCTGGCGCAATGGTGGCCATGTCCGTTGTGACGAGATTGTTGATTCTTCCCTGTATATTCCGCGCCTGAATACTATCCTTCGAATTTCCATCCGACGAACGTTCGGAGGAAGTTTCCAACGAATGGGATGAGTCTGCCTGGACTCGAATGCGGAGAGTGTGCTCATAGATGAGCTGAGTCAGAACAGATTCCATCCGGACCAAGGTGCGAGTCTATCACAGACATAGGCAAGTGAATACCGAGGCACTACTGGGACGACGCGAGACAGAAAGCGTACCCCGACAAAAATGTACCGCTCGAGTGTAAGGGAAGCACAGGTTGGGGCTAGGAAAAGCACAGCTATCCATACCCAAGGTTGAACCACGGGATCTTCCCCGTTGTTCTCCAGGGACCTTGACGGTAACACAATAAAGGATCCGGCGTTACCCCAGAGATTTCGAAACAACTCACGAGAGAAGTTGCTTGATAGCCAGAGGATTGAGAACCATAGAACAAGCCTGCAGAAAATGAGGGCGTTAATACAAGTGACTGAGATGAGGGAGCAGCGCAGACACGGACCGTAAGCACCAGCATGGACGTCATCTCCACGTATTCATACTCTAGTCGTATGTTCCGTAGTCAGTCAACGGGACTCATACCAAAGACTGAGAGACTACACCATACGAAATACTCTCATAAGACTCCAGAAAATATGGCGCCTTCCACCACGAGTGAGAGAGTCTATAAGCTGCGCCACAACAATCAGTGCCAATATATATTTGCAAGCTGACGGTCGCAGACAACTCACAGGGGTAGCTCTCTTCAGTAGGTGCTTTGCATTATCATAATCTGCAAGAGGGGGAAGCTCATCGTAAGAGATCTTCGGATCGAGATAGGCCTTCCAGATGATCGGGTCAAGGAAGTGGTAGGTGAGTAGAGAGAAAATTGAGGCAGTCTGTTCTGGATTGGGGTCTAGTGCAGGCTCCTATACATGGAGAATTCAACCAGACGATTCGCGACATATAAGAAGTAGATAACTGACTTTCGGATCGAGAGGGGTATATTGCCTGGGTGAGAGGAGCGGTAGAAGGACGGCTGAGAAAAATAGTATGACTATCTCTCCCCACTGTAAAGCGCCCGGAGACGGTACTAAGGAATGCTGAGCGAGCATAAGGGGCCACAGGGCGTGGTAAGCTGAGACGAAAAATGCGACCACGAGGATGATGGTCAGGTTAGTGGACGCCGTGTCCCTGGATCTCTGCCCCGTCATCATAGCAACGATTGAAAGCAAGAGGGTATATATCTGCACGGGTGTGTATGAGATTAGGTAACGTTCGAGTGGGAAGCGCGCACACACGTATGTGATGCACGAGAGTATCTTCGCCCAACCAGGTCTTCTCAGCCAGTCGTCCTGTCCGCCAGCGAGGCCGACGCCACAAAATATAGATACCGCAGAAATCGCGACAAGCGCAATGGTGGAACCGAGTCGTAACACCTTGATATTGTCGGTATTTGCTCTACCAGAGGCGGCCTTCGGACGTGCAAAAGACGAGTCATATCCAGAAGAGTCTGCCTGAGTTGTAGGAGTTCCATGCGAGATCTTCCGGACCACAACGCGAGACAGGAGGGATGCGAGAGAGATGCAAGCCACATAGGCAGGAAATAGGTCTATCCATGAATTCGCTGTGAAAATATGACCACTGGTACACGAAGATGATGAGGCATAAGTATATCTAGCGTGAAGCCTATGGTCACCACTCACTCCGGATCGGTTTGCTGGGGAGTGTACCAGCTCTTTTCGAGACCAAACAATGGGATATGCATATCGACCTAGAGGAAAGCGGGAGTAGGGTACAAAGAACGACTGGCCTAGGACAGCTCTTTCGATCAAGAAAAACCCCGATAGCCGCCAAAATGACTCGAAGTTGATATGCATTAGTAAGATCCGTCGGGAACCGCTGCTCGCCACAGTCGTCATCCGACATCAAAAAGATGGATCATGGAATCGTAATTAGTCATGGCATCGGAGCAGTTCATAAGTGAGTCCACGACTCCGACGAGGAAAAAAGGGAAGAAACAAGGAGCGGGCCAGCAGGCCGTTTTCTTTCATCAAGAATTGGACTGCCGCTTGGGCCTCCGAGTGGCCCACCGTAACCACGGAACCACTCCTTCTCAGTGCCACGTCATTCCTCATTTCTCTTCCCCTCTCGCCCCCAACCGCGATATCTTCCTCTTCAAGCAACCGATACCCTCCGCTTTGCCGGTCTGCACATAGTTTCATGGATCTAGCATTGGAGATAGTTCAGATATAAGAAAGTCTCTCGGGAACGATAAAGCACCACATCTACCAGAACCTTGTCAGAATCTCGTGCATGAGACTCGTCTGTTTCTCGCTCGAATCATGTTCTGTGCATAACCAAGCGAAGATTCGATTTTGGTGTGTGATTCTCCCCTCATTCCCTCGCGGTGTCCATAGCATTCATTCCGGATATATTAGCACTATATTAGTTTGAACTGACTCCTCCGTCGCATTGTCCAACGATACGGACTCCACGACCACAAGTAGACAGAGAATACCCACTTTCATCGTATCTCAGCATCCTACCTCAGTCCCCGTGTACGCTTACCATGTTCCCTTGGGCGACCAGGGCACGATCTCAACCGGCGATTGAGTGTCAAATTTAGCGCACCGCATACGAGCACTCAAACTGCCCGCTCACGATGAGTTATTCCACGGTCGGGGACAGAGGAGTCTCCTAGATACCGATGTAGATGCTAACCTAGGTCCAACTAGGTCTGAAACAGGCTCCCTTTTCAGCATTTTCTCGATCCTATATGCGCCCCCCAAGCCCTGAGTCCGACCTTAGAAGCTGCTCGCAACACAAGTGCCACGTGCCACCGCTATTTCACTTCACTTCACCAGGTCGTAGTGAGTCCGATCTCTTTTGGAATCACTCATGAGTCTCCTTCCTCCTGTGACGAGACGGGTCGCTGTCTACTCATCGGAAATCATCCTCGCGTTCTGTGAACGGTCTGCTTTGTTGGCCGTCTTTGGTCGTATCAAACTGGTCCGACAAAATACAGATACCCACACTACTCTCTTCCACGACTCTTCTGACCTATCTTCCTCGAAAGACGTCGATCTTTCTCTTGTTTTTCATTAAATTTCTGTGGTGCCGCTATGCGCTATGACGCGTCGACACGTCTGACCGGACCTTCCGATAGTCTCGCGCCTCTTTATGATCTAGGTCGCACGCAGTTGTCACAACGAATCGAACATTCAATGTACATCATTCTATGTTTGCAGAACCCGATACCCAAGGCCACACCAGTGAATGTGGGTCCTCATCGATACACATCTAGCTTCTGCGTATCCCTTACAAGACATTGTGCGGTGCCACGGCGCAATGAGCTGAATTTCCACTTTATTTTAGTTCTTTTTGGCACGATGACTGGGTCAATTTGGACTGCACTTCTTCGTTATGTTTCCATTCTGCTCTCCCGGGTTCGAAGGCGTCCTCTCAAACATATGACCGACTCCAAGTGGCGTCTTGTCGTCCAGCACTGATGACATGATCTTCACCATATATCGGACATACGTCCTGCCTTGGGTGGAGCTATCCCTATCAACTGAGGTGGCACCCCGTATTCTGTGTTCTCGATCGTTCTCAGTCCCCGTGAATCGCAATAATACGGCTACCGGACTCTTGGTCGGACTCTCGACGACGCTCGCAAATCACTGGCGACCACAACTCCTGGCCTACTTCTGCAAGTCAATTGATGCATCTTATAGTCTGTATGGTCCGGCATCATAAAAACTTACCAAGGCCTCGAATCATTTCATAACGGTGAGCGCACCTGCCCATCTTTCAACGCACTCACAATATGCGTCCTTTCGTATATCGGATCACAGATATCATTCTTCTTGCAATTGGAGGAGACCCCAGTCGTACGTGCTTCCGTTCCCATGGGCAACATCTCAGCTCAACAGACGGCTGAAGTGCATAATGAAGAAGAGCTCTCGGGACGGAATGTAGAGCGCTATGTATAGCTGTAGGTCCGGTCATTCCAGCGCAGCACCTGTTAACTCTGGAATATGGCACACTCTAGACCAGCTGCAGTTGTTCCAATGTCACGCACACCCGCTATGAATGCGTCCCGTCCCCCATCTGCATTGAGCTCGCTGTGTCTGGGATCTGTGCTTTGACTCGCTGAATGAGGTACTTTCAAAGGATGTCGCTCCGTGAGACTCGTTGACGCTGTTCCATCTTCAGGAGCTCCATGCATATACATGGAGCGGCAAATAATTTCGGCCACCTAGTCAGCCACCCTGCAACCAGCCAAAAACATAACATACCATAAGGAGTACGTGCCTTTCTCTTCTCGTATGGATCTGTCATAGCCAACTCACTAGTCCGTCTAGAATTCACGCGTCTATTTTCATACACGCCGCTGAGACACGTGCCGTTCCTGGCCGTAACACCCAACGCCACACCCGCTCTTATTCGTACGTCCATAGGCTCACCGGAACGTCTCCCCATCCTTTGATAGTGACTGAACTTCTACATAACCTCAAAGTTGACGTCCTGTATACACATGCCCATTCTGTGTTCTTCGCAGACACAAATGAGTCATGTTCTTATGATCACTTTCGCGCCCGCCCTCGATATCAAACATATGCACTATCTTCAAGCGGTTACCCTGGCTAGGGGATTCTCCAGATACACTATGTTATGCACCCTGCGGACCTAAATCCTATTCTGACGTTCGGAGGCCCGTATTCTCCAGTATTCCTCGGACGGCCTCGGAAATATGATTTGTGTTCTCCTTGCGGGACGGCAAAGCCTAGAGAAGACGTTTTGTCCACCCTGTGGCGCAACAAGAAATCTTTACAGACACTGGAGCATGGAAAGACCTCGAGATCTGATTCGTGCAATGTAACACAAAGTTGGGCAGTCCCATGTGTCATGTTTGGATGGATGAGCAGGTCCGCATCTATTTCCGCGGCTGAGTACTACACTATGCCTTTAACAAATTTCTGTCTCCCGTTTTCTTCCCGTTATCCGTGAAGCCCATGCCATATCTCCACAACAGGCGTTTCACCACTTTCATTCCAGTTCGTAGCATCATGAGAATTTTCGAGTTCCATTCTATGTCTTCTTACACTCACGACCGCGGCTTGATAGTCTAGTCCGTTAGAAGTCACCATCGTGCACCTCTGTCCTCCACACAATACCTAGTCCATGCCCTCAATTTGGGATGTTTTGCGTCTAACTTGAATGCTTTGCCTTTTTGGATAAGACTTTCTCGGCGCTACCCTCGGTGGCGTCAATCACAACTGCCCCAAAATAGCGCTCTACATACGCAGTCTACCTCGTGATACTGGTTGCATGATGTTCTTGACACTGGCGTAATTTTTGCTTCCAGACGTATCCGCTGAGTTTCCTTCATTGGGTAACACTTCTTTGAGTTTCCAGGACGCTTCGAACAAACCTCTTCTCGCAGTGGCTGCAGTGTTCTCCTCGCCGCTACGTCCCATCCGTATCTCTCCGCCTGAGGGCCACCAAGAACCATCCGCTAACGAGATTACATAGTAGAAACCATAGGCCCCCCAGACATCGTCTCCCATCGTGTCCCAATATCGTCGCATGATACGATCCCAGCTCGGACATCCGAAGACACGACCTCGGCCTCGAGCGTCTTTGATTACACCGGTGTATTTGCGGTATGCACCCTCATTCTACGTTTTCTAATCAGACATACCGAGCATTGACTTTTGAGTTCACTCTTTGAAGGATGATGTCGGTGTCTTCGTGCTCATCTCCGCGTCGTTCATGCCCCTGTCTATCTATGGCCTGAAACTTGCCTGTATCTACGTGCGTGGGTTTTGTCGACTGGGTATGGCAAGAACTCGCTGAAAGTTCGGCGGGATAGGGAGTAATTGTGTGGACGCATGCACTGTGGCTGCTCGAGTTATGATGTTCTGGCTATCTCTGGACTGGATGCGGACTGGCTGAGTAAAGCTTACTGTGAGAGGATTCTCGAGATAGAGTCCGGGTCCTCCGTCAGTCGGTCTCATGGCGTATGGCTCATGGCTCATGGCTAATCTAGGCTCTCTATGGTTCGGATACAACTGTATCCTGTTTGCTTCCACCGTTTGTCGGCCACAGGTCAATAAGGAGAAGTGGTACCTACGGCTGTGGAATAGACCTACATAGGGACTGAGATGGACAATTAGAGGCCTTCTGTGGAGACATCAACGACTCTAAGACGAGACCGGTAGAGTCGGCTGTGTCTTGCAGTGGTGTTACGTGGTATGTCGGTCTATTTCTCTCGCACCTTTTGCCACCAAATGGCGTGTGATTTTTATGTTTACATTTCTGTAGGACTTCGACATCTTCTTTCCTTCGGTCGTGTGTCCACAGCACGCCTGCAATTTACCTTCTGGACACGGCCCAAGCTCGATTTTTGCCCACCATAACATTTTACAGTTTCCGTTCACAGTCTCCCCACTCTGTTTTTACTGAAGTAGTGATGCCCGTCGACGTCCGTCTTTGTATCTACACTCTTACTCCACCCACCCCCAACCTGGATGGCCGAACCCTCAAACTGACCTGACTTCTAGCGCTCATCTTCCACGCCCTCGAGGAATGCTTTTTCTTCCATCGGGAGTTTGACCCTCGTGCTCTCGTGTGGGGATCTCGAGAGCCAAATTTTGTCTCTTTCCCATTTGGTCCACGTCACTAAGGTCTTCTACTCATGTTCTTTAGTTCACTATTGTCTTGCACTGGTCACGGGAGTTCATTCTTTCGAGCTTCCGAACCTGCGGATACAATTCCCTCTAAAAGGCAGTGTTTGTTCCCTTTACAGTCGTGGCCAACGTGGATATTACTCTGTTGACGAAAAGTGTGTTCTTTCTCGTGACGAGTGAAGGGCGCTCAGGGACCTTTTGGCTTGCACTCGGGCTGATGTCTTTACTCTGTACTATCACAATCTTCTTGGGATACCACTGTGTCAGATATCTCTTACCCAGACTTCCAGCGCTCTTTATTCCGCAGATCCAAGACAGATTCTTTCGACGGCCGCGCGCAAGTTATGTATTCTGTGGCAGAGTATGTGGCGCGCACGAGGTCGGTGCCACAAGAATAAATGTTTCATTTAAACATCCTGAGAACTAACTGTAACGGTCAAGACTCTGGAGACCTGCATTGCCGCCACGCACTCAGGGAAGATTTCACTCTGGTGTATATCCCTTTCGGCGAGTGTGACCAGACATTGTTCTGGTCCGATTCCATGACGAAGCAGTGAGACAACATGCGGCTACGAGGCGGCGTAGTGGCCTTTCTCTTCCTATATCGAATAAGTTATCCATGTCAATTTGGTCTTGTTGGCAAGCGGAGAAACATATAGGAAACCCCTGAAAGGATCGCGTCCGGCATCCCAAGCGATGTTCGCTTACAGAACAGAAAACCGTAGCACGCTTTCCTGCTTTTGTTCGCCGGGCCTTCCCTTATAAATCTCAGACAGAACCAGACATCACGTGTCCAAAGAACTCTTCCTTTGAGTCCTGAACCTTGCGATAACCTGGGACTGCACCCCGAACCGAGCTCTGTTCCGTGGCGCCATCCTTTCAACACCCTCGGGCGGTCAGGCCCAAACACCCCCCCTCCACGGCATATCTCCGTGACGACTCAGGCGATTTGCTTTTGGCCTTGTTCAGCTCAAGCCATCCACTCGTTCCGATGAACTTCGGAGTAAAAGAATTTGACGAGCACAGATAGAAATACTGACCGGGGTCCTAACATCAAGGTTCAAGACCTTCAGCATTGGATATTCAAGATTTGCCTCCGTCTCGGTTTCTTCTGCTTCGATTGTCGTTTTCCCGATCTTTCATCCACGGAGGCCACGGTAGAAAGAAAAGTAACCGATACTTCACGCTCAGTGGTACTGAAATCGGGCGTTTATAAGAAGGATAGATCGATGCGCTATACCAGACATGAAAGGTTAGACGGACGTGAGGGGCCCTCTCTCATAGCAAGCCAAGCGAGCCCGATGCAGCGCAATTGTAATACAATAATATGAGAGAAAACAGAAGAACACAAGGGAATGCTACTGGCTGGATGATGGCGCTACCTGGAAGCCGGAGCGCCACACAGTTTGTGTTTTCATCCCAAACTAGAGGTAACTGTGAACTTACCAGGCATGACGAAGCGGAATACACTCTACTTACCATGTTCCGCCCAGGACTCAGGGACGGACTTCGATCCCTCTCTGGCCCTTACGGTGAGCCGCAGATGGCAGCCGCTCTCGCCCTTCCGGGCCCAAGAGACCCTACAAAGGAATTCGCTAGCCTTGAGCTTCTCTACCCTTCTCTCCTGAGCGTTCCTTCTAGCTGTGGAGTCTCGTTGACCGGGGGCATTGCGCCAATGTGACCGCACTCTGCGTCTAGTTATGGCGTTCTCGATGCCACGGTTGGACATCTCATTCGCGAGGACAAGAATTTGAGCCACATGCACCCGAGCATTCATATTTCAGACTGCGCAGGTAGCCATCGCAAGGTTGCTTGTGCCGTTGAACTGAAGGTTTTATTCTTCACGATACCAACTAGCAACAGGAAACCGACTTGGACGAAGATATCACTGGCCTGGCACTAGTCAGCCGTAAAGTCACGAATGTCTCGGAGCAGCGTGGGCCGTAAATGAATTTAATCAAATTCCTCGACTCGGGATGCACATCCGCTCATGGGCGGATAAGGAACGTCTAAAATACTCCTTTTAGGGCTCCGTGAGCGCCCTCTGGATACCAACCTTCCCGTTTAGGAAGTTCACCCGCTCGAGGACAAGAGCGCAATCAAGATTGGGACGCGAGCCTTCTTCTGTCTTCGAGAGCTCGATGAAATCTGATGGATGGCCCGATGAGAGATAAGTCGCCGGACAAGGCCCATCAACACACCTCGAGTTCTGTCCCGGTCTCTTACCATTTGCCACAGGAGATCACCCGATCAGTATACGTTGGAGCGGGAACGCGTATGCTGGAAGGACGTGGGGAGAAAACAAACGCTAGCGCTGGCTATCGCTCTGAGGGCGTCAAAGCGAAGCTTTGATTTGATTCCATGAGGGCGTGGTTACGAGAGGGTGTGAGTGCCACAGCCCGAGGAGCACGGCGAAATCTTCGCGAGCTCAAGATGGGAAACTACACGTTTAATCTCCGTCCGAGCAGGATCAGGTGGGTCATTCGGATGTTGTGCAGTCGCAAATAGGAAACTGGACCGTATCTGACCTTGAATATTCGCGTCCGAATATCCGATTGCAAATGTACAGCAAAGCAGGTGCAGGCAAGTCCAACTTGCTCAGGCCCAAGTCAGCATAGTACGTCCTGAGGATATCGAGATGGACCTCGGAGATTTACAGGAATGTACCTCCGTGCAAGATAGACGAGACGATTAAGATCAAGGTTGTCGAGACGTGTGACCGGCTTCATCTCGATTGTCGTTTGGCGCCGAAAGACTTCCATAATCGACAAGGAGAAGTACACACTCCTCCAGATACTTGACTGCGTAGCTGCCGACGAAACATTCGTTATCCGAGTGGGAAGCAGGTCAGACGTCAAGAGAGGGTCTTCTGGATGGAAGAGTCAAAGATGAGAGCTACTCGTTGGCATTTGAGCTTCTAGCCTGGCCGAGATGAGGTTATACAAGAGTACACAAGAACGTCCCGGAAATTCTGGACATAAAGGATTCATCGTCGGCTTCCGTGATTCGGATGGACCTCTATGTCTCGGAATGAGGATGTCCGCTGGAAACAGGGTGATAGAAGATGGACGTAGCATACTCAGAGTTGTGTGGCGAGATCACTGATATCATCAGTAGTGATCGAGAGCAAGCAGGGGGTGAGAGGAACCCATGAACGTGTTAGACTTTCGAGAGCGGTGGGACCCGGGAGAGGGTCAGATAGCCTTGCCGATACGTTTCCGAGCTGTGACGCACTGAAGCACTGTCATCTGAATATTCACTAGTAGTCACCACAGCGAATAATTCAGCCAATTATACCGCGAATGGGTGACTTGAATCACTCACCAAACTAATAGTAACTCAATTCATCTCATCAAGCCGAGTTGTCCATCCCGAGCTGAAGAATGAAGGTGACGATCGCATGGCACATATTCCCGCTCTGCCAGCGCTCATCCATAATCCGATTGAGATCATGATCTCAATCCGCTGCGGCTCCATAGTCTATCAGCAGAACTGAAGAGCAGACGAAGAGCAAAGAGGTACTCATCTAATATCAGGTATATTCCATTCGTAGCCGCATGGTGATACGATCAATGACACACGCCACACGTTGTCGGTGGAAAGTGAAGTCTATGTTTGGGACGATCGGCATCTGCACTGCAGCGAGCTTTTCTAAGCTCAATCGATCATGACCGGCGGAAAGGAAGGTATAGAAGTGATTCATAGAAGTCTAATACGTAGACGGCCGGGTGGATGAGATGAGGAGATGAATCCGAGAATGGAGGTGCGGACGTACCTCAATCATGGTTGGGCCATTCGACGAAGATTAGAGCTGGAGTATAGCCTGAGCTCTACTGTGCTTTTCGCGGTGTATGCAGCGTTGTGAAAAACTTCGAGAATGCGTATTCCATGGATACATGAATCAGAATGGACAGACGTGCGCATACGGCCGCTGCGAGAAGCACGATCTTCGTATGGAAGTGGATAGATGGATCGATGGCGACTTGTGCTGCATTCCACTCTGTGGCCCGGCGGTCGGCAGATTCGCGACGCGCGATGAATCCTTGGAAATGAACGTGTGATGGCACGTTCTATACTCGAGGCCTCAATACACTGCACATTCATTGACGGGAAACTGTTAAACACTATGATCCGTGTCTTCAATCATTGAGCAGTCAATTAAAGCAGGAAGATACAGCAGCATGAGCGCTGAGGGTATAACATCGAGCTAGGCATCCTTCGAGGAATGGAAATTTAATGATTGAATTGGATAGGTGATGCATGATGATAGCAATCCGGAGAGCAAAGTTGCGGACAGGATGAGAGAGGGACCCACGATACCCATTCATCTCCACTTACGCGCGAGTCTCTATATGACAGGACCAGCGGGTCGATCCGACGATACGCCCATACTGAGATTAGCGAAAGCGAGCCACCCGAGATGAGCAGAGCTCATGCACAGGAACGCAATAGCAGGCAATTTCAAAGCTGAGCTCGATGAAGAGTCGACTTTAGCAGGAGTGAATGGTCTAATCATTCATGTGGCGCAAGTAGGTTCGTGGTCGTCTCAGAAGCGGTGTTCACCGTCTCAACCGACGACGCTGTTTTTGTCAAAGTCGTAGTCAAGACGACAAGGCATAGACAATGAGAGCGTAAGACAGCATGCAACTAGGCTGTGCCTGTGGAGTTGAGAGCCTGCGTGTTTCCTGCAGGTTCTGTTAGCACAGTTCATGAACGATCGTGGCGATACTGGCGCGACTGCCTTCGATGACGCAGTTCGATTCTGTATGTACGGCCAACATGCCTTCGGAGAAGAGAGGAGTAACACCGTAGCATGCGATGAATTCTCTCGCTGCAAAGCAGAACGCGTGCATGAGCTCTGCATAGTCCGTCTGAGAATTTGCAATACATAAGACGGAAGCAGAGGAACGGAAGTATCAGAGGCCAGCGCCAAACACGAGCACACCCGCAAACCCACATCGCCGGATCCCAGAAACATCGACCTCAGAGGTTAGAGCAAACGATAAGTTCCGAAACCTTCCGAGGAAGAGGCTTTTGGGAGTAGTTGCATAGGCAGAAAGGCTATCATGGCATCAGATCCTCACTGCTCAGTGGAATGAGGAAAGGTTATCTGGATGGTTTAGTCGCCGTTGGTCGTGGCCACGAAGAATGAAAGCATGTAGCCAGATGAGGAAGGTGAGGTTGCGAGAGGACAGGTGCCACGCGGATAGGATATGACATTACGGATGGACGGGTGAAGATGACGAGGGTCATCCGCTAGAAGATAAGCGTAGAGACGGAGCGGAAATGATCGACGCAGAAGGACGTACGGTTCCAAAGTCCACCTTCCTTCTCGCAGTCGAAGACACTCGTGGTAGATGTTAGTCGTCGCTTGAAATGGATAACGCGATCCATCGACAATCATATGCCACATTCGCCCACCGCAAAGGATGGCTTTGCCGACAGCTTCGAGAAAGAGCACACCTGACGAGCGGCGCAGGTGGACGTTGAGTGCTGTACGGATAAGAAAGGAGGACACGGACCGAAATTGCATGAACCATCTTGCTGGAGGAAAATACCGGAGTACAGCTGACGGATGTTCGTAGGTTCGTGTGTATCGCTGTCGTAAATTAGACGGGTCGTCAGCATTAGAGCGGAGTACATCGGACGCAAAGCACCATAAATCCCGATACTTCCGTTGTATCCCACCGCCAACAGCACAACTCAGGAGCACGAAGGAAGCGAAAGATCCTCGGAACAGTGGACGCGATGATGTGCGTCATGCATGCATAGCCTTGCGAAGCTCTGCGAGTGTTTGCTCCTGGATACGAAAACATATGTATGTCAAACACTGCTCATTGCAGAACATAATCCCAAAGGAGATCGAAATACCTTGAGTTAGACAATCATACGTACAGTTGGGCAAAGGGCAGCCTGAGGTACCAGGGAGAAAACTGGAGACGGATCTGCTCTCTTCGCCTCGAGGCACACTGCGCTCAGCACGCCCATACGCGTGTCGTACCTATCTTTCCACCGTCAATATATCGCTATGCAGAGGACATGAGGAGCTGTCGACACGTCGAACGACCGCAAGAACGGACCCCGGTCGAAATAACATTCGAACTCAGGTGGCGAGACGGAAGCAGATGAGATGAGCAGAGAAGGAAAAACGGTCGTGGAAAAGCAGAGAATGGAAATCATGGGCCGGACCTTCCGAACTCGGCTACTGACGCCAGCGGGACCTCGTGGTCGCACGATGACATATACGACCAACACGCGCCCACAAAACGATGTTTATACCGTTTTCGCATATTGCTGTCCTCAAGATCGCCGCTGACGAGTCAACTGTCGAATTGGCAGCCATGGCTACGGGAATGGAACAGTGAGTCCAATACGGATGAAGCGGACCTGAGGGCCTGAGGCGAGAGGTTGCCGCACGCTCCCGCGACAGATATTGGGATGACTGCTGTGGATGAGTGGCTGGAAGAGGAAGGTTGAAGAGACAAAGTTTGTGGGTCCGCGTCCGCCCTAGCATTGGGTTCGATCATCGTCGCCTGCCAAAATATTCCCCGGCTGCCTGCATGCACGACGAATATCGAATCGTTCAATCCTAATCGGTATTCAGTGATGTTGGGACAGCCGTATGTCGCCACACTGACACCTATATCCACAGTCCTGAGGTTACATCTCAAAGTCGTACCTGCACACTGTTCAGATACCGGAAACCGAGGAGAAGACGGGACGTCGCAGTTCAAAATAGGCAATAAACGAGGCGCCTCGTACATAACGGCGTCAACCCCGGTAATAACTACATACACTACACAGCAAAACCGCCAGTCGGAAGAGTGTGGCGATCAGATAACCGCATCCGTCGAACAAAATCGCCTCGAGTAGAACCGTAGAGCCGGTCAGCCATCCCGCCAGTCCATTCTTCCCTTATCCTGACCTCGAGGCGGGCCTTGCATCACTGAGAGTCGGTTAGCACAATCGGGTGGCGGATGTACGTACGCCGGACTACACGTTCCTCGATACTTTGTCGAAATCACGATGGTTGATGTGACTTCGTACATACTCCCTCTTTGCCCCTTCCTCTGCCCGAGGCGAAACCTCTGGAACTGTCAATATCTGCTGCTTATCGTTACGTCGACGTCAGTGCGAGAAAATTTCTGGATGGATGGGCTCGGATATTAAACATCGAAGTTGTCGGAACTCGCAACTGTACGTTTTATCGCTTTGATCGTAGAGGTAAGAGCGGGAACAGTGCGTAGACGCTGCGAATGCGAGCGGACCAGTATCAGCGCTAGATCCGTAGCGTACGTTCGCATGTGATGATGTTCGCATCACGAGTCCGAATCCAATCCGCGCTGTACGTCCTCGCAAAAATAGAGCTCCGTGGATCAAGACATACGTGTGTTCGGATGGAGTTTATGTTCGTCAGGTATGGATGGATGGTGTTGGGAGGGCTCGGAAAGTCGGGACGAAGGCACTAGCAAGTGAGGCTCGATTACATACCCCAGCGCGCAGCCGGGTCTAACCCACAAGAAAAAAATAACAGTGAGACCTCGCCGTCATTGCGACGATCGCAAGAGAAAAGACCGTCGCGACAGGTCTCAGAGGAGTCCGAGTCAGCGCAAACGAACAAGAGCAACACAAAGCTGAAACGTTACCCCTTCAATCGACAGAAGACTGGTGTGCTGGGCCCACAAGGCTACGGGGGCACCGCCACACGTTCCGCTGTTGGCCCAGACGATCAAAAGTCAAAAACCGATCTTGGGCTCACTTCCTTCCAAACATAGACAGGTTTCCGATTGTTCGCCTGTTCCAGCAGCTGGTAGGATGGGCGACGTCGTCGGAAGCAAAAAACGAACACGGCGTACGGTTGCCACAACGAGTGCGCCAGGGCCCACCTCGGACGATCTGCCGGAAGCTCTCTTCCACAAACGGAGGCACAGTGCGTCTTTGCTTTTCTCACCTCCCACGATCGTCACTCGTCCAGCCCAGTCAATTTGCTGTATGAGTGTGACGGTAGCCCCAAACATCACACAAAACCATGGCAAAGTCGGCATCTCAATAACTCGCGATCGCGGTGCCACAGGAGTTGCAGATAGGAACGAACGCGCTCTGACTCTGACGAGAGCTCTGAGGAATTTTTGGATTGTAATACATACGGATGCGGAAATATGAGTTGTGGCTTGTGAGACGTGTGGGATAGAGAAGGTGTATCCCGGGTCCGGTCATGGATCTGGGCATGGAAAAAGGCTCTTGAGGTCGAGTTCGATGGGGCCACAGAAGCATTGGCATCGTTCGAGTGACAAGGTCGGCGCGTTTGTCAAATCTCCGGTCTCAGAATCCTTTTGATCGACATTTGTGGAGGTACGAGTACCCTACTGCGGTACGAGCTACGTCTGTCGCACATGAACTGTAGAACAGAACGGTGTCGGTACAGTACTGTATATACATTGCGTATGTATGTAGGCTACAGGAAGTGAGAGGGAATGAGGGGAGATAACACGACCATAGGGCCATCTCACGGGAATCTTCGCCCGGACGGCCGACGGTCATGGCACGCACTCACTCCCGATATTTTCTCAAGGCCGTGCAAGACAATAACAAGAGAGCAGACGCGTCTCGTGTCTCATCTCTCGCCATCTCGCATCGGTCCCTGTTGTGATCTGTTTGTCCATCGAATGGAGAAGCGCGGGGGCGGTTCCAAGCGCAAAGTTGGGCTTGCTGTGCGGCGTTATGTAACGCGAGAGAGGGCAGCAGGACCCCGACCCGAGATCTCGGGGCACGCTAAACTGCTACTGTAACCGCAGATTATGTATCAGCCACCGTACATCCATCTATTCCTACGCGCGCGAATCAGAGATCTCTCGCTCTTTACGATTTCTCTCCTGGACAGTGTTCCATATTCGAAATTCCCATTCGCACATATGTGCTCCATTCTCAGTCAGTTCCGTGTTCATTTTCGGTTTGCGTGACTGCTGGGCAGGCATTGGCATTGGCCGGCGCCGGGATGCAGGGCAATATGGGCAATTGGGAATTATAGGCATGGGTGCCAGCCAGGACACGGTTTCGGTTTCGGTACGGAATAACGGACGGGTTGGGCGTGCCAGGTGGGCGATACGTACATTTCAGAAGAAGGCGACTCACGGTTCAGCTGAGCGCGAAGCTCAAGGCGTATCCTATAAAGACGATCAACCGGCCTTCACGCTCTTATTGTTTTCGCCCGCTCGCACCCTTAGCGCAACGCAATTGTGTTTTGCACGTCCTCCCCTGCGCTCGTACTTCCTCCCGGGTCCGACCTGCCTGCTCGCTGAACCTAACGCTAACGCACCGCTCCACCTAACGAATCCAATCCACGCTACAGCCCGCAATCGATCGCTCGAGACGCAGCGAACCCGCCAACGACCGAAAGACAAAAGAACGAGCGAAGCCACGCCCAGTCTCCTTTCTCCCGAGCAACAACCAACCCCCACCTTTGGCCTCCCTCCTGCGCGCGCCACTCCCTCCCGCAGGCAGTAATCAACCACGCCCTCCGCCCTTTTCTCACCGCTTTCGTCGTCGGCAGCGTCATCGCCTCTCTCTGTACGAGTTGGCTCAAATTCTGCATCACAAGCGAGCGCTCACCTCTTCGCTTGTTTTCTTCTCTTCCTCTCGATCATAGCTCTCGTACTTTGACGAGTGAGATCTCTTCGCATCTACTGCATCATCATCGCCATCGTCGACAGTAGAGCATCATGCCTGCATACCGCACTCGCGATACACACCACTCACGATGTACGTCCCCCTCATTCATTCCATTCTGGGACCACAAAGAAAGATCGACTGATGGGACTCACTATCTGACACACCATTCCTCCCATCCATCCCTCTCCACCCATTCTCCTTGCCCTCCCTCCCATCCACACCCTCACCCTCCACATCCCACAGCACTCGAAGTGACCGTCGACGACACCCCCACCCTCCCCCCTTCATCCCACCCGCACCTAACCCTCCTCCACCCGACGCCGCGCGCCCCCACGATCCCTCACGCCCACCAACGCACGCACACTCCTTCATCCTCCTCCCAGTCCAACTCACCCTTCGAGCCGGAACCCTCACATTCTCGACGGACGACGACGCTCCTTACTTCTTCCCCCTCCCCAGCTTACCTATTACGAAAGAAGCCCGTCACGCCCTCGACGTTCTTCGCTTCCCCCTCGCAGCCCCATCCATCCTCCACACCCTCCACGCCCACTCCCAAGCCCCGTTCATCCACGCCCGCGCCCACCTCCACTTCCACGTCCGCTTCGACCTCTAAAGCGGACAAGGCCGACAAAGCAGAGGGAGAGGAGAAGTCAGCCTCCGCGCCCAAGTACCACCGCCGTCGTCGCTCCAACACAAACGACGCGAACGAGCGCAGGCCGAAGAAGGGCGATGAGGATTATGTGAAGAGGCCGGAGAACGCGTTCATACTATTCCGGAGGAAATGCTGCGAGGATAGGAATTCTGCGCTGGCCGCAGCTCCGACTTCCTCTTCCACCGCCACCTCCACCTCTACTTCCACGACCACCACGTCTACCTCTATGTCGATCGACTCCAATGCGACGTCGCCCGCTTCCGCGTCGGCTCAGGAGATGGCCGATGATTCCTTCGATCCTATGGATGACGGGGAAGAAGACGAGGATATGGATGAGGTGGTAGAGGACAAGGGCAAGAAGGGCAAGGGCGGAGCAGGGGGGAAGAAGGCGCCGGCGCCACCCACAACGAAGAAACAACGCCAAGCGGACCTCTCGAAGACGATCAGCCAGCAGTGGAAGAACCTGTCGGCAGAGGAACGTCAGTACTGGGAGGACCTCGCGAAGGAGAAGAAGAAGGAGCACGAGGCGCTCTATCCGCATTATGTGTATCGGCCGCAGAGGGTGAAGGGGAAGAAGAACGTGATGAAGGCGAAGGGCAAGGCGGTCGCGCTCACTGCGACCACTACCACTCCCATTTCGACCTCCACTTCCGATGCTACACCTGAGTCGACGACAACTGCGAACGCGAATGGGAAGGCGAAGGGAGGTGAGGGCGAGGACGAACCGAGTCTCTCGTTCACACTTCCCGTGTCCATACCAGCCCACTCACCCCTCTCGCTCACCTTCCCCAACACCACCGCCCCTGCCACCAACGCCCCGTCACGCACCAACAACGGCCGTCGCGCCTCCTCAGTCCCGACGCCTCCCCCGCCCTTCTACCACCAAACGATCCAAATCCCGACGCTCATGATGCCCACCTCCACGCCGACTTCGCCCTCAGGTGTCGGTCTTGGTGGGTTCTCGGGTTCGAGTGGCAAGAGGGCGTGGGGGCAACAGCAGCAGGAGGAGTACGATAGCTATACGCAGGGGGTACAGGGGAGCGTTGGGTATGAGGGGCAGCAGCAGGGGTACCAGGGCTGGGAAATGAACGTACGTCTGCTCTCTATCGTCCTTCGTCTTCGTTGTCTCTATCGTCCATCGTCTTCGCCATCGTCGTGCTCGCGCATCCAATCCCACCCCTATCTCCGACATTCCCACGCTCCGTTCCCACCACAAGACAATAACGAAAAACCTAAACGCTAACGCACTCTCCCCTTCCCTTTCCCTTCTGCGGCGTTTAACGTTTAGGACCATACCGTCTACTACGGCCAAGGTATAATCCCGCCCCATCACGCACCCTTCCTCCCCTCTCCCACCTCCGACAAATTCAGCCCCACATCCATCATCCCGCCGCACCACGCTGCCTTCTACCCCGCCGCCCAACAACAACAATTCTCGCCGGTATCGTATTCTTCGCAGCAGTCCCACGGGACTAGTTCGGGGCCTCCGTCGCCGTACGAGACACATACCCCAACGACGGTACATTCGCAGGGGCAGGGACAGTTGGAGATGGTGCAGATACCCGCGGACGCATGGCAGCAGCACGAATCGATCTCCATGAATCCGTCCACCACCACCACTTCCTATCCCAACGGCACGGCCTTCCCTTCGTACGACGCCACCGCCACCAACGCCCAATACCCGATGGCAGGGCAAGGCGGAGACGTGAACTACGGATGGAACGAGGGATGGATGGCGGGCTGTAACGATATCGGCTACGGTCTCAACACCGGGTTCGATGGTGGATTCGGGACCAACATGGGGATGGGGGTATATGGGAACAATGGGGCGGGTGCGATGGGGATGCAGATGGAGCCGCTGTTCAATGAGGACTTTGATATCTCGACTATCCCGCCTATCGCGCTCGGGATGCCGAAGGACCTTCCGGCTCCACAGGTCGAGGAGCAAACGCAGTCGCCACATCATGAGCAACAGCAGGGGGGATGGTCGGAGCAAGGGTTCGTGGGTGGCGAGAAGTACGGCATGAGAGATGGAGCGGTGGAGGTGATGGAGATGGAGATGCAGGAAGCTGAGGATCCGTTCTTGAGTTCGATGAGTATGGGTGCGAGTTCGATGTCGTGGGATGGGTTGGGTATGGAGGGGTACTGAAATCAAGATGGAGGGGATTCAGTATCGGGATAACGACACGAACGAACACGCAACGCACATCAATATAGACTCATCACACATTCCGAACAAGACAAACGCACGGGTCTGCGTCTCCACTTCTCCACATCCCTATGCCTCTCAACTTCGCTGTATCAAATCCTTCTCAGTCTCGCTCTCGCCTGGTTCAATTCGCCCACTGTATCAAACTCACCCTTTCTGCTTCATCTTCATCTTCTCATGTCTTCCTCTTTCGGCCTCGTATTCTTCTTCTCGTCTCGTCCTCACAGCTGTATCCCTTCAACCTCTTCCTGGCGAACCCCTCTTCTTTCTCCTCCTCCTTCTTCTCTTCTTATCCTTCGCGTTCCTTCCTTCTGTACCACCTTCAATTTCTTCTTCATCTCCTTCAATTGCCTGTTCAACATTCAACAACCCCCCACTGTATTTGTTAGCCCCCAACCCGCGCAGAGCGCGATTCACGACCCACCCGCGAACACTTTGATCCATTGACCTCACGTACCTTCATATCCAGACATGCCGAACCGAATCACCCCTTGGGATACCCCTGTGACGACCTCTTCTTTCTCACTCATGACCTTTTCCCTTTTTCCCCCTTCCGTTCCGTTGCGTTCAACTTCACATACCACCCGTCCTGCGGAACCCCCTTTCATCCCTCTTCTTGTAGATATAATTCGAATTTTGAACTGAACTTACCACCCCCAATGAATCGCTCGCCGCGTCGTTTGTTGATTCTTGATTCTTGATTCTTGATTCTTGATTCTTGATCCGTTGCTTTATTCTTCTAGTTAAAGAATCGATTGTTAGTTTTGTGTTTTTCGTGCGTTTTTGGGAATGGGAATTTGTTGATACTTGTTACGAAACGAAACAAATGCATACGTACGCACATTCTTGTCGAGCAAGAGTCTGAATGATATCTTTTTGATGAAAGGATCGGGTGTGCGTTGTGTGTGCATCTGGGGCGAGGGGTGGGGGGTGGGTGTTCGTGCGTGTTGGGTAAGGCATGTCGTAGATGTTGTGTGTGGTGTTCAGGAATAAGGAGCAGAAAGGAGAGGGAGAGGCAAGCACAAGCCTGCGACGTTCACTTATGGCTTGTCCTGAACAATAAAACCCATACACTCATAAGAAAAGCGAACAAGGATACAAACAAAGGGGAGTGTAATAAAAATAGCCTCAAGCTTGTCGGGATGAAAAGAATTGGGATAACAACAAGCAACGACGACTTACCAGACAAAAGTGAAGATCCTGTTCCTCCTTTCTCCTCGCACCTTCGTTCGCCGTTCGAGGAAAGACAAGAGACATGGGTATGGGCGAAGGGCTATAAGGGCGTGGGTGTGCGTGTGTATAAGATGTGTGCTTGTGTAGGCTTGTTGACGGTTGCTGCATGTTGTGTTCGTCGTCCTCGTCGTGTTCAACGTTCGTCAGCAGTGAGGATGTTGGGTGGCGTCAACGCCACGTGGCGAGCGTGGGTGCCACATTCCCTCTGGCGCTCGCTTTGAACTTGAACTGCTTCAACCGTGACGACGACACCGAGGAGAGTTGCTCTGCGTTTGTACAAATTGTACTTTTTCCTGTCTTTATCTCTGTATAATCTGGACTTGTTTGGGTTTCTCTGCGTTCGAACCTGGATATCGAGTGGAACAGACGAGCAAACACCTCCCACGGTAAGTCTTCCTCTCGGAGTCGACTTGCATTGGATATGGATGAAGGAGTATTTGTCTCTTGCGGGAATTCTCGAATGTCCCCCCTGTTGACTGCCCAAGAGCACTACAGTGTATCTGAGAACTTGGCTCTAGAGTACGCTGATTCCGAGCACCATGCACACGGCGGTTCAGTGATCGCTCTCAGCTCTGTCTTATTACGATTCACAATAACATTGGAATTCATCATAGTCCAAGCAGTCTGCATGTTTGCCTCTACCACCCACCCATTTTCTTCCATTCCATTTCGCTGACGACGCGAAATAATACCGTTTACGCAGATTTGGTTCCTACACAGCCGCCTCACATTATCGCCGCGTCCGTACCGAGACCACGCAATCTCTTACGAACTTACGAAGTACAAAGTCGGGCCTGATAGACAGGCATATCTGGAGTATACCAATACATTGACGCCGGAGTCATAGAACTATACCACGAACGGAGGACCCGGATGGACGTCGACATGGTTCAGATTCAGTCGAAGTCGCAACCATTACTCCCGTAAGTCCATTCCCATTCCTCTCTTTTCTGTTCTCTTGAACGCTCCTCATATATAGCCTCCGTTACAGCGACAAGTCAATGTCGTCTACGTCACAAACAACACCTCACGCTCCTCCTACCTCCGATCTCTCGAACGCCCCACCTTCTTCGCAGTACGAACTCAACTCTCCAATCTGGACTCGGCTCCCCGTCGAACTCGTTTTCGCTACGCTCCTGGACCTCGCGCTTTCTCTACCCGTCACTGAACCCCTCCCCCCTATTCCTACCAGGTCCAGCCCGCCATCACCGTCTCTCGACGGACCAAGTTCACCTACCAATGACGAAATGCTTCCGAAAGCCACTACCGAACATCACGAACGACACGAACACGAACAACCAGACCCCCATCACATCCCAATAACCTCCCGCAAAGACCTCCTCCTCCTCTCCTCCTCCGTCCGGCGCCTCGTCTCACCCACGATCTACACCTCCCTCATCCTCCGCGCGCACGCCCAAGTCCTTGGCTTTGGGGCGCTCTTCCTTCCGAAGAGGCCTGTGTTCGGGCAGTTGGATCCTGTTATTATTAGCGTTCCGTGGATCAGGAATCACGCTCTCCCTGGCCCCTCCTCCCTGAACCCTAACTTCGACACTAAGCAGACCCAGAAACCAATCCAGAAACCTAAACCCCTCTCCCTAGCCCTCCCTCTCCCGCCCTCGCTCCCCTCCCTCGAATCCACGCTCGAATCTCTCGCCTCCCATGGTACCTTCTCCGCCCTGCAAAACCTCGCTCTCACGCCCGCAGTACACGCCGCGCATGGGTATTGGATGCGGAGATGGGTGAGGCCGAGGGCGGTGATGATTTTTCAGGTTGCGGGGGGATGTGGCGCTGGCGCTGGGGGCGGCGCTTTCGGTGCGTTAACTAGTGCTGGTGGAGGGGGTGGTGGGGCAGGGGATGGTGGGGGTGTAGGAGGGAGGAGAACGTATGGCGGACGGACCGAGATCAACTGGCGCGATCGTACCTTTTCCAATGTTGAAGACCTCTACACATGCACCCTCCGCGCCTTCGGAACCAGCTCCATCGCAGACCTCATCATTCCTTCCATCCCCAGTTCCAGCTCTAACCCTATCACCGTCGTCCTTCCGAACAGCGTCAGTGGTCATGGCGAGGGAAAGTTGAAGAGAATAGCCCTCTGGTGCGAGGAACGTAGGCTTAATTACACACTCGATCAAATCGAAAGCACATTTTTCGAATCGAAGGAAGAAGACCCGTTCAATCCATTCAATCCTCCTCGTGATAGCGACCGCCCGCCAGCCATCCAATTCCTCGACATGATAGTCCTACACGTGCGGCCTCATTCGCCAGACGTAGATAAGGCGGGATTGGAGCGAGGAGAGGGGATTGGATGGATGGGTGTTTTTGAGGAGAGGGTAAAGGATGTGAGTGGGCGGAGAAACGTCGATTTTTTGAGGGAGGAGAAGTTTTTTGTTGTTCCGGATATGGCGCCAGTGAGGTATAAGACTGGGAGGATGGAGTGGAAGTCGGTTGTTGATGGCGGGTTTGGTCTTGGTCCTCATCAACGCTCTTCCACTTCGAACTCGGATACCTGTGACGGTACTGGCGGTGGTGGTGGCGAAGGCGAGCCCCTAGGGACAGGCGACGTATGGGCTCGAGCGAAGGAATGGCGGATGTTAGCAGGCGAGGGTTATGAGGCTATCGTACCTCCTCAGGGACGAGAACGAGGTGGTGTATCTCCGTTTAGATATGATTTCGGGTTCTCGTTCGTCGTTGGGCCCGGCGGCGCTCTTCTCCCTTCCGCCACCAGCACCAGCACCAGCACCATCCCCCCTCCCCCTCCCACTGCCACGGCCTCCTCCTCTATCCCAACCGCCGCCACCACCGCCACCCCCTCAACCCCCACGCAATCCCGCCTCCTCAAAATGCTACACATCTGGAACGCCACGGAGGAGCAATATCGCACAGCGAGCATGGAAGGCTGGTTCAGAGGCGGAGAGTGGGATGTCGAGTTGGGTGCGGAGGGGATGGAAGGAGGTGGGGCGGGGGGATGGGCAGCGATGAGTGGGGGAATGGGGGGTGGGGTGGGTTGGAGGACTGATACTCGTGAGTTCTTTTGTTTTGTTTTAGGGAGGTGGCGGTGGCGAGGTTTGTTTGTTCAGACGATGCAAATGACTGACGCTTTTCGGTTTTCTTTTGTAGCTTGGCCCGGGCCTTGAATCCATTCATAACTATACGCTTGTTCCACCGCCGATGCTCCGGCTTCTACCCCTCGAGGAAACCTCCACTTCTCCTGCAATGAATCGTCCACCGGCAGCCACGACACACGTCCTTCGACCCAGTCTCGATGCGACGTTTAGTGTATGTTGTATCTGTCTTGCTTTGTTTTATCTCCCAAACCTGTTGTTGTTCTTCTGTTTGTTTTTCTATCAACGAATAAGGGGGTGCATGTACTCTAACGCGATGCTGATCGAATGTACGAGAATTGAAGCTATCGCTTCGTTGGGCTACGGAAGAGTGGCGTGACGTCTTCAAACTGTGGCACCGATATGGGATGCTGCTGTGAGTCATTTCGACGCGCTTGTCTTGATCGAATGCTTCGACGTACACAGTGCCGTCACCCATTCAGTGCTTGGCCCTCATATGAGTTCCTTCGGTACGTCCACTCCACTCCACGAAGACTGGTCCATGATCCATGGCGATTCCGAGTCTCGCGTCTCGTGTCTCACGTCCATCGAATTTCTTGCCCCTATAGAACCAGGCGAACGAGCACATTCTAGTCCACATGCATACATCTCGTCCATTCATCCTCTGAGTCTTTGACGGCATCTGAACACTTCTCCTTTTCATATAATATCATTATGGGAGAACTTGACCATCGATAACGCCCTCGTACACGTACACTTCCTCTCTCGCGTACATATACTGTGGACTGAGGATAGTGAGTACGTCGCTCGAACTTCCTCTTTCGTGCTCATGAAGTTTTTCATCTCATTTTCCCCCTGTTTGATATAGTTCTTTGGATTACCCTTTCCCTTCCCTTCCGAACGTCCAAAATTCAAACCGTAACTCAACCACACTTGCGCCTCACCTTCTCCCGACTTCGATAAACGTATCTACCCTCCGAAACCAGTCGTTTGCATCCGTATCCGCCTCTTCCTTCGACGTCTAGACAGTCATTACCGCTCACATAACCCTATTTCCTTTTCTTCGGTTTCTTCTCTTTCCTTTTTCTCAACGCATACACCGACAGTCGCTCGGCGACATTCACACCATCCAAAACCGTGCTTCGCGCCGATTCTCCCAGCTCTCACTGACTCGGAGGCCCACATGCATGCGTACACACGGTCTTTTCATGTATACATCCCATATCATATTCATATCATCATATCCGAGTCTGAAGGTTCAATCACCACCCGACCGCTTTGACGACACGAGATGATGATATCCCCACGTTCATTTTCAAGCTTCGCGTTCATTTCAGCCTGTGGTTATGTACAGTTATGTACCCGCCTCCCACTTTTACGTTGTCGGCGCAAATGGCGATGAAAAGAAGGAGTGAAGGAACGAAGAAGGAGTATGATATGGCACGGGGCGCAAGAACAGCGCTGCTTTTGGAAGGTTCGTGTCAATACTGTAAATTTGTCTTTTACCACCGGGAAGCCTAAACACAATTTCCTTCCCTCAGAGTACATGGAAGGGTTCTCGGGGACCCGTGCTGTGTGAAGATACATGCTGGTATGTAAGCTACTTATGCCCGCTTTGAATGCTCTTTCGACTGGAAGAAACGCACGAGTCGGCGGGGTCTCAGGCTCATTTCGTCTTCATCCTGGCGTTGGGGTATGTGGGCCCGGCGGCTCGTTGGTGGTCTGATATTGACTTACACATATAGGTACAGGGTATGTATTGATACCTTCCAGTGTGGAAGTGAACTCGCCCCGAAATACCGAGGTTTTTCTGCGCCTTCATTCCGTCCACGCTCGAGGAGCGCAATCTGCACCCGAGCATCTCCCCGTTCTTTGCTTTGATCCACGGAGGACGCTATGTATTCGAACTCATGATGATCGTATCATCCCGAACATCATCACATGCGAACGTATGTACTCGTACATACTACGGATCTCAATCCGCTAATACTGATCCGCTCAAACCTGCAGCATCTCCCGCCGCCACGATCAAAGCGATAAAACGTACACGAACACGGTCCGACGACGTTGACGTTTAATATTCGGCTCTTCACAGAAATTTTCTAGTGACGTCGATGATAGCAGCAGGTTCATCTTGGACGGAGGCAAAGCAGTAAGTACGTACGAAATTCCGTGATGCCAACAAATTGTTGAGATATTAGCGAGAGTGTGTGCACACTCCGCCATGGCCACCCGACCGTGCAACGCGCTTCAGCGATGACTTCACTGGCACGGGCGCAAGGTCCGCCTCGAGGGGGAGATAAGGGAAGTATGGAATGGCGGGATGGCTGACCGGTCCTGTGGTTCTGCTCGAGGCTATTTTGTTCGACGGATGCGGTTACAGCGTCTGATCGCCACACTCCTCCGACTGGGTTTTTGTTGTGGATTACCGAGGTTGATGCTGTTATGTACGTCCGTTTACTGGTTACTTTGTACTTATGTCCCGTCTTCTCCTAGGTTTCCGACATCTATACAGGTACACCATTGAGCTGTAGAGTCGGACCTACAATTATCAGTATCGGTGTGGCGATACGGTCAGAATAGCACGGTCCGATATTCGTGCATGCAGGCAGCCCGGCGAGTATCCTGACAGGCGACGTCGATGATCGAACCCAGCGCTATGGACCCACAAACTTCGTCTCTTCAACCTTCCTCATTCAGCTATTCATCCACAGCTCTGTCGCGTGAGTCGTACCTCAGGTTCACCCGTACCGGACATACTGTTCCATTCCCGTAGCCATGGCTGCCAATTCGGACGCTGATTCTTCGACGGCGATCTCAACTTGCAGGACAGCTTCGATATGCGAAAACGGTATAAACATCGTTTTGTGGGCGCGTGTTGGTCGTAAGATTGGAGTCGCGCAAAAACATCAGCATCACGTGAAATGTGACGATTGTGTGACTTTAGCTTATCCGTTTGTCACAGCGAAGAAATACAAGAGCCATCGTGCACTCCCTTCAAACATGAAAGCCATCTTGGACGAGTTCGAGGAGACGGCGAGAAACCGCGAGGAGAGGGAGCGAAAGCGGAGGCGGAAGTATTGAATGGACACTTTTAAATATATATTCTTCGGCTTTTGGTACACTCTAGAATGTTACACCCCATATTCCTGGTCCCTAATGGGAGCAGGTCTTGCGTTCACTTGAATAACCACATCAGGACAACACTCTCACGCTTTCCATGGCCCAGCCCCCCACGCGGGCCTACCCACGCGAGCAAAAGACCTATCGACGTCTTCACCCTCCTCCTACCCCATTTGGACAATCTCAGCCACCCACGGGATCCCACCCACGCGAGCAAAAGACCTATCGACGTCTTCACCCCTCCTACCCCATTTGGAAGCTATCAAGTCCCGCGCGAGCGCGAACGCTGCGAACTCTTCCCGCAACACTTGATTCTTATGTTTTCGTGTGCATTCATTATTTTCCCAATTTTATTCTCCTTCGTGATCTTTCAATCCAATTGCATGGTCTATTTTCGTCCCTGCTTTGACATAGCGCGACCTTACAACCTGGCCGATATGAACTACAACATGATAACTTGAACACTTTGATCTAAGGACCGAAACAGAATATGATTATGACAGTGGCGCTGACGACTGGGAGGATGACGGTTGGTTGGTCCGTGAATCTGAATCAGACGAGGCAGACGAGTACTAGTGGCGGCTTACATGCCAATGGGGATGAGGACGGCTGCTGGAATTGCTTAAACGGTTGGTTGTTGCAAGATCGCGCTATTAATGCTGTGGTTTTATTATTTTATATTTAATGTGATGATGTGTTGTGTCTTTTGTGTTCTATGAATCCACTCATGAGACACTTAACTGGATCTACGTCGTACCTCGTACATGACACCTGGCCTAAGAATCGCGACCGTGACGCTTGTTGCGTTGGTTTTCACTTAATATTATAGATGCAACGTGATCATTATGTCACGCTCCAACCAATAGGGACCAGGTGGCGCCCGGAGGGCAAGTGTATTAGACAAACGTAGCATGGTAATAGGCCACTTTCGTCTGACAGTGACAGTCTTTCGAGAGCGACTTGGAGATTCCACATTTGGAGCAAAAAAACGTGGCCACGAAGGCTGCAAGTTTACCGTCAGCACCGATGCGGTACGCTTCTGCAAACCTGAACGAGCGAGCGACGAATCTGGAGCATGGGAAAAGAAGTGTCAGGGGCACGCGGTGGCAGTGACTATCAAAGCGTCGAGAAACGCACTTGCGAATCATGACGAGATCGCTTGCGACCTCGTTCAAAGCGCTCTTCACATACCCCTCGAACTCATGCTCCTTCGTCGTCTTGGGCATCTCTCTATACCTCCTCTTTGCAGCCCCCCAACACTGCTCAATCGGATTCAACTCACAGTGAAACTTCGGCAAGAAGATCACCTGGAATCCACGCTTCTTGCAGTGTAACTCGAGCTGCGTCTCAACTCCAACGAAGTCGGGCTCTTCGTAAAGGATCCGGCGACAGCAACATAGTCGACGTGACTTGTCCAGAGACGGTGCACACTTGAAGTTCTTGCATTCGGCTCGCAGGTTGGCGGCATTGTCGAAACCACGCTCGATGAGGATAGCGGCCATTCCCTTGAACTGGCCTGGGTGAGTGGGATGATCGTCGGGGAAATAGAGGGACTGAGGTACGCCGTTATGAATTGCTCCGGTATACTGTACATCCCTAATTTTCCTGAGTTTTCCGTGCTCATCGTAGAGACGCTTGCCGTGCGAGTCGAAGACGTTTCGCTCTGCAAAGTATGTAGCGCTCGGACCCTTTGGCATACGACGAGCGGATAGGGCGCCATCCGGACGCTTAACGTGAGACGGTGCGTTATCGTAGGCGAAGACATGTTTCACGTTGGGCCAGTGCTTGCTGCAAATATCCATTGCAGTTGTTGCGTGGTCGCAGATATCCTCGCAGGTGATGTAACCGTCCTTGTTCTTTCCCGCACGGACGAAAACCTGGGCTGAATCTACTCCATCTGGCGAACGCAGGAATCCGAAATCTGCAGATACGAAATCCGCAACCATAAGAGATGTGCCTTCGGTCTTTGGCTTTGGCTCTGCTGTCTCGCTCTTGTGGACCCATCGCACGATTCTACGATCGTTCATATAGAACGTACTCTCGTCCTGCCACCAAATCACTACCCATACAGCCTCAGGCCCTCCCCGTGCCTCTTGGAGTGAGTCGTCCCAGAATCTGATGTTTCGAGAGAGTTCGGCCAGTGTGGGCAGGTATTTCTCTTGACGGTAAGCAACAACGTCCTCTCGTTCGTGTCCATCGACATATTGACCATCCGGGCGTTTCGTCCAGCGATAGTCCATGAGATGCATCCAGCGTTGGGCAGTCGTGAGAGAGATTGTGTGTGTCAGGTTATATCTCGCCTTGACATCCGGTGTGGCGAGATAGTCGCATATGTCCTGGGCACGGACATATTTGCCGATTGATTGAAGGTGAGCAAAGATCTCTTGAGCGAGCTCGCCCTCGTCGAGTAAACTCGTGCTCCAGGTGCCGTAAAGATTGAAGGGAAGGTTATCGCGGTCCTCGATGAATGCTCGGGTCCATTCACGGATTCTTCTAGCGGTCCACGGGCCTCTAGCGAAGTGAACAGCAGTATCGAGTGAAGCGGCCGTCCATGGTCGATGCAGTCTCTGGTTGGTAGACGTGAAGGTACGTAGGTGCATTTGTATCATCATCAGCCGTCGTCGCAAAACCTCATCGCCAGGGAACGGGAAAGGTTTATAGCCCTTTCCGCTCACTCGACGTGGGCTCAGAATCGTGGTGACGTCCATCAGTGCCTGAAGAGCGACCTCGCCAGACGGCGTCCAGCAGTACGGTGTCGGAGTGATCTGAGGTTCGAAGGGAAGATTGTCGGGAATGAAAGGCTGCCCGGGGACATATTGCGAGAGTACGATAGGTGGCTGAATGGACGTCGAAAGACCAGCAGAGGTCGATATTTCAGGGAATGACAGAGGTGAACCCTGAACTATGGGTATGTGCTCCTCTCTCCAGTCTTCACCTTCAGTCCAGTGTTCCTCGCAAATATCCTCGGGCCTGTCGTTCCTGAACACTACCTCTTCCTCTGTACCACAGCTGCCAGAGTCCTCGCTGTACAGGAAGAAGCCCTGGCCATTGTACACACCTCTGTCCCGTGCTGCGTTCTCTCTCTGCTTGACCATATCCTCATCCTCAACCTCCTCGACCCCTTGCCCGCCAAATACTCCGGAAATATTACTCCGGCGAGAGGCCATAGGATCCATGGATGACTGACCAGTCAGGACTTCGTCTGAGCATCCTTGCTCGGACGATGACGTGGACACGTTTGAATAAGTTTCTTCCATAGATGCATAGCTAGCCGAAGGAAAAGGATTGGTTCCTGCCTCAGGAGGTACTATCGATGGAAATTCTGAATAGGAATCAAGGTGGGTACGCCCAGGGCGAGAAGAGCTCTTGAATGGAGTTAGGCGACGTAGCATGCTCGTTAACGATAATGAGCTTTTGTTCTCGGGTGTGTGAGGGCCATCTGATCCACGGTGGTTTAACAGTCTTTCTTCTTCATCTCCAAGTGCTAGTACATCTGTTTCGGTATCGGTAATTGTGTCCTAGTCCTTGTAAGCTACATGATGTTGGAGTTGGATTCTGGTGGCACCCACCTCGCTCAACGATGATTTACGCTTCATCGGCAGACGAAGCTTCTTCTTCGCAGCTGATCCCAGGTTCTGCCAGCGTCGTTTCAGGTATCTCTTTCGGTCGGGCATTGCAGATACAGTGAATTGTTTTTATTCAGAGTGAAGCGGGAGGAGACCTCGTCGCCACCGTTGTTTATTACGTCTTATTTATCGTTATTTACTCCAATATTTATTTCGTGTGCCTAGGTTTTCTTCGAGGATGTGAAGACAACGAGCTCGCAAGTGAAAATTTGGCGACCATCAAAATCTCAGGATGTGGTATGCCTACAACTTGATGGTTCTCGATTGGCAAAGAAGCATTTAGTTGGAGTGGTATCTTGCGATGTAACGCCTTGTAACGCTTTACTTTCCGAACAGGGCAGTCGAGAACAGTGCCACATCACGTGATGCTGATGTTTTTGCACGACTTCAATCTTATATGTCCTCGCGTGACCACGAGGCTACGCTGGCGTCAGTAGCCGAGTTCGGAAGGTCCGGCCCATGATTTCCATTCTCTGCTTTTCCACGACGCTTTTTCCTTCTTCTGCTCATCTCATTCTGTTTCCGTGTCGCCACCTGAGTTCGAATATTATTTCCACCGGGGTCCCGTTCTTGTGCTGTCGACGGTTCAACCTCATGTCCTCCGCATAGCGATATATTGACGGAGGCAAGACAGGTACGACACGCGTGAGCGCAGTGCGCCTCGAGGCGAGTAGAGCAGATCCGTCTCCAGTTTTTCTCCCTGGTACCTCAGGCTGCCCTTTGCCCAACTGTACGTATGATTGTCTAACTCAAGGTATTTCGATCCCCTTTGGGATTATGTGCTGCAATGAGCAGTGTTTGACATACATATGTTTTCGTATCCAGGAGCAAACACTTGCAGGCTTCGCGAGGCTATGCATGCATGACGCACATCATCGCGTCCACTATTCCGAGGATCTTTCGCGTCCTTCGTGCTGCTGAGTTTCGCTGTTGGCACTAGGATACGTACGCACGGGACGGAAGTATCGGGTTTTTGGGAGCTTTGCGTCCGATGTACTCCGCTCTTATGCTGACGATCCGTCTGATTTACGACAGCGATACACACGAACCTACTGAACATCCGTCAGCTGTACTCCGGTCCTTTCCACCAGCGAGATGGTTCATGCAATTTCGGTCCGTATCCTCCTTTCTTATCCGTGCAACACTCTACGTCCACCTGCGCCGCTCGCCAGGTGTGCTCTTTCTCGAAGCTGTCGGCAAAGACATCCTTTGCGGTGGGCAAATGTGGCATATGATTGTCGATGGATCGTGTTGTCCATTTCAAGCGACGATTTATTCACCACGAGTTTCTTCGACTGCGAGACTGCGTCCTTGCCATGCGTCGACCTCTTCCGCTCTGTCTTTCGAATTCGCTTATCTTCTAGCGGGACATGCTCGTCATCTTCAGCCGTCCATCCGAAATATCATATCCTACACGCGTGGCACCTGTCCTCTCGCAACCTAACCTTCCTCATCTGGCTACATGCCTTCATTCTTCGTATGCTTGTCGTATGCACTGTCCACTGCCAACGGCGACTAAACCATCCAGATAACATTTCCTCATTCTATGAAACGGAGGGGCAGATCTCGTCTTGATGCTGCGATAGGCTTTTTGACTATGCAACTACTCCCAAAAGCCTCTTCCTCGGAAAGTTTCGGAGGTTGTCGTTTGCTCTGAGGTCTGAGATCGACGTTTCTGGGATCCGGCGATGATTGTTTGCGGGTATGCTCGTGTTTGTCGCTGGCCTCTGATACCTCCGTTCCTCTGCTTCCGTCTTATGTATTGCAAATGCTGAAACGGACTATGCAGAGCTCATCGCGTGTCCTGCTTGGCAGCGAAAGGCTTCATCATATGATGCTATGGTGTTACTTGTCTATTTTCTGAACGCATGTTGGCGGTATAGGGTGGTACTGCGTCATCGACGTTAGTACCAACAGTATCGCCACGATCGTTCATGGGCTGCGCTAGCAGCGCCGCCAGAGCCTGCAGGAAACATGCAGGCTCTCAACTCCACAGGCACAGCCTAGTTGCATGCTGTCTTATGCTCTCATTGTCTATAACTCGTCGTTATGACTACGACCTGGTACTCTTCCGCCTACCACCACCACCGACACCCCGGCACCGCCCAGGACCCCGACTCCTTGAATCTCTCTCGTTACCCGCTGCACTTTTCGTCCTCTTAATACGTCTCGATATTCTCCATAGCCCTTCGCATAGCCACTCTCTTGCATTTTCTGTCCCTCTTTGAAGTTTAGTTCCCAATGTCGAAGCCTAAACCCGTCGACAAGTCGGCTTCCGCCACTCGAGACCGGGGTCTCACCCCGCCCGCCGGGTCCCGCCAGCCCACCCTCACTGAAATCCTCCATCGCGATACCTCCCCTGCCCTGTCTCAGTCTCAATCCTCTGCCATCGGTCCTGACGAGGTTGCCGATGCGAAAGCCGCGCTCAAGCAGTTCGGTCTTCCCGAGAACCCAGCCACGATTGCCAACCTTCGCACGGTTCTCCTTCGCATCCGTGACACCAAGGTCAGCAACCGCGCCCTCCCCGCTCCCGCCGCCGCCGCCATTGGCCATGTTGCCACACTTCTGGGATCTCTCGACCACGACTTTCAGCGCGATGCCCTCGTTGAAGCTGTCACCCGTGGCGTCGCTGAGCGCCTCCGCCCCGTCCTCGATCAGATCGGGCCCGCTGTCTCCGCTGCTGTCGCTCCACTCGAGTCTGTCATCCGCACCTTGTCCTCCACGGTAGAGGACGATCTCACTGCTGTTCACGAGTCTCTCCAGTGCATGGATCAGTTGAAAGTAGTCGCTTCTGGACTGAAGGCTACATCTGCTGAATTGTCTTCCGCTTCTAAGAGTATTTCTGCTGGGCCCCCTGACTTTGCTCGGGTGCCTGGTTCGGTCCCTTCTTATCGGGATGCTCTGGTGAACTCCTCTGTCTCCGGCTATGGTTCTGCTAGTGGGTTGGATCCGAAAGTTGTCCGGCAGGCGGTACTACAAGCCCGTCAGGTCACTATTGATTTCGGAGCTGTGAAGGACAATGATCCTATCCTGACGAGTTCTATCTCTGAGTTACTTGCTAAGGCAAAGGCTTCCGTCGTTTCTTTGAACCCACCCGTCCCTGCTACCGTGCTAGCCGCCCACCGGGTGCGCAGGACTGGAGCTGTGTTTCTCCTCGATACTAAGGAGGCTGCTGACTGGCTTCGCTCTGGAGAGATCTGCACCCTATTTGCTTCCTGTTTCACATCTACCGCATCTGCCAGAGATCGGGTTTTCCCTGTCCTTGTTCGCTTCACGCCCGTAGCCTTTGATTTTGATGATGCAGCTTCTTTACGGGCCTTGGAGGAACACTCCGGACTAGGCTCAGGTACTATAATCGGTGGCCGCTGGATCAAGGCTGTTGATCGTCGCCACCCTACTCAGTCGAGGGCACACTGTGTTCTCTATACCACGTCGGCTGAGGCCGCGAACTCTCTCATCTCCGGGAATGTTGTTATATTGGATTGTTTGGTAGAAGTGGAGAAGTTCAAGAAAGAACCGGTCAAGTGCTCCCGTTGCCATCATTATGGGCACATGGTTGCGTCTTGCAAGTCTAGTGCTGATGTATGCGGATCCTGTGGAGGTGCTCATCGCTCGTTCAAATGTACTGCTTACAAGACCGTTCATTGCGTTTCTTGCAACTCAGATTCTCACGCCAGTTCTGATAGGCATTGCCCAACCTTCCTCCAGTTGTGTGATGATTATGATATGCGCAACCCAGACAACGCTATGCCTTTCTATGTTACGGGCGACCCTGTCACGCACTGTGCGGCCCCGCCTCGAATTCCGCTTCAGGAACGCTTCCCAAAGGCCTTTGCAGTCGAAAAGACGGCTCAACGTGATACACGTCCTCCGCCTAACCGTCAGCGTCAGACTACACTATCAGAGTGGCAGCGTCCTGCCCCTCCTCATTTGGACCGCCGTCCCGCCCGTCCGCTTCAGTCCACACCTAATGAATATCATGATCCCGATGGCCATGGGCATCTCGGCCCTGTCACGTCCTCTAACGCGACTCCATTGGGTTCCCGATGAATGGGCACAATGACACCACCTTTTCGAAGCTGCGTTTATGGCAACAAAACGTGAATGCTTCCAATGTTACGCAGTTTGGCTTGTTCAACGACCGCTCATGGGCAGAATATGATGTCCTCGCACTCCAGGAACCTTATCTTGACTATCTTAACAACACTCGTGCCTCTCGAGACTGGCATGTCGTGTACCCGTCTACTCATCTGACCTCTGATCAAATCTCCCGTTCTATCACATTCGTTCGTTCTAACATTGCCGCTACCTGTCCCTGGGAACAGTTCTCTTTTCCGTCCCCAGATGTCACCGTTATCCAATTTCGAGTCCCGAGCTTGCGGCCGGGTCGACATGGCCGACCAGCTTTTGACTCAGTGACTATCTTTAACATCTACAACGACGGTGCCAGCACTGTCACCGAGGCAGCTCTTCGCGAGTTTTTCCGTCTGAATCATGCTCTTCTATTTCCTTCCCCCAATTCGCACATCATATGGCTCGGCGATTTCAACCGTCACGATCCTGCTTGGGATAACCCGGAGGATGTTCGTCTATTCACACCGAGCGCCCAGGAGGCCTCTGAACGTTTTATGACTCTTTTATCTGACCTTGATTTGCGCATGGCGCTTCCTGCCGGGATCCCTACACACCGCCATTTCGTCTCTAAGCTCTGGTCTCGGCTGGATAATGTCTTCTGCACCCCTCATACTCTTGATCTTTTTATTCATTGTGACACAAAGCCAGAGCTGCAGGGGCCTACCACCGATCATGTACCCATTGTCAGCATCTTGGACCTTTCCCTTGCGCATGTGGAACAGGCCCCCTCTCCAAATTTTCGTCTCGTTGATTGGGCGGCTTTTCGGGCGAACTTAGAAGAACGTTTAGCCTCATCCCCGTTACCTGTTGTTTCGTATCTGACCTCTGAGGAGGAGTTCATCCGAGCAGTCTCTACCCTCACTTCATGCATTCAGACTACTATTGCTTCTCATGTTCCATTGTCTCGTCCTTCTCCTCATTCGAAACGCTGGTGGACTCGTGAACTAGCAGATCTGCGAAGGGACATGACGCGCACGGCTCGACAGGCCTACAAGTTCCGAGATCTTCCGGGACATGTGTCTCATGCAGTAGCGGGCGAGGCAAAGCGGCAGTACAAGTTTGTGCTAGACTCCACCAAGCGGCATCACTGGAAGGATTGGTTGGAGAATATCACCGGCCCTGATCTCTGGACGGCAAACCGGTTTATATCCACCCCTTTGGGCGACGCTGGGAAGACCAAGATCCCTCCCCTTAAGGTCTCGCAGGCGGACGGCAGCACCATCGTCGCTTCTTCCGAAGCTCAGAAGGCTGAGGTCCTGGCTAAATCGTTCTTTCCTCCACGCCCAGCAGAGTCTTCCGTGCCGACTGACTTCATATACGATGATCCCATCCCTGGTACCTATCACAACTTCTCACGGGCGCAGATACGGGCCCAGGTTTCAAAGCTCAGCCCCTACAAGGCACCGGGTCCGGACGGTATACCTAACGTTGTCCTTATGAAGTGCATTGATGTCATCATCGATCGCATCTTCTTCATATTCCGTGCCATCTTCACGCTCCGGACCTATTACGGGCCTTGGAAAGAGTTTCTCACTATTGTTCTTCGGAAATTTGGTCGGGCGGCCTACGATCTTGCCAAGTCCTTTCGTCCAATTGCTCTGCTCTGCACACTGGCCAAACTCCTCTCTGCTCTAGTTGCAGGCCAGCTCTCCTATCTGACTGAGCGCCATCAGCTCCTCCCAGCTACACACTTTGGCGGACGTCCGGGGCATACCACGACGGACGCCATGCACTACCTTGTACATCACATCAAACACTCTTGGCGTCAGGACAAGGTCGTTTCCGTTCTCTTTCTCGACATCGAGGGTGCTTTCCCCAACGCCGTTCACGACCGCGTCCTCCACAACATGCGTAAACGCCGGGTCCCGCTACCTATTGTCGACTTCGTCGGTCGAATGCTGGCAAATCGTCGTACTCGGCTGCGCTTTGACAACTTTACCTCGGATCCCTTCGTTATCGATAATGGGATTGGTCAGGGGTGCCCATTCTCTTTCCTCATCTATATCTATTACAACGCTGATGTTCTGGACATCCCCGAGGGCCCGAACGAGCTCGCCTCCGGTTATGCGGACGACACCATCTTCATCGCAACTGGAAAAACCTTCGAGGAGACTCACCACACCTTGGCGTCCATGATGACCCGCCCGGGTGGCGGGGTCGAATGGTCGCGGACTCACAACTCTCGGTTCGAACCCAAGAAGCTCGCGCTTGTTGACTTCACTCGAAATAAGGTCATGCCCCACCCTCCTCTGGTCATCCCCGATCTCGCCATCGTTCCGTCTTCCCCCTCTGCAAAGTATCTCGGGGCTCACTTCGATCGGGAGCTTCGGTGGCATGTTCAGGCTCAGTACGCGGTGAAGCGAGGTTTGGACTGGACGCTTCAGCTCCGACGCCTTGCCAAGCCATCTAGCGGTTTGTCGCCTGGTCAGATACGGCGTCTTTTCATTGCGGTCGCTCTACCAAAGATGGGTTATGCTCTTGATGTATGGTGCTCCCCCCTTATCGATACCGGAGGAACGCGTCTGTCAGGCTCTGTCGGTCATGTCAAGGCTATGGCCCGCGTTCAGCGTCTTGGTGCTCTTGCCATCACCGGTGGCCTCCGTACCTCTCCCACCGCCGTTCTCGACGCTCATGCCTATCTTCTACCAACCATGCACTGGGTGGACAAGATTTGCACTCGAGCTGCTGTACGAATTGTGTCCCTTCCCACATCTCACCCGCTGTTTCCCATCATGCGCCACTGTGCCCGGCACGTCTCCATCGCCCGTCACAGGGAGCCGCTCCATGACCTCTTCCGCCTCACCAGGATTGTCCCTGATCGAATCGAGACTCTCGCACCTGTCTCCCTTCGCCCAGGGTCTTCGCTCCCATTCACGACCATTATCGCTGACTCCAGGGAGGCCGCTGTCGCATCTGACGCCACTCAGACGAACGTGATTCGCATCTACTCGGACGGCTCCGCACTTGAAGGCAAGGTTGGTGCCTCGGCGGTTCTCCTTCGACTGGGACAGGCCCCCCGGATGCTCCACTTCCATCTGGGAAAGCTTTCTCACCACACTGTGTATGAGGCTGAACTGGTTGGACTCGTACTCGGCATTCACCTCATCCAGACAGAAGCCGATGCCTGCGTGCACTCCTCCATTAACGTCGACAATCAAAGCGCTCTGAAGTCGCCCTCGACTGCCGCTGCTCACTCCGGTCAACATTTAGTCGACGAGTTCGTGCGCCTTGCGAAGGCTCTCAAGCGCGAGCGTGGCCCATTAGGCTACCGGCTGGAGCTTCGATGGGTGGCGGGCCACGAAGGCGTCGTGGGTAATGAGCTTGCAGACGGGGGAGCTAAATCCGCCGCTCGTGGCCTCTCCAGTGCCTTGGCCGACCTCCCCGCCATACTTCGGTACCCTCTTCCCTACAACTGCTCCGCGCTCGTCCAGTCCTTCACGTCCAAGATCACTAATAGCTGGGCTAGTGAATGGGCCCTCTCCTCACGCTCTCAGCAGTTTCGGCGCATCGGTCCCTCTCTCCCATCCAACGCCTTTCTTAAACTCGTCGACACCCCGTCCCTACGTCGTGCCGGTTCTAGCATCCTCTTTCAACTCCGGTGCGGGCATGTTCCCCTTAACCACTACCTCCATCGATTTGCACTTGTCAATTCCTCCCGCTGTCCGGCATGTGGTGCGGCTGAAGAAACTGTCGTTCACTTCCTTCTCGAGTGTCCGAAGTACCGACATGAACGATACATCCTCCAACGCGCTTGTCGCACTCGTCGACTGGGTCTCGATGTCCTTTTGGATCGGCAGGCCAGCGTCATACCACTTCTGGCTTTCGTGCATGCAACTGGCCGCTTCATTCGCCGCGAATTTGATCCGGGTTAAAGCCCCTTTTCCTCTGTCTCTATCTCTGTTTCCTTTTGTCTTGTTTTTCTTTTCATTTGTTTCGATCCTCTCATGCCCGTTGCCCTTTGACATGCTAAACGCTTTTTACCCACTTTCATGACTGGACGCTAGTTCCCCGGCTCGAGCGTTCGATCCGACTCCGCATCTTCGGGCGTTCGATCCAACTCCGCCTCTCCGCGTTCGGGTGGAAGGATGTAGGAATGTTGTAGTGCTTGCCCTCCGCTCCACCCTCCCGTCTCCGTTACCTCCGTCTTGTTGTGACTGCACCGTGCCTTCTCGCTCCCGTTCTGTTGACGTTCCTCACCATACCACGGTCTCTGTCTGTGTTGACTTGTTCGTTTTCTGCCCGTGTTATCCGAAGTTTCTCGCTCTCTTTCGTCTTACTCCACCGGTCTCTCAGTCCGTTCTCATATGGTCTCTGTGTTGATTCTCGTGCCCGTTCTCGCCGTCTCGTGTCCGTTTTTACATCGTGTCTTATTCCCTTTATACCCCACTGCCTAGTCCTAGTCCTGTGTATTTTCCTCCTCTCCCTCTCCCGCGACCCTCTATTCCGTTTCCGTGCCTATTTGGGTTCCTGTCTGTCTCCCTTACGCTTGTTTTCTCTGTCTGTTTGTACTTCACGCGCGATTCTGTCTTACATAGCGGCCTCTTCGCTGATGGACAATAAATTGGATTCAAAAAAAAAAAAAAAAAAAATAAGACTACGACCTTGACAAAAAAGCGTTGTTGGGTGGGACGGTGACCGTCAACGAACTTACTTACGCCACATGAATGTTTAGACTATTCATTCCTACTAAAGTCGACTATTCATTCAGCTCAGCTTTGAAATTACCTGCTATTGCGTTCCTGTGCATGAGCTCTGCTCATATCGGTCGGCTCGCTTTCGCTAATATGAGTATGGTCGTATCCTCGGATCGACCCGCTGGTCCTGTCATATAGAGCCTCGCGCGTAACTGGAGATGAATGGGTATCGTGAGTCCCTCTCTACTCCTGTCCGCAACTTTGCCCTCCGGTTTGCTATCATCGTGCATCACCTGTCCGATTACTGAATTTCCATTCCTCGAAGACTAGCTCGATGTTATACCCTCAGCCCGCATACTGCTACATTGACCGTATCTTAATAATATCTTCACTTGTGGCAGGCGGTATAAACGGTCGTATAAAGGGCGATATTGGGGGTAAGTATAAGCCGTGGAGTAGCCTTCGAGGTTGAAAAATGACGCCATGGAGTCTCGTATTGCTGAGGATAGCGACCTCCAAATGAGCCGTTATACTCGGATTTCGTGAAGTCCGAAGGAAGCCTAGGATGGACGAACGCTCGCTGCAGATCACGGTCGCCTATGGGCCACAGTGGCGACGGTTCCTTCCGAACCCTTTGCCCTAGTGGGTTCGCATCAAGCCTGCCATGAACTTCGCCTGGAACTTGTAACGATAAGTATTGCCCTCTGCCCAGAGACCGTCACCAAGGGTGCCTGTCAGTTACTCAGGAGGGTTCATATTCGGATGGTAGTGAGTCTTGACCCTCGACTGTAAAATATTACTTACATTCAAATCCCGTCACATATACTGTCTTCAACCAGGCATGATATCGTTGACCTTTAGACCTTGGGTCCTCACCTGTCCTTACAATGATTTGTGGAGAATTATCCAATTCCCGTCTGCCTTGACTCGGTATCTTTGAGCGTTTCTTGTCCCCCGGATTCGGTAAGAAGAGAGTAAAGTACGGCGTTGGAAATTCAGGGCCGTCCGTGGGTAGCCACAAGGCTATGCTATCCTTCCACACGCATTGACAAACAACCCTCAACCCAGATATCATTCTAGGTCTGTGATTACCAGATATTCAAGCATCTATTTCCACCAAGTTGAATCGGGCTGCCCATAATCTCTCAAAGCTATATAGTACTTTGAGGCGCTCCACCCAGAGTCTCTCGACGATGCACATCCTCTCTTTCGAGCAAGGTCCTTCTAGTTCGTCCCAGTTAATGCTAGACGAAGCCTATTCCAGGTCAGTAAATCTCTCAAACTTCCCCTCAAAACTGTGTTGTACTCATTCAGCGGCAGTCCCTTACCAGCAAGGCCATGGACGGACCTGATTCCCTCTTATATCGCCTGCGTATCCCTCGCTTTTCTTCTAGTTCGCGCCGTATATTTGCACAAGGCCGTCAAATCTCACGCGAGCCCCTCTGAGAGCTCACCCGCAGCTAATTCGCGAGGTACAAAACTTGATCTGGGTAGACCAGTCATTGTAGCTTTCAAAGTTGCACGACTGTGCTTCAACATAGCGCTGGTTGTGATTTCTGTGGCGTCAATCCCCCAAGACGGCGACGGCGTCGAAGACGGGAGGTTTTGGCTCATCAATCTCCATTTTTCGAACGTCGCTCTTTGCCTGACATACGTGAGTGCTCACGCGCTCTCCGGGATCATGACTTCATCTGATACGGCGCTTTGAGATATATGCCCTCGGCCTATCCATCATCTCGATAGTTGGTGGGACGAAATTGCAGGCCACAATCTCTATCAACTTGACCATTATCCTTGTGGTCGCCTTTTTTATTTCTGCTCACCGCACTCTGTGGCCCTTTATACTCACGCATCCATCATCAACGCCGATGCCAGGCGTGCTACAGTGGATAGAGACGGCCTTGCTGCTCTTCTCGGGTATTCTATTGCCGCTCCTCTCGCCTAGGCAATATATTCCTTTCGATCCAAAGGTCAGTGCTATACCAGTTAACAAGCTAAAACAAATGCAGAACTTGATTGGCCGCCATGCACAGGAGCCCGTTTCTACGCCCAATTTCGAACAAACCTCGTCCATTTTGTCCCTTCTTACGTACCACTTCCTTGACTCGATCATCTGGAAGGGCTATCTCAATCCCAAAATCTCATATGACGAACTGCCTCCTCTATCCGATTATGATGACGCAAGGAATCTGTTGAAACGAGCGAGCTTGGTATGTAGTATTTTGCTATTGTTCTATGCACTGTAATGATGTTCTGGGGCGATTGGATAGCTTGAGAAATCGCTTGATCGAGGTGAGGAGCGTCACATATTTTGGAGCCTCATAGGGATCTTCAGTAAGCCATCATAAAGTCTCCCCCGCTATGGTCCTCCCTATTCTCAATGATGTCACTCACAGAGTACGAATACATCGAGATGGCGGTCTTACTCGTCCTCGGAGTGCGTATCATATCGTTTCTTCATACGTGTCGAACTAACTGCATCGCATAGCACAGGCTGCCTTCATGGTCCTCAACCCCTTAGCTATCCAACAACTTCTCTCGTAGGTAGTTTGCGTTTAGCATATTACACGTATCTGTGATACCCTGTTCATTGTTCAGATCCTTGGAGAGGCACGACAAGGACTTGGGCGTGAAGACTTGGGTCTGGATCGTCCTACTATTCGTAGCTCCGACCTGCTCTTCGATCGTGCTCGAGCGAAACCTCTTTGTTGGAGTATGTACTTTATTCCTATTCGAGCCGCCGAAGTATGATTACTGAGAAAGAGTATCGAATGTGACAGACTACGACCTTGGTCCAAATGGAGTCGATACTCACGCAGTTAATGTACAAACATACGCTCCGCATCCGGGCCCAAGCGGACGCGTCTCCTTCATCAGAACCATCTGCTGCGGGCTCTTCGAAAGGACGTCCGGACGGTAGTCCTCACGGCCAGAATATCCAAGGACGGATCAATAATCTTGTTATGACGGATATGGTGACCATTGCGCCTGGAAGAGTCATGACGATCCGTACGTTGGACTCTCCCGAAGCTATATTCGTTGCGAAGGAGGATCGCAGCGCTGATGATCTCTCGTATCACATAAGTTTTATGGACACCGTCTTTGGTGGTATTGAGCGTCTGGTTCCTATACGGGGCGTTGGGCTGGAGGTTAGTTCCCTTGGCGCGATCACGATAGTTAGGAGATCAAGTACTTACGACGAGTATCCAGTGCATTCGTCGGCATTGCTGTCATGATCACACTTATTCTGGTCCCGGGAAACGTAGCGAAGGTGCTGCAGAGCACTGAGCGGGAGCTTATGAAGAAGGTATGCTCGTCGATCACCATACATCAATATCTACCTGATGATACTTTACAGACGGATGCTCGTATTCAAACCATCACGGAAAGTATGTTCTCTCGATGGGTCGTGTCATTCATATTTGGTCTTCCTCACAGATTTCTATATCCTAGCATTGAACATCCTGCGTATGATCAAGCTCTTTGGATGGGAGTCGAAGATCAACGAACGCATCTCTGACAAACGTACCGACGAGCTCCGGCTGATTAGGAGAGGACAGCTACTTGCGTTGGTCAGCAGGAGTCTCAAGTACGCATAACGTTCATTCCATCACCTGTCCTTCCAGCTGAGAGTGATACCCAGCTATATCATCCCTCCGTTGACGATGATCGCGACATATTCAATCTACGTGAGTCTTCCACCGACCCGATTGTGCAACAACTCCATAATGTTTTCCTTTCGTAGACGGTCGTCATGAAGCAAGAGTTGACTGGTTAGCCGAATCATTCTGGACTACAATTACATATCTCTAACCAGAAGACTTCTGCTTCCAGCCGCCACTGTCTTCTCATCACTGGCTGGTGAGTTTCTTTTCTGATTGTCTGTATGGGCTGATTATCTCATCGTATTTTTCAAGCGTTCGATATCCTTCGGGAACAGCTGAACCAGATCTTTTGGATGGGACCAAAGTTAATCGCAGGTATGCCGACTCTGTTGACTCCAAGATTGATTACAAGAATTTGAGTACCATCTTATCCCATAGGCAAAGTGTCCTTGGATCGTCTTAACAATTTTCTCCACGATGTGATTCTTTCCGTTCCATACGATCTCGGGGTATGGTGCTGATCCTTCACCGAAGACGAGCCTCTTAGGGAGATCCACCAATGTCGGGGCTACAAACGCTATGCGAGCTCCCAAGGACGACGTGATCGGTTTCAATGCGGTGACTGTCTGTTGGGGAGATAGCCAAAATATTGACCACCCAGTAACGCCAAGAAACGGGGATTTCGCACTTCGGATAGAGCAGGAGTTGATGTTCAAGAAGGGTGTGATTAATCTAATTACTGGCCCCACAGGATCTGGTATGTACTTGTTCCCTTAACTCTATATTTACTACTACATTTTAATCGCATCCACAGGTAAAACATCCCTCCTCATGGCTTTCCTTGGTACGTCCGATGGGCCACCGCCACTCGACCATTAATTTGTGTTCACCATCATGGCTTCCGTGACAGGCGAAATGCGCTGCATCCCTATGACTCCAGCTTCCTGGTTCAACCTTCCTCGCGATGGAGGTGTGGGGTACGCCGCGCAAGAGCCGTGGATTCAGAATATGACGATAACGGTTAGAGCCCGGTGCCCGAACTCGCCAGACAAGTACGACTGATAGTGCAACAGGATAACATCTTATTTGGATCCCCTTACGACGACGCACGCTACAGGCAAGGTAATTCTCCTGATTAACAATCTCAGTTGTTGTATAAGCGCGAGCTGATCTATTCATGCAGTAATCCAACAGTGCGCCTTGGAACAAGATTTGAGGCTATTCGAAGCGGGTGATATGACAGAAGTAGGTGAGAAGGGGTTGACACTGAGGTGGGCGAAATGACATTCGTTTGCGTCGACGATGTTCTCATTTTGAATGTATTCGTGTAGTGGTGGTCAAAAGGTATGCAATTTGTGTCTGATATCGCAGATACAGGGAATATTCAGTACCTTTATACAGGCCCGCTTGAGTCTCGCCCGTGCGATTTACTCAAACGCAGAGATCCTACTTCTCGACGATGTGAGCAATCCAGTGGTTTCATTTTTCTTCTTTTGGTCACTGACAGTGCCTATAGATCTTCGCAGCTCTGGATGTCCATACTTCACGATGGATTGTCGACAAGTGTCTCAGAGGCTCTATGGTACGAGGGCGTACAGTGTTACTTGTGGTAAGTCCTGAAGTCCCCCTCGAGATATTAGACGCAGATACTCATTGACAGTGCTGTCCAGACCCACAATGTAGATATTGCGAAGCCTATCGCTGATTTCGTGGTCACTCTTGGCGCGAATGGAACTACTTCGTCATATGACACTGTGCCGGAAGCGTCGAAATACCAACATGATCACTTGGAGGGGACCATTCATGCAGAGAGCTCGACTCATACCTTTCCAGATAACAATGAACACACAAAGGTTCAAACGGAACAAACGATCCTGAATCCGATCTCGGATGGTACGCTGATAAAGGAGGAGGAGGTTGGTGTGGGACATGTCAGTTGGTCTGCGCGTGAGTCGATACTTTTGCCGTTGAAGCATCAGTTTTACTGACATGCATCCGTAGTGAGGCTGTACTTTGCCAGCCTCGGTGAACAATGGAACGTAATTTTTTGGCCCATCTTCTTCATCGTCGTGCTGGTGAAGCACCTTGCCGCCACGGCTGAGACGTGGTCACTTGGGTACTGGTCCCGGCAGTATGAGACACAACCTGCTTCTGAAGTCAATATCATCCGGTACGTCGTTCTCTGCTTACATCAATCTAGAAGATTGAAGTCTATCAAAATTCCCGATCTCCCAGCTACCTCTCCCTATATATTATTTTGGTGGCCGCTGCTCTGGTCTCTTTCATCGGAGCGAATCTCCTATTCATCCTTGGGTCTCTTCATGGGTCGAAGTCTATTCACCGCCGCCTTCTCAATTCGATCTTAGGGGCAACGTATCAGTGGTTAGATGTTACCCCCGTCTCTAGAGGTGTGTATCATGCTACTATGCATATATAGTCCGCTCAGATCTTGATGTAACTCCAGTCATTACTCGTTGTACCCAGGACATACGAGCGAGTGCGTTGTATTTTCGTCATTGCCATTGCATAATCAATCTGATTACCATCCACGCAGTCGACAGACCCATCCCGGAGATGTTCCTCCAGCTCACCGAGATGACCTTCTCGCTCATGACGAAGCTCGGTACCGTCGTATTCCTCACTCCAGTATTTATCTACCCAGGGATTCTTGTCTTTATCCTCGGTGGATTATGCGGAAAACTATATATTGGATCACAGCTCGCTATCAAGCGACAACAAAACGTCACCAAAGCCCCAATCCTAGCGCATTTCAGTGAGACGCTGTCTGGATTGGGTAAGTGGTCCTTGTCGGGATGGGCCGTTCTATGCGAACTCTGACGGTTACTACGCTGGCACTGTCAGCCTCGGTTCGGGCTTATGGAGCAGAATCTGCGTTCATCAAGGAGCTGCAGCGACGATCAGACAGGTACACCCGAGCGTCCAGAACTTTCTACAACCTCAATAGGTCAGTTTGACTATCGCTTCGTTTCTCGTTCACAAGCCTGCTACTTACTTATGCTGAATCCGTTCAGATGGATTTCGTTCCATATGCAAACACTCGGTGCATTGTTCCTGACAGGCATTGCGGCTTACCTTGTCTACGTTCCGCGCCATGGGGATAAACAGGCGTCCTACACTGGCTTTTCCCTGAATATGGCCGGTATGAACTTGAGCTCTGGGATCAGGAACGGAATGCAGGCTGATTAACCCTTACAGCTGGATTCAGCTCGCTGATTCTCTGGTGGGTGAAAGCCTTGAATGAGTTCGAGATCCAAGGTCTGTGAATACCCATTTTGAGCGTGGCCGGGAGGCTGATATTCAATAGGTAACAGCGTGGAGCGTATAGCACAATATGTGGCCATTAAACAAGAGCCACAACCTACGGAAGGCGGTACTCCCCCTGCATATTGGCCCTCCAGCGGTGATCTTAGGGTGGATAAAGTGACAGCCCGATATTCCGTAGTGCGTTTTTCGATGACATGAGCACTATCTCGTCCCTGATACCGCATGCAGGATGGGCCTGCGGTACTGAAGGAGATTTCGTTCCATATCAAGTCTGGCGAGCGTATCGGCATTGGTGTGTGACTGATATTTACTACCGTATACGCATTGCTCATGAAAGTGTCGTCTTGTCTTCTGAAGTCGGGCGCACTGGAAGCGGGAAGAGTTCCTTAACACTGTCACTCCTGCGATGCATAGTGACCGAAGGAGATATATATTACGACGGCCTTTCGACTAGCTCCGTCAATCTGGACGCCCTTCGATCCAACATCACTATCATTCCACAAGTGGTATAGCAATTTCTCTATTGTTCCCCGCGCCAGTCATCGTCTAATATCCTCCCTCCTCACAGCCCGAGCTCTTGCGGGGAACACTGAGAGAGAACCTTGATCCCTTCGGTGAGCACAGTGACGCTAGATTGAACTCGGCCTTGCGCGCTTCTGGGTTCTGCTCTCTTCATGCCCATGAACGAGAAAGGCATTTTGGTTTGGATACACATATATCCGGTGCAGGAGCCAACTTGTCAATCGGCCAAAGGCAGATTCTCGCTCTCGCTCGTGCCTTCTTGAGAGGTAGCAAGCTGTTCATTCTGGATGAGGGTAAGAAGATACGGCTGTATTCTCGGATTCAAGCGGCTGATAATACCTTTATGACCAGCTACATCCGCCATTGGTGGGTATTGTGACTATGCGTTCAACAACACCAAGGACTGACGCGAATGATTAAGACTACGAGACCGACAATGTGATCCAGAAGTCACTTCGAACGGAGTTGCCAAAAGATGTCACCGTTATCATAGTCGCTCATCGCCTCCAGACTGTTATGGATGCTGATAGGATCGTAAGTCGCGTCATCCTACCCTGCCAAACGACCAATGTTAAGGAGATTACACGTCAAACCCCCTTCAGATGGTCTTGGATGCGGGCCGTGTCGTATGTCTTCACACAGCTAACGCATGCGTACTGACCCCTGAACATTTCGAATCCGCAGGCCGAGTTCGATGCCCCTTCAACGCTCCTGCGGACGAAAGGTAGCAAGTTCCGCGCCATGGTGGATGGAAGTGGAGAAAGTGCTGAACTCCATGCTATCGCCGAGAGCAAGCACTAGTCTGGGATACCTCTTTTTTGAGCTGTGCTTGGAATTTTCTTATCTCTTCCCTTCCTTTTCTCATGAAGATGGATATAATGTCTGATATGCGTCGATCTTCGGGACTTACCCCCTTCGGGCCTGCTTTCCTCTCAACCTGAGTTGTTTCCGACTTTGAAAGCATCGACCAGACTGCCCACCATGGGATCCAAATTCTCACTATAGTGCTCTATCATGCAGGTCTAGTACTTATTTTTGTACTAGATACAAACCTCGGGTCAGCAGGACCGGTCTCGTGAGCATCTCCAGCGTTGATGTATGGATTGCATTGGCCTCATTCGCGAACTGGCGTATAAGTATATGCTTTATTCCTAGTAAGCGTATTCAGTTCTTTTTCCTCCTTCTTTATATGACTGACTCGTTCATAGTGAAATTATCCATACCGACATGTGCCGGAGATGTGGCAGCTCGTGCACTCATATTACGCGATGCGCACTACTATTTTATTCGCAGCCCGAGGGTATTATCGACCGTACAGTCTATGGCTTCGGTTAACGGCATCCCGTTCTATCCCCAACCCGCAGGACACCCATGTGGACGACCTCCTTTCAAGAGTAGAGTTCGTATTACGGCTGCAGTCACTCAAGCTGGGATACTCTGGCGTATTTATGGATGTCATACTCCGACGAACTGCCCTCTTGTATAAATCGTCAGGTACTGGATGTCAAGCGAGTGCATCTCGTCGACGTGTGTTCCTCCGTACGGCTAATTTGCATCAATGCTGTCCACCAGCCTGATCTCGAGGCTCATACTTTCGTGTATATGCTCTTTTCCCTTCGCCGGACTAGGCGTTTCTGCCAGATCGCCTTTCACTCATTCTGTTGAGCGCAGAGATCAATGCACGCTCAGTCAGAATTGGCCCACAGGACCAGGCAATATCGTGCAGCCACAGGCCCCTTCTGACGAGCTTGCGGCTATGCTGGCAGAGATTGATCAAAACAGAATCCAGGCTATAATATCGAAGTTGGTGTCTTTTGGGACAAGACATACGGCGTCCAATCAAGTAAGTTTGTAATCATTCGCGGACTTCAGAGAAGATCAGCGCTGCTAATCAGTATGGTCTGCCATTTCTTTTTGTTGTAGACGGACCCATCGAGAGGAATAGGAGCTGCGAGGGACTGGATCGCAGCGCAAATGGAGGGCTTTGCTCAAGCCAGTGGAGGAAGGTCTGTTCGCTTCAGCATCGTTGGAAATCCATGTTTTGACTGTGACATAGGTTGAACGTGACGGTGCAGTCCTTCATCCAGCCTGCCGTACCAGGCGAGCTCGCCAACGATACCAGGATCAGCAACATTATCGCCAGGCTCGAAGGAACGACTGAGCCCAACCGTGTCTAGTAAGCCGATACTACGTCCCATTTTCCTTATGGCACTGAGTTATGCAATGTCTTCCCAGTGTCGTTTCCGGACACTATGACTCCCGCAACACAGACATCCTCAATAATATCGATGACGCTCCAGGTGCCGACGACGATGCGTCCGGTGTGGCCGTCTCCATGGAGCTCGCCCGGATATTCTCTGAGCATAACGTCACCACTCCCGCAACCATGCTATTAGTTGCAGTCGCTGGCGAAGAGCAAGGTCTCTTCGGATCCACCTTCCTAGCTCAGTCGCTCTTCAACTCGTCTGCCGATGTTCAGGCCGCATTCACCAACGATATTGTCGGAGCAAGTACTGCAGACGATGGGACGAGTGATCCAAATGATATTAGGTTGTTTGTGCAGGGGATGCCGTCGACAGATAGCGCCGCTATGGCGGCCCAGAGGATCAGCATTGGTGGCGAGAACGACAGTCCGACTAGGCAGATTGGTAGGTTCGTGAGCGAGGTGGCGAGTAACAATGCTACGAACATGACGGGTGAGCGAAGCTCCTAGAAGCTTAATTCCTCCGTGGCGGCTGACATACCGTTGCAGTGCAAGTCGTGTATCGCGCGGATCGGTTTCTTCGTGGTGGAGACCATGAGCCCTTCTTGAAGCTCGGATTCCCTGGTGCTCGATTTACAGGTAGTCTTCACCGGACTTTATCTCGCTTATTGAAGCGCGGCTAACAACCCTCATCCCATTATCAAGAGCCGCACGAGAATTTCGCCCACCAACACCAAGATGTTCGCGCCGTCGACAACGTCCAATTCGGTGACCTCCTTGAATTCGTCGACATCCCCTTCACCCAACGCGTCGCCCGTGTCAACATGGCCACCATATTCTCCCTCGCCTCTGCACCAGGCACACCCAAAAACGTAACCATAGACACCTCAGTCCTCACCAACAACTCTACTCTCCGCTGGGATTTCGATTCCGCCGCTGCAGCTTTGAGTGGAACGGGAGGAGTTGGTGGATTAGCGGGATATGAGATTGTCTGGAGGGCGACGGACGAGCCTTTCTGGAGCCATGTGATAGATGTCGGGTTGGTGAGCGAGGCTACGGTGCTGCAAAGTAAGGATAATGTGGTGTTTGGGGTGAGGGCTGTCGGAGAGAATGGAATGAGGAGTCCGGCGACGTTCCCCTTCCCTTCGACGTGAATCCACAACAGGGACGCGGAGCCCTCTCTTCATGTTAGTTTCTTTTGGCTTCTTCAAATCACGTGGGGTTTGATGTGCGGCAGATGTGGTCATGTAGGAGTAATCGAAGTGAAAGGTACTATATTGATGAGCATCATGGATGTGGCGCGCCACATTGAAGGCAAAGGGGAAGTATCGAATTTAATTTAGAGCATGGAGCTTGGACAGCTTGACAATCTATGGGGTGAGTTGAAGCGTACAGTGAAGTCTGATATACAAAAGGGAATTAGGATGGATGAAGAGTAGGGAAGTGAGCATGGGGAAATGTGTGATAATGATACGAATGTAGTACATATGAAGCAGTCAGGTCATTCTGGAGCAACTGTGGTAGGATGGGGTAGGATGGAGATTATGATGGAGGCAAAGTAATAAAGGGAAGTTTAGAACCATATCTGAAACGAATAAGAAACTTTATGCGCACCGACCAGCATGTACATGCGCAAAAAGTGAAAGAGAAATCGAATGATGGACACGGTAGGCGCCTAGAGCGATAACGTCGCCTTCATATCCTGTATTACCGCACAGATCGTCGTCAGCTCTCGCCATTTATGGCAGGACGGTCGTGGAGAACTCACCAACTTGATCATACTACTCAGCTATAACATACCCAAGAACGATTCAGTTCGTCAATGAACCAGCAAAGAGGAGGGGAAAGGGACATACCACCGGCGCCTGGAACACATTCATCTCCCCATCAATTTCCGGCTCTTCCTCTGGTTCCGCCACCAGACTGTCAGCGAGGGGCAAGCTTGATGTCGACGACCCGACCGAATCAGAGCCCAGATGCTTCGCCGAATTAGGCGGAGTAGGCAGGCCAGCGGCGACTGAACGTGCAGAGGACGCTGAAGCGTGCGAGCTGCGCGATTTCTTGGCGTCGCGGGTCCATTTGTGGAGTGCGCGGGCTGTCTTGTGAAGTTCGAGGCTGGTTGGGTTCGAGCGGAGGTGTGAGTGATGAGAAGGGAGGGGATGTGTGAGACGAAGGACGTACTTGATGTGGAGCATTAGGTCGTGATAGGTTGGGTTTGGATGATCTCCTATCATCGTAGCGTGATATGAACACCTTTATAACACTGAAGATGAGAGGACAGACGTACGCAGGTATTCACATAATAACTATAAGAGAATACATACAGAAGGAACAATACGATCAGCATCAGGACAGACGAAAACGACGAAAGAAGACGACGCACGGTGATCATACTCCCGTCCGTAGACTCCCAAGCTCTCTGTAGGTCCGAGCAACTTGACAACGAGATCTATAGCCACCACCAACAAAGCATTTCATCAGTTGTAGTCCTCACCTGGCACGAAAGAGTGGAGTACATACAACATACGCCACAGTCATACTCGTCAGGCACCGCCAAGGCCCGACGAGATACGCCACTGTGGGCGGTGCCTGCCCACAGTGGCGTATCTCGTCGCCGCGTGTTCCAGACTTACTACAAACAGTGTCTAAACGGAGCGGCGAAAACAAATCCCCAAAATTGTCCGCCCGAAAGCCACGAAAATGTTGAAATATGTAGATTCTGTAATAAATATTATTTGTCACCCCTTTCCATCCCACTGCCATGAACGACGTCGAGCTCGATGACCCCGACCTCGCCCACAACGTTCCGGCCTATGTACTGGATAGATTTCGTGAATGGGTAATTTTCTGCGGTCAATTCTCGTCTCAACCTCACTCTGATGCCTCCTTTT